ATATCTTGAACCGTGTCTTGCGCAATAGCCACTCGGAGACCCTTTCCGTACGAGTAAAATTGGTTTCCTATCTCCATAATCATACCTTCAGGATCTCTCTTCGCGCCACTCATACCCTTAAGATGGCTGTGAACGGAAATACCGATGAAAAAGCGCTTTAGGGTTCCTGGGAGATTATCTATCGATATCACATTGAGAAGGTGTCGACTACATTCAGCTTGTCTGTTTTGGACAAGCTGAATGCAGTCGATATGTCGATATTGATTATGGCAACCGAAAAAGCAGCTCAGGAATGAAGTATAAAGAATGTCTCATCGGTTTCAATTCAATTCTGGACTTCTCACTCAAAATCAGTCCTCTTTCTCTCTCGCGCCATTCGTCTTGAGATAATTGAACTCATCAAACCATCTCTCAACATGGCCTCCCCATCTTCCCCCGATCTAGTCGACGCTCCTCTACCCAAACGCATCATCATCTGCTGTGATGGAACCTGGTATGCCGCCGACAAAGGCGACAACAACCTCCCTTCCAACGTCGCGCGCCTGAGTCGAGCTCTGAAGAAAGTCGGAGAAGTAAGTTATGGCCCAGAGAAAGGCCAGAAGCGGGCACAGGTTGTGTATTACCAGTCAGGTGTTGGAACAGGAAAGCTGGGGACACTTGACAAAGTGTGGCAAGGTGAGACTCTTTCCCAACAATCTTGTTGGTGGATCATTGGCTAATGTATTCTCAAGGTGCTTTTGGTGCTGGATTGGATGAGAATGTCTGCGCCGCTTATAACTTTCTTGTTAACAACTATGCGCCTGGCGATGATGGTAAGAATATTCTTTATCCCGTCGTTGCTTTCACTATATTGACAATAACTTCACAGTATTCCTCTTTGGTTTCTCACGCGGCGCTTTCACAGCTCGAGCCGTCGCTGGTCTTGTCTGCCACGCCGGTCTCCTGAAGCCACATTGCATGGAACAGCTCTTCTACAACATGTATACTGCGTACCGTTCCCGCAAACCTGCTCAAAACGGTCGTCCGGCCGAGCACCTGTCCGAAACAGCGTGGGCGAAAGAACTTTACAAATCAGCTTATGAGACAGAAGAGCAAGCTGCAGAGAATGAGAAGCGGCCCACGAACTGGGAGATGTACGCCGCACACTCGGATCAGGACGTACAGATCAAGGTTATCGGAGTCTTCGATACCGTAGGGTCTTTAGGTTTGCCTGATGGAGTGGTAAACTCTTGGTTAGGAACAGGAGAAAAGTACAAATTTCACAACACAAGTTTGGACTCTAGTACGTACTTGCCATTTCCTCCCACTTCCACTCTAAGCTCTACTAACATGAAATAAAGAAATCAAGCACGCATTCCACGCCCTAGCCCTCGATGAACACCGTGGCTCTTTCAGTCCAACGCTGTGGTACATACCTGAGACTGACGATGAAACTCTACTAAAGGAGACTCGTTTGGTGCAATGTTGGTTCCCCGGCTACCACGCCAATATCGGCGGTGGTACGACAGGTGAAGGCAAAGACGACAATGACATTGACGAGATCACATTCGCGTGGATGTGCGATCTCGTAAAACCATACCTAACATTCGACCGCGAAGCCATCAAGCTCATCATCCCATCCAAAACCGACCTCCCACCCGTGCGATTCCACATGGGCAAACGCACCCAAACCGACTCCAAAATCGGCACAAAGAAAGCCGCAGTCAAGAAGATCGTCAAGAAGGTCGAAGTATTAACAGCCAGCTACGCAACCTCAAAACTCGATGACACATACGGTATCTCCTGGAAAGCAGCAGGCGGCGACGTCCGCCGTCAACCCGGCGAAATCAAACCCCTCGGCGACGAAAACAAAGTCGTTAAAGATGTAGAAACGCGCGAATGCATGCACCCCTGCGTCGCCTACCGCGAAGTCTACAGCGGCGGCGCCCATCGCTGTCCCTCTCTCGCTCCGGTCAAAACTGGAGGCTGGCTCTACCCGACCGTCGACACGAAATGGGAGCATCGCAAGGCGAAAGATGGGAACGGGTTTGTGTGGGTGAAACGTGATAATGTGAAGGGCGTGGAGGGGCCGGAGATCACGCAGTATGTGATTCCGAAGTATAATGACGAGGATGGGATTGGGAGTCTGGAGAGGTTACTGGTGCCAGATGAGTATTTGGCGATACTGGATGAGGCGAATGTGGAGATTAAGGGGAATGGGTTGAGGTGTGGACATGAGGTTGGGCATGCGCATGAGGAGGGAGTTGTTTGTTCTTGAGGGGATGAGGATGTATTTTATGTTTTCGTCACTTTGGGAATTCGCTGGGTTCGGAGATTTAGGATAATATAGATTCGACTTAATAACCTTGAGCCCTAGATCTCGCTTGTTCTTGAAATGGTGATTGGGTATTATGCTTCAACAAGTTTCATTACCAAATCGTCAAGGAAGCTTTGTCTTTGGAATATTCTTATTCTTTCAGAACTCGACTTGACAACCTGAATTTTACCCTAGAGGATGTTCCTCATAAACCGAAAACATAACACATTAACACTAGCGGGAGGTAAGAGCACATATAAAGCTCTGGAATATATAAATACATCTGGGATTCATTACGTGCCGAACTCTCTAGTAATTAGATTTAGTAACATACGAATTCCTCGTCACCTTAAGCAATTATCAAACTCTCTCTCTCGACTCCAGAACTTATACACTAAACGGCACTTGTCTACCCACAGAGTTTAGAAAATGATAATTCCATCTTAAGAAGCACACTTACAAAATCTCATAAGAACAAGTATTGACTTAGGTCTACAACCCGTTATCCGTCACAAGTCTATACACGAAATTTCTAAGCAACTAATTCTTAGTTACGTAGATAGGATAAGAGTTAATCGAATTACAATTATAGATAGAAAGTTAGACTATAGTAGCGAGGTTTCTTTTCAGATGTTTACTATATCTTCTCTTTCTTTTAGCGAGCTATATTTACTTTTAAGAAGGAGCTTTCAAGAGATAGGAAGGAGGATTTTCCAAACTAACTCTCGGGAGAGTTATTAGAACTTAGCTAATTAGAGATATTAGTTTAGTACCCTTTCTTGACTAATTTAATATAGTAACTTAAACGCGCAACATTTTACTATAAGTAATCTTGGTTTCCACCACTTAGCTATAAAAACCAAGCTATCCGAATTAATAAGTGAAAAGAGATAGGACTGGTATATATTAATCCAAAAACGTAATTTGTATCCCAACAATCCTGACACACTTCCCCCTTTTACACCCGCCAAATCCGTCATCAAGCGTAACCTCCTCATCAATCACATCAATCACCCCCTGATCAATCATACCTCCTCCCACCCTCCTCCCTCCACTCCTCCCTCGCCACCTCCCTAACCTCATCGCCCATGCGCCTCACACACAACATCTCCAAAAACAGACCCACCTCCCCACGCGTCCCCTCTCTCACCGCCTTCTGCATATCCACGCCATAGCGATTCCGATATTCGCGTTTGACCGCTTCCATGTGCGGACGATCCCAGTGATAGCGTACGAGGCGCGAGATAAGCAGTTCGGAGCGGATGGAGTCTGATTTGGATGCCGAGAGCGCGTGGTGGACGAGCAGAGCGTCGCGGACGGGTTTGTTGATTACGCCGTTGAGGATGTGGGCGAGGAGTTCGCCCTAAAAATACACGTTAGTTAGGCAATTGGAAGGGGGGGAAAGAGAGAGGGGAAGACATACAACCAAATTCCCCGACTTCTTCAACATTTCCCTCGCGAAATTGCTCTTATAACTCTGCTCATACAACTTCAACACCTCCCTGAGATGCGCATCCGACCTTACAACCACAATCCCAATCATCTTACTCTCGCCCCCCTTCTCACTCCTCACCGCATCACGCAGATCATGCACATCGTCCTCTACAAGTCTCCGATCAACGCCATAGCGTCCATCCTCCTGCCTTTTCTCATCCAGCACCATCAACACCGCTTTCTTGAACTTATCTTCCTTAAGTTCCGTCTTCATGCATTTGATCAAACTATCACTATACTTCTTATCCGCAAACCCATCTTTGATCTCGCGGATCTCGCGATTCGTACGGCCCATCAGCGATTCAATAAGTAACTCCCTCCGCGATTTCTCGCCCTGATACCAGAAATTCGACCAGTAAGCCTCGCTCTCCCAACGACCTAGCGCAACGGCATAACATGCTTTCATAAGCGCCGGATCCTCGCCTTTGAGACGGAGCTTGATGTGTTTAGCAATATTCACGCCTTTCTTGTCCGAGCCCGTTTTGACGATGCGTTTGTATTCGACGCGCAGATCGAGGACTTGTTCGTGAGTGAGGCCCGGGAGGATGTCGATGAGGGGACGGGTGTCGGGGGCGTGTTTGTCGCCTTTGAGAGCGCGGGCGAGGATGGAGGCTTCTTCTTCGGGGTCGTGGAAGCGTGCTGTTCGTCGTCCTTTTTTGCCGCCACGGCGTTCATCGTCGGAGGATCCTGGGGAAAGAGGGCCTAGATCGTCGAGATCGTTGGGAGCGTGGGAGGCCATGACCAGGGGAGAGGGCATTGGTGAGATGGATTGATAGGTGCCGTGGTAGGCTTCGAGGAGGGGAGATCCGGGAGCGTTGGCGAGACTCATGCTTGCTCCTCCGTGGTGACCGGTAGAGACAGATAAACTGTGCATTCTTGGAGCCAATCCAGCCATAGGATTAGGAGATGGATCTCGTCGTCGCGAGGTAGGATCCACTGTCACGATATGGTTCTTCGACGTCCTCGCCGAATCACCAGTATAACTCCCATGTCGCTCATGATGACGATCACTATCCCTATCGTCCCTCCTCTCATCTCTCCTATCCTTTTTATCCCTCCTATCCCTATCATCTCTCTCATCCCTCCTATCTTTCTTCTCCTCCCTCCTTTCCCTCCCCTTCTTCTCATCCCCATACCTCTCATCCCTCCCATAATACCCCGCTGGCGGACTAACCGGCCTCGCATTATACGTCGTCTCCTGTTTCTTCGAATACGTAATATCGCCCTGATGCTGCTGATACTCCCACTTCTTCGGCTCCGCATAACTCTGTAATGCTTGGGGGCCCGGCGGACTTCCATAAGCAAGCGCATCTTCATACTTGCTCTTCCCATGTTTCTCATGCCCATGAGCGATCTGAATACCTCCACTGAGACTATGCTGGCCGGTCGCGATATTAAACGCCGCGCCTCTCCCAGCATCTTGATATTGAGACGGTCCATGCTCATGATCTTTATAACTATATTTCGGATCCTCATGATCTTTATACGTATACTTCGGTTCCTCAACATCATACCCCCTCCCAGCCTCCCTCCCATACTCCTTTTTCTCATAACTGCTCTCCTTGTAATACTCCTTCTCCCTCCCTTTCCCCGCATACTTCACATCTCTCACATCTCTATCCTTGTCCTCATCGCGATCATCGAAGCCGCCGGGCATAGCAGGCATATCGAATCGCGCGCCCTCATCTCTGTATCCTCCCGGGACACCATATTTGTCTGAAGGCGCACCATATCGATCACCTCTCGGCTCCGCCGTCACGATCGCAGCATTACTGCGCTCGTCATACCCACGATCACGAGGGTCTTCGTAGCGGGATGATGGAGGAGAGGGCATACGCTGGCGCGAGCGAGAACGTTCGTCCCGTCGGCCGGGGGATTTGGAGCGGGCTCGTGTGCGGGAGTCTCGAGGGTCGAGAGACATCTTTCGTGACTGGTATTCTTTGGTTCGAGTACAAGATCTCCAAACTCCTCGATTCAGCTCTTTCACAATCCAAACACTGCAACACAATCGACTCTCACAACTTTCTTGCTTTCCGCGTTCCAGTCAACGAAACTGCAGAATCGCTTGAACAGATCAAGAGGACACAAGATCAATAATAAGAGAAGGAAGAGAAAACCCTTCCTCAAGCTGAAAGTAATTGAAACAAAAAGAAAACCAGCGCCAACCCAAACCCTCACCTCCCACCACTCCACTCCAACCCCTCAGCAGCGCCAAAGCGGGGCCCACCTCGACATTGGGGGCCGTACATGTACATCGCCGTCTCATCTCAGCTTACATCTATTGTACGTGAAAGTCTGTTTAAGTATAAACATAAACATATTTTCTTTACGTCTGTATACATATTTGTTCTATTTATCCATTCGATTTTTCAATCCTTTTACACCTCCAACTGCCCATATATTTGGTACAAGTTACTCTTGTTTTCACACACACAACCAACCCCTCCACTCCAGCCATGACTAGACACTAAAATAGCATCCCGGCCCGGGTATCATTCCCCAAACCAGGCGTTCCCGGTTCCGCTAAAGACGCCAATTCTGACATCCGCTTCAGCCCTGTAAAGCACGACAACTCAACAAGAAATTCATTCGCGTGCCACATCACGTTTGCATTTATATACTGTACTGTTAATATTTGAAGAGTATATCGTGCACTCCCCAATTACTCGACTATATCACTATGGAAGTAAAAGCAACCCTCTCGGCTCTACTCCCCTACGAGTACCCGCATCTGGAACAGCACCTTAGCACTAATCTGTAACTACGCACATCAACAGCTGGCACAACACCCTAATATGCACAAAAATATAACAAGACATCACACATATGCAATCCTGCATGCAAAACTCAATCCTCAACGACCCGTCACGTTCAATGGCTTTCATTCGTAGCTGACTATAAATCTACAATCAGACCGAGCCGCGCGCATAATCATTCATTGGCCCACGTAGCCTGATATTAAATTAAAAAAGTACCACCAACTCAAGAAACTTGAACAAATTGCCCCATTCCTGGCACACCATCCACCAAACAATACACAACATATGGTCCAGGTGGCGCAACCTTGGTATTTGGAGGTGCTGTCACCGTCAACGTCTGCGCTGTCTGACCTTGAACCCAGCCAGCGGTGTCCAACTCAAGCATTCGGTGACCCATGTGAACGGAATGAGTAACAAAACCACCATGGTACAACATGACCTTGACAGTCTTTGCATTTGCAGGAGCTGTCAGAGTAATCTTGAATTGACCACCAGTCTTGACGTCCAAAGTCGAGAGGACAATATTCGTTGGTCGCTTGTTGGCATTGTCACCTTGTAGATAAGGTGGAGTATATTTCTCGACTCGGAAGTCGGTGACATATGGATCCTTAGCATCTGGGGCCAACTTTGGCATTTCCACCGGGTTGGAGCCAGTGACCAAAACGCATCCATCAAGTGTCATCAGTGCGACAGAGTGATACAGACGGGGAACGGTGGATGATGCGGCAGTAGTGAATCTTTTACCAAGTGGTTGACTTGGATCATAGAGAAGTGCCTCTAGAGTTGGGTTTTGCATAAGTCCAAATCCTTGTGCGCCTCGGTTTCCACCATTGAGGAAGAGAACGGTACCGTCGGCGAGCAGAGTACCCTCGACCATACCTCTACCTTCTGGCATCGACTCCATTTCCCATTTTGGGTTGTCGCTCAGAGGTTGAATACGACCACAACTTGGATCGGTAGGAGATGTGATATCTTGATAGGCACCTCCGCCACAAATAATGATATCTGGTGCCCAATTGTTCTTGCTTGACAATGGCATCATAACGCTACCACCTGTGTTTGGGTAGGTGCGATATTCTCCTGGAAGATCTGGCAGTGCCTTGACGATAGTGTTGCTTCCGACGTTGAAAACTTGAGCGGACTTGGAAACGAAGACGAACAAGTTACCATCATTCAGAAGGTGGACGAAAGGATACATGTAGTATGGCTGGTTCTTGACGAGAATATCCATAGGAATATTCTTTCCTTGAGTCACTGCTTGCGGACTGAGAATTTCGTAAGTTGGGTTGTTGTTCGCCAAAACTGTAGGATCGAGACCGTTCAAGCTACCGGATGCAACAAAGACAGTTCCGTCAGGCATAGTTTGTGCTGTTGCATACCAGCGAGCACTGGCAAGCTTGTTTCCAGGCTCACTCCATCCTTGTCCATCAGGAGCTTTGTTTGAAGACGATCGACCAAGATATCGAATGGCGTCAAAACCATCGCCGATGTTTGGATCTAACCATGTCAATGGCGCGTTGCCTCCAACCGAGATGACTCGACCATCAGCAAGGAAAGTTCCACCCGAACAGAAGGCGTTGGTAAGATAGGTAAGAGGAACGACAGCGTGTGTGACAGGATCGTATTCCGAAGACATTGCGTAATAACCGTTCGCAGTCTTGAGCTGAGTGTAGTTCTCCAACTTATCCAGGAACATCACCTTTCCGTTTGGCATGAGTGCGGCGTGCATTGCAGGAACACCAGATTGTCCGACAATTTCGAAAGAGCCGCCATTTGGTGCCAGAGGTGCTGGACTTGGGCCAGGCGCAGCAACTGCGGGAGCATTTAGACAGTTACCAGATTGGCAACCACCGCCACAATGAGCACTTGTTGAACCACTATAACATATCAGTATAATATATAGAAAGAAATCGAGAGTAGTCATCGTACCAGAATCCATACGCAGAGCAGCAGTTTCCGTTTGGCCAGTTTCCACAAACCTCATTGTTGTTGGTGGTACCACAAGTGCCATCTGTAGTCACCTTCGCTGTCGCAGTAGCTTGAGGGGGTATAGACGAAGTAGCAGGGCCAATTACTGGCTCGGCTGCTGAAGTGGTGGTGCCTGATGGAGTGCTGTCTGGTGGAGTTGCAATGCATCCATTCTGGCATCCGCTTGAAGCTTGACAGTGTGTTGGAGTAGTACCGCAATATCTAGAATATCCAGTCAGCTCAAAACCTCTCACAAACCATCATGGCATAGATAGAATATATATTTGACATGCCCGTAAGAAGAACAGCAACCTCCATAGCCGCCATTGGGGTCGCAAGTAGCGCCACCAAAGTCTTTTCCGCATCTTCCATCGGGTCGAGGTGTTGTTGATGATGTTGCAACTGGAGGAGGAGCCGAGGTAGGAGTCGCAGAACAACCATTTTGGCATCCATTTGCAACTAAGCAATGATCGGTTGTGACACCACAGTAACTTTGTTAAGAATAAGTAACTGTTATATGGCAGATATATATAGTGATTGAAGATTAAATCGAACAGAGAGAAAATGAAAGTCATCACCTACCCATACATGGAGCAGCATCCACCGTATGCACCCTTGGGATCACAGGTAGCACCGCCAAAGTCCTGTAATTGAGTCAGCCTCGAATGAGAACGTGTGTCCAGATGTTGTGAACTCACTTTTCCACATCTTCCATCATCTCGTACCGCACGAAGCTGAACTGTGGGAATTTGATCTGAGAGAGAACCGAAGGATGATGGATATTTGATCTCCTCGACAGCTACACATCTTCGATCTGTTAGCAAAAGACAATGGATCTAGATCGGTTCACGTACACTCCATCATCCGTACAATCTTGGCCGTTGAGACAACCATGGTACATTTGAGTGCTGGTGGTGTTGCAGCTTAACGGGGCGTAATTAAAGATTATGTTTGCCGAAGCAGCGGCGAGAAAGCCGAATGAAGTGATAGTAGTCTTCATTTTGGCTGATTCTGAATTGAGATGTCAGCGATTAGATCGAGTTGAAGATGATAAAAGAGAGAAGTTCAGCATGGAAAGCTGAAGACCTGTGCAGGATAAACAGATCTTGTGACTGTAAACACTGGAAGTATGGCTGGCACACCAGCATTGTTGCCATACTATTGTCTGGGCGACCAACACGGCTCGTGAAAACCATGCTGTACTTTGTAGATTCGTCACAACTCAAACGAGCGAAGTGACAGAATATCCAAGTTACAACTACTTGAGCCCAACAAAGCCGAGAGTCGAAGCACCAAAGAAACCAGAAAGAATCAACTCACCAAAGTAATATTATTAGGTAATTATACATGCAGTATCAAAACTGTCTGTCGTAGGTAGAAGTCGTGTATCTCAAGGAAATTTGTGATCTAGGGAATTCGTAAAAAGAGCTATGCAAAGAACAATAAAGGCCTGGCATTCAAAGAGTTTGGTAACGACCGGACGAGCACAAGATCTTAAGCTCTTCGAATCTTGCACATAATAATGTTGGGCTGGGAGCGTCTTAGGAAGTGGTTGGAGGTGGGAAAAAGCAAGCAAAAGGAAACAGGTACAAGTGAAGAGGCAGGGCAAGTCAAAGTGATAGCTTTTTTGGGCCCCACGAGGGAAGTTGCCAGCCACCATGTCGATGCTGGAACGGCAGTCGCGATACTGTACCCACTGAGTCAAATCGGCAGCTGTATCCGATTACATGGTCCAATGATTTTTCTTCTTGACAAGTCAAAAATTCTAAATCCGGAGATTTTTGGCTGGGATTCAAGCTTTCTGGAGCCTTTTTCATTTCGGTCGTGTCGTGCAGAATGGAGAACGAGTGTCATAGCGACCGAACAAACACGCCCCCTTATTGGTACGCCAGAGAAAGGGGGTCTGGTGAAGGGTCCATGGTTGAGAAGGATTGCTGCATGTGGGTAGATCAGAGCGCGCAATTGTGCGACTTGATGCTGATGAATACGAGAGAGAAGTTGACTGCATGAGATTGCGGTTTCGATTTTATTCTACTTCGTACGACTAAGATGTTGGCTGCATATCATGTCAGACTAACTGTTCATTGATGTCACACTTGTGGCCCTATCATTGACCGCAAAATCTACTTGGTAACCCGAAATTTGATTAATATTTCGGCACGTAGATGTTGTGATCCTTCACGATTCGAATTGCCCGCCGCTCTTTTTGACGCTTCACCCAGCACCAGCCGATCAGTCGTACCAACCATCTTATTGTTTGCCAATAACTATTGACAGCTGTCACAGCAACGGCTTTCCTGCATCTCTCGGTGGCCGAAGTCTCAGTCTAATTCAGACGATTGGTGATCAGCCACTAGATCGCTTAAGTTAGGAGGTAGAACCTGGTTGGATATCTCGTATTCATGCATGGCTGCTTGACACGAGGACGAGCAAAGCTTAATTTATCCTCGGTGTCCAGCATTTAATATCGAAGTCGCTGAGAAGCTTCCAACCACCTGTGGGGTTTGGCCGAGTACGGTTCTGGTGTCAATGCGAAGGCTAGAAATGTTCGCCTGAGCGTTTCGACATAAGCTTTTGTGACAAGAAAACAAGCCATATGGTCAGGTTCTCATCTGATCCCAAACTCATTACTCGTCACCAAGCGAGTTCCTTCTTCTGAACTCCCGTCGTAGGTTGAGCAGGCGTATCCAGAATCTTGTCAGTAGCATCCCTCTCCGCAACTTCATCCTCTCCACGCCTATTATCCATAATCTTCAAATCCAACCCCCATCTCTTCACCTCCTCATCCACAATCCCCTCCCACTTAACAACCAACGGATGCGCCTTTGCTACATCCTCCCAAACCACCTCCCCTCCCTCCCCAGGGACATCGTATTTCCAAATCCCATCCTCCCCCCACCACTCCGCTCCAAAAAGACTCTCAGTCCTCAACTCCTCCCTCCCCTCTTTCACCAACACCTCCAGGCGTGCCCTCTCTCTATCCCAAACCTCACTCTCATCCTTCACACTCCTCACACCCCCCCAAACCCCCTCCAACAACCCCAGAACCTTCCCAATCCTCAACCCAAGCACCGCACCCAGACTATACCCCTCATCAAACCCCTTCTGCACCGTCTCAGCCTTCCCCTTCGTAACCCCATCCCGATACCCCTCCGTCTCATGTTTCTCTCTCAGTCTTGGGATATCAGAATACTCGTCGTTCGCTCCCCCACCACCAAAAGCAGGCGAACCGGGTTCGGAACCGAAAACATCGTCGAGGATATCATTCGCATCGTCCTCTACCTCACGACTCTCGTCGTCGCGTGAGCCAGCGGGCGGAGGATACATCTCATCGTCTCGAAACATGATTGAACATCCCAAAACCACCTCCCCTTCAAAATATCGTTGAAATTCCTTATCGCTTATCGCGCATTCGGCTCAACCTCGGCAGTCTCACACCTTTCCCGATCAGGTCTGTTTGTCTACTATTGTCTCTTCTTTATAAACACAGCCAGCATTTTTTCTTTAATCATCCATCTCAAATGAAAGAGCATGAACCCTCTTCGTACGCGTTAGTATAGTAGTGGTTTCTAACTAGCCGCCCCCCCAAGGCGGAGACGGGAGTTCGAATCTCCCCTAACGCAAGCATGCTGTTTTGGCAGTCACTGGTTCAGTGCCACATATTTTAGTTAATTTTAGTTATTTTGGAACAATCTACTAGTTTTTTGGGAAATATACAGGTTCTCTTTCGCGTGGATGAAAGGGAGGAAAGGCGAGGTGCAAACGGATTCACTAAAAGGCATCGATTGGCTCTTGCCGAAACAGACCTACAACCCGAATTGGAATGCCTCCAATGAACTAAGCTACCCGTAATCGGGTTGCTAAGAAACACTGTTTTGCAACCTCACCTCAATATTCTCTACATAGTACTAAATGAAAAGAAAAATGGACATATTCCTAACAGTAATGCTGCAGTGAGTGTTGTGGAGTCAATGATATTTCCTTAACTAGGCTGTGTTGTCAAATAGTAGAAGCGACAAAGATTTCGTACTTGATACACGAACTCCGATATCTGAAGAAATAGAATAGATGTTTCTTCTCCGTTGATATATGGTTTTCACGTATTTCTATATACCTGTCTCTGTGACAAGTTTATCTGCTTATTACGTCTCTTCCTTTAATACAGAGGAGCAGTGAGAACATTTTTTATCCATCTATCTCTTTCAGCTGTTCGCTCAACCGTAAACACCACATAAACATGAATGACAACTGCCCAACTTGTAGGGGTGAAGTATCTGAGAGGGTTTTGCTGGTTTTGTACGTTCTTCTAACACAAATAGTAGTACATCTCTTACAGCTCTATGCTGCCTTTCCCAGCTAGGTATTTACCATCCGTATACTCTTACATATACATAATATACAACTCCCCCGACTTCCCATCATTCCACACTATCTCCAAACCACAATGATTTGAAAAGTCTACATCAGCCCCTCCTCCCTCCACCTCTCAAAATCCACCTCCGGATCCGTCGGCTCCACCATCCCCCAAGCATCCCACCTCCCCTCCTCCCACCCCTTCATCATCCTCTGCACGACAAAAAACTCCCTCACCCCCCTCTCCCTCCCACTCCCCTCCACCACCTGCCCACTCCTCCACCTCGTCAACTTCTGCACACTATCAATCCTCACAACACACTGTCTACACGCAATCCCCTCGACCCCCAAATTAACAACCCTATGACCTACAACCCTCGCCCCCTTCAACCTCATCTCCCATTCCACGCGTTCCCCCCCAAGTCCCCTCATCTTCTCCGTCATACTCCCAAGCAAGCCATCCGCACAAATCTTCCTCAATTTCTTCACATCCTTCTGCGCAAACGCCTGATAGACGTCACTATACAGCGCCAACGCCATCTTCTTCACCTGCGACCGTTTCGGGTGCCGCACTTTCGCGCGCCCGATCTGCCAGAACCGTTTCCCGGCGCCGAGGCGCGGTCCGCCGTATTTGAGGATCGCGCGGTGGGAGAAGTCGCGGAGCTTGAAGCGGATGTGCCGGTAGAGGAGGTTGGCGAGGAAGACGGGGGATTTGGGGAGCGTGGATAGGGGCGGTGGGATGTAAGTTGCTGGATTTTATTAGCTCTGTCCATATCCCTTTCATTCGAATATATGGAAATCCAAAGGGACATACCAGGTAACAGTCCAATATCCCTAGGGATGTTCAATCCCCCGCCTGCCTGTTTCTTCGACAAGATTCTCAGATCCGGCTCCGCGCGTTGTTTCTGCATGAGGAAATCCCCTTCTCCGTCACGGCAGGCTCGAGGAGTTTGTGAGAAGGGACGAATCCATCCTGAGGGCTGTGAATATAAAGGGCGAGATAATGGGCGGATGCCCCGCCGGAGGAGATGTGCCATTGAGTTGGAGGATGTATGTCGTGGTGTTGATGAACTTGGGAACTTTTTTGGTGCAGGGGTTGAGGTATGGTGGGTGATTCTCGGGTATTGTTTTAGGGGTGGTGATTGGTTGATTAGTGCTGCTATATGCAGTAGTGAGATGTCAAGGTGTGTTTGTACTATTGAAATACTTGAGAATTGTATCAAACAAATGATTTGCTTTTCATAATAAAAACCTAAAATCTCAATTCCAAATCCAGAGATCAATCTATCTCAATCTCTCAAACACCTCCCCTGCCAAGCCCTCATATCCACAACACCCTCGCGCAACGCATATCAGTACTGGGAGTAGTATCGCGTGCCAACCCCTCCAAGTCCCTTCTCTTTCCTTCCTCCTCCCTCCCTAACCTCTCCAAACCCTCCACCCTCAATTCACACCGCGATTTCCCTACACCCCAATCCTGAATTGCAAACGGCAGCACATGCCCTAACCCCATTCAACTGGCTCCCCCCAACCGCGCCCAGGCAATAGGAACATCACCTACACCTACAACCACCACACCTCCCCTCCACACCAGCACCTCCACTCTCCCTAAACCCTCACTCCGTCCTCCCCCCTCAGTCCTGCACCCCCGCGTCGCGGTCCTCCTCGGCATCTCCTCGCACTGGCACATCCCGCTGCTCCTATGTCGAGCTCTTTCCACGGCGCCGGCTGCATGGTGGGGATTGCGGTGCGCGCTTACTTTTATGGGGGAGTTGTTGTTGGCTGAGAGTTTGTTTGGGGGGTGGGAGGAGGGGGGTTGGGATTGGAAAAGGGAGGTTTAGTGGGAAGAGGGGATATAGGGTTGGGAATGGGATTGGCAATGGGGATTGAGGGAGAGAGTTGGAGTGTGGAGAAGAGGTTTAGGGTTACGGAGGTTTTCTTGGGGGTGCTATGGGTGAGTTTAGTCCTTTTTGTTTTGGGTGTGGTACTGGATGTGGTTCAGGAGAAGATGTGGGGTTTATTTGAATATGCTGTGGAAGAGGGCAGGATAAGAGTTATAGGTCTGTGAGGGCGTTAAGAGCAGGAGATCACAAGAGAAAGACGAAATCAGCAACAACTGAATTCGGCTAATCATTCCCAAACAGTGTTGCGCATCAGCCTACCTCTCATTCTACTTCACAGATTGTCTAATGTCAAGATGGTAAGTCTTCTTCCTTCCACCCCTCTACTTATCTACTTCCCCCTTCCCCCTATACCATTACCCCCTCCCTCACCTCGTCTATCATTCCTATCTCCCTTTGAACCATCCTTACGATTCCCTCGCTTTTCAAACTAACACCCCCCACAGGCTCCTAAACTACACCCCGCAAGCAACGCTCGTCCGCCTCCTCACAATCAACGCCCTAAACGCCTACATCACAAGCTGGGTCCTCTATCTGTCCGGCGGATCAGAAGATCCACGATTGTTGTTACCGGCGTGGATTAGTATCGCGACTGTAAGTTCCAATCTTTTTAAAACCCCCATATACATGCACATACATCACTTATAACCGAATACCACCTCCTCCTCACCTATCCTCTCATTTTCATCTTCAGAGCTGCCCCTCCAACACCTTATAAGCTAATTCATCCCCCCAGACCCTAACATTCCTCTACCACCTAACCCACCCACGCCTTGCAATCCTCAAAGAGACCTCCCTCTCCATCTCCGTCTTCTCAATCGCGAGCTTCATCAGCCTCGTCAGTCTCTTACTCCAACTCCATCTCACACGGGAAAACGACCCACCGGTGCCGCTCTTCACCATCGCGCGGGAATGTTGGGAGTATCTAAAGATAGGTGTGTATAAGATAGGAATGGCAGGAAGACGAGAGTTATAGCAATAATTGAAAATGAAACCAATAGATAATTTCACATGTCAAATCAATGGCAGGTTCAAAAGATAACCGTCAATCATACACCAATCACAATGAAACAAGGTTCGCCAGGTAAAACGTGTATTCTCTTTCATTTTATCAGAATCCATACCAATCAGCAAGTCCTGATCATGGAGGGCGAAGAACAGTATGATCCTTCTTAAACACACCCTTATCGTACTTCTCAACAAATGCAAAAAGCAAACCGCGTAATCAATCCTCCAGCCTATATACCAGGCCATCATTGCTTTCTAATGTAGAATGCGGGTATCATCGAACGCCCCATATCGAACCCAATCGCAAGTAAGGGATCAGTTCGACCCAGCCATATCAAAATATATAAGAGGCGCGGCAAGAAGTTGTGGGTGAGGAAAAGCTAATGCCGGGTGACTTCTGTCAAGATCCTCATGATAAAAGGCTTGGTGGGACAGGCTTCGACGATTTTAGAAACCGTGGACCTGTGCAAAGAAGGTATTAGTTTGGGAAACACACGGCGCACGAAAACGACGATCTCTTACCTTGATGGTCTTGGCATCCAACTCAAGTCCTTCCTTTTTATCGGTGAGGAATTCTTGTACATCCTTGCGCTGATCGCCTTGAAGTTGAATCACCTCTCCCATCTCACTATCAACGACGATGGTGCCATTGCAAGCTATTTAAAACATCAGTCACTGTCCAGCTGAACGTTCCGAACAAACCGCACGACTTACCAAATTTCTTCTTAATGACCTTGAGGATCTTCTTCTGATCAAATTTCTTAGGGAGACCTTGGACAGTGGTCAAAGTCTTACGACCATTTCGCTCTGTGGTGGAAAACAAAAAGAGTCAGCCCGCTTATCTCTCAAGTTTGTTGCGTCAGACCGCGGGGCCGTACGCGAGAGACTCTAGCCCCAACACAAATGGGTCACTTACGTTGAATACGAATGTGTATGTAATTTTGCGACTGCTTGGTCTCTCCTGTATCTTCGTCGGCTTCGGCGAAGGGGTCTGTGACTGTTAGTTGTTGTCCCACGAGGATCGCGATAAGGCGAGAGAAAGCGATGGCAGATCGCCAGCCTCGACAGGGCGGCGACATAAATGTGGCAATACACATCACCATCGCCTTTGATGCATCGCGCGTACACCACAGATACTCGCGCAGCTGTAAACAAATGGCAGACTCACCGAAGGTCTTGAGATTTTCGATTGACATAAACTCGAGTGTTCCTGGGTCTCTTGGGGGCTGGGTTGTGTTGGTGGGGTCAAGAAGGTGTGCGAAAACGGTGTCGCGAGAGTGATGTAGGTTTGTGAGGTTGTGGTATACGGTTTCGGGTTTGCTTGGAGTGGAGATTGTCGAAGGGCTGAAGTAGCTGAAAGTATGCGTTGAAGGCTGTGATGTTCGTGAATGGGATCGAATTGAAGAATGACCAAAGAAGGCGGGGCAGGAACGAGACGCTAAATACGGTCCGTGGGTAACCGATCACGTGGTAGGCTTGGAGGGTCCTGACCCTGCGAAAATCTGATGAATGACGATCCGCCACTGCCGCTTGTGAATGTTCCTAAGTACTAGGAGGATTGACTTTGACTCATGATTGATATTGATAACAGACTAGGAAATCCATATTGTCGATATGTTGTTAACAGTTTCATAGTTTGAGTCAGATCTGATCTATCAACTTATGAATCTTGTGATGAAACTCTGACCATGTAGAGGAAACTTTTTCGGAATTAAAGGAGAATGAGGTTTTCGCTTTACTAGCTGGATGTCTAGAATGCAGGTGAGAAAACCCGTCGGCTGCGTGCAGCCTAGTGAAATCCCATGCATATCGATGGACGGGTATTGGCAGTTGGAACTTGAAGGTTGCCTCAAGAAGGGTTGAATTTGTACCATTCTCAGTATCTCACAGACACCATCTCCAAAATCGTGTGTAATAAATAACAAATCCTCGAATTATATACGTCGAACCTATCCCTCCTGCCACCATATCACTTTACCATAACACACCTGAACATCGACTTGTAAACCCCCTGTTGAAGAATCAAGACCTCTATCAATCTCTCTTCAGAAGAACTTCCCCTTATGATCGACAGTGACAAGACCCGCGCTAGTATCTGCATGAATCTCATCACTATCGGCATACTCCGGGGCGCCCATAACACGTCTATTAAGATATGCTGGACGATCTAAAGCACCAAAATGTCTTCCAGTAATCTTAGCAAAGATAAATTGGAAGGCAATTCGCACCACAAAAGCACCGAATCCCCAGAGTAGACCACCCACAGGAGCGGCGACGAAAGCCCCAAATACACTCCAGTCATTAGCGTAAAGTCCGCCTTCGAGAAGGATCAAGTCCGCTCCAGCTTGTGCGTTTCCATAGTAGATAGTCCCGAAGATGAAAACCGTTATGATACCACCTAGACCACCAACGACGACTTCGAAGCCACGCCACCAGTAGAAACGATCGCTGAGACCGAGGATGAGAACTGGGATGCTGGATGCGGAGAAGAGATCGGAGATTAGGTAGATTTGGAGGATACTTGGTGCTTTGAGCGCAAGGATTATAACGGGAACGATAAGAAGCACGACAGCTGCTCGAATGAACCAGATGTTGAGCTTGTTTCGGAACAGGTCGTTGGATCCCATGGATACCATGGCGGATTGGAAACTGTCGAATGCTGCTGTGCTGAGGGAAACAACCATGACAAGTACGATACCGACAACCCACGCAGGAAGTCGTTCGAGGAGTAAGAAGAATGCGATACTCCCGGAAGACTCAATGTCGTCTGGGCCTAGTGCGCCTGACCATACTGCAATGAGACCGGTACATCCGATCAGAGTCAGAATGATGAGAACGACAACGGCGGCGATTGAGATACCAATCCAAAGGTCCTTGTCTGTTTTTGAAGCGAAAGCTCGAATCCAGAAATTGGAGAGGAAAAAGTCGTTAGTCAAAACTGCGACGGGAAGGATGTAGAGCAGTTGCCATCCAAGCAAGCTGGCTTGTGTAAGACCTGACGAATCGATGAGACTAGTGTCAATGTCGGTCTTGACTCCAATTGTGATTGTAGCGATTATGACTATGATTATTGTTAGATGCTGGTTACTTGTATTTCGGGTTGGACTTACTGAGACAAACAACCATAGCTCCTTGAATATTGTCTGTAATGAAAGAGATCTTGAATCCTCCCAGGGCTAAGGTTACAGTTAGTCAGATTCTCTCACAAGAATGAATGAACCTACAAGTATAGATAGTTGCGACAACACACTGCACAATAACCATTGGCAGACCATCCATCCCAGTCAAAGCAGTCATGATCTGTTGCAATGCAGAGAGCTCAGCAACCATGTAAAGGAACATAGTAGCCATACTCAGAAAGCTGATATACAGAGCTGCTACAACTCCATAACGCTGTCTCGTCCATTCTGTCAAAACAAACCCCCCAGGACATTTTGATCTGATGATTGGACCAAGCCAAGCGAAAATGAGAAGAGGTGCTGCAGAACTGACGGCATACACAACAACACCCTGAACCCCAGTAATGGTAGCCAATTGTGGATACGCAAAGAGAATTCCTGATCCGAGGGCTGTAGAATGGTAAAATCTAAAGTTAGCTATTCTGTTTTGTCAATTAGGAATGGGGAATCATTGAAGCGGCAGACACTTTCCCACGCAAGCATTAACTTGATCGAGTATTACGGTGCAATCTCAGCTTCATCTCATCAGAATCAGATATCTCTCTCAAACGAATAGAGAGTTGGATAAATGACATCTAAATCAAATCCGCGCCCGTAGTGAAGCCGCGCTGGTCTTCCTCTTTTATCTCCTTGCGCGCAAGCACAATTCGACTCCAAAGGAAGACCAGCGGTGTGGATGAATACGAACCTCTTCACAACTCATTTTTCCTGGAGATCCTGTTCCAGGTGCTTTGCATACGGAATTTGTGTTTCTGTTTTCGAAATTGCTGCCGCTTTCTACCTGATTCGTAGGTTGTTGTGTAGGTACTGACCAGAAGCAATGAAGTTCAAAGCCAAGGGAATAGCTAGTGATAGATTAGCTAGTTGTTCTTCCTAACATGGAGCTTCAAGAAACTTCTGCCCTCTTATCGCAGTAAACTGAGTTGGAGCAAAAATTCTTATCCCGGATTGTCTAACCAGTCTGAGTTCTGTTACTCGAAAGATATTCGCCCTTGATCACAATTAGCACGTGTTCTTCCTCCAAACACAACGCATTATCCAAGATATGACAAAGTCGCAAATGTCATGTATAAACTCATACCTTCGTCTGATGTCTCAACCGCCACGCCAAAAAACAACCACCGACCCTACAAAATTCCCACCTGTCAGCCAATTCTCCCTCAACATCTCTCTCCCACCCATCTTCCCATCCATCCCATCAGCCCATCCATCCCACACTCAAACACGACTCAAAACTCGCAAACCTACAAAAACGCCCCATAAGTCAAATAAATAATAGCATTGCTAGCCTGCGTCGAAGGTTGCCCCATCGCGATATGCCCGTGCGTTTGCTCGTCCTTTTACTCGTTCGAAATAAGCGTATACAGGAGAGCAGTTTAATGTTCAACTATTATGCAAAGCGCAAGACGTGAAAGTTACTCAAAGTGAGCGAAGAGCCACCATAAAAACAAAAAATTTCCCCCGTGGTCACCATAGCAAGCTATCCTATTCGGGGCAAGCTCCACTCTTTGATTCCCGCCACGAGATCACAAACCATCATCCTCTATTTCCCGTCCCTCTCACACTACGTTACACAACCAATTATTCTCTTTCTGATTTCCATTAACTATCTAAGCATGTGAATGTATTTCAAATTCTCCGTTTAAGTGCAAAGTAGCTGGATAATTGTCTGTTTCGAGTACAAAATCCGACGGAGTGGCCGTTGGTTTGGATGGATGACTGTATGAGGTGACAGGGGTGGGGGAGATGAGTGGAAGGGAAGGTGGGGGTTGGAGGGGTCGGCTCCGAAATCGCCCCGCTATTAGGGGTTCTGGATGACCTGGGACTCTTTGCATGTGGTATGGGGTATATATCTTCAATTAAGGGAGCTAAATTTGAGAAATTGACTTGAGAGATTTGACGCGTTTTAGATTTAGCACAATGTACTTTTCCCAGTCGGCAGATCTATAAAATCGGGTATAATCCTCTAAATCCCCTCCCTAACAGCACTCTCCCACCCCCTCCCCGTCAACTTCTCAAAAGCCTCCCGATACCTCTCCGCCGTCCCCCTCACCACCTCCTCCGGCATACTCACGCCTTCCTTCCCTTTCAATCCCTCTTGCACCAACCAATTCCTCAAATACTGCTTATCGAAACTCTCCTGCTCGCGACCGACCTCATACTTATCCGCCGGCCAAAAGCGACTGCTATCAGGCGTGAGCACCTCATCTACGACTACAATCTCATCCGTCTCCTCATCGAGTCCAAACTCGAACTTCGTATCCGCGATGATAATACCTTTGGTAAGCGCATAGTCGCGCGCCGCGGTGTACAGGGAGAGCGCGAGTTTCTCAATGCGCTCTGCGTATTTTGGACCGACGATTTCTGCTGCCTGTGCGGGGGAGATGTTCTCGTCGTTTGCGCCGGCTTCGGCTTTCGTGCTGGGCGTGTAGAGGGGGCCGGTGGGGAGGGCTTGTGATTGTAGAAGGCCGGATGGGAGGGGGATAGTGTGGAGGGTGAAGGACTTTTGGTATTCTTTCCAGGCGGAGCCGGAGAGGTAGCCTCGTACGATGGCTTCGAGGGGGAAGATTTTGAGGCGGCGGACGACCATGGAGCGGTTTTGGAGGGTTGGGTGGAGGGATTGCGGGATTGAGGATGGGAGGGAAAGGGTGAGGAAGTGTGTCTGGAGAGGGGTGTCGGGGAGAAGGGTTGGGAGGAGCTTGAACCAGAAGGTTGAGATGAGAGTTAGGAGTTGGCCCTTGGAGGGAATGCCCTGAGAATGTTAGCTTGATTGAACTTGAATCTGCTGCTTGGACACCTTCTCCCTTTGACTCTGGCACTTATGCCTTGTATTGCAAAGGAGATAGACTTCTAGAAAACCCCAGATACACTTACATTTCCCATAATCACATCGTACGCAGAGATCCTATCCGAAGCAACAAATAAAAGTGTCTTCTCATCGATAACATACAGCTCGCGGACCTTCCCACTCGCCAATTTCGTGAGTGAAGGTATCTCAAAGGTGGTAATTGCGGAAGACATCTTGATTTGTCCAAATTGACGATCGAAGGGGAACTGGTGTATGTTTTGGAAAGAATGATGAGCGAAAGTGGCTGCAACAAAAACCCCAAATCCGTCGTGCGAATTGATGTACAGTCGCGGATCAGTGAATTTGCTGAGCTAGACCGGGACGCAACTTATGAAATTGACTCGAGTCAAGCGCGAGGATATGCTCATTCAGTTTGAATTCAAAATGCGACAAAAAAAATCGAAGAAAGTCTAGACAAGGTGGGGCAATTCAAGCATGTGACTCTGGGGAACCCCACCTACTGCTTATAGTTCTAGAACTTATTAGTCTATTTTTGAGGCAAGTAAGTTTCTCTCTTTAGGAGATATTAAGTACGTGCTACAGTAAAACACAGAAGATCCATCACTTTGTGTCTTCCCATCATCATTACTGGATAGCAATTTGTATAGACCTTAGTGACCTCCTTACTATATGGGTCAGGATGTGCTCAAAATACATTCCTAACAGGGAGTTCAAAACGTGTGCAATCCGTACGGTTTTATAGAGAATACTGTTATGCTAGTAACATACTTGCTTGTACATTGGTATACCCCCAAGCCGAATAAAAATGACCCCAACGCCCGATAAAATAACTTCAGAAAAAGATGAGCCGTCGAAAAACGAGAAGCCGTTGACTTCAAACCTCAACACCCACCATCCTCAACATCCATCCTCACTCTTTATCCCGTAGACTCCTCCCATCTCCCACATCCTCCATCCCTCCCCTACCCAGGAACCCAACCAATCTCCTCCATCGGCCACTTAACCCACAACCTAAACTCCTTCCCCAAACTCCCATAAATCTCACCCATCAAATGCTCCACCCACCCTCTCGTCCACCAGAAGCTTTTCAAGCTATTGAACAGCACGCAAAAATGCGCCAGGAGCACCAACGGAATACTTTCTCTCGCCCTCAATTTCGCCACAAAACTCTCATCCAAGCGGTACAACCACGCAAAGACGATATGAGGTGACGCTTGCGCAGTATACGGTCCTGAGGGCGCAGCTGGGAACGAGCGCGCAAGCAGCGTAAGTGTGGAAAGATAGAGGTTGGTGTCTGGGGAGTTGGAGGCGAGGATGAGATCGCGTAGGATGTCGAGATGAGGATGGGATTGCGGGCCTTGGTTTGTGATTTGTGATTGCAATAAGAATAGAGGTGCAAGATCGCTGTTCCTAAGATGTTCTCCACAGGTTTCAACAATGGATTTCATGCCGTTATGCATGACTAGCCACTCTGGAGGGCCTCCTTCGCCGAAAAGCAAGAAATCCCCTGGACGTGGACCGAGGCCGAGGGTTATGTAGAGGCAGGAGGTTGTGAAGAGGTAGAGCGCCGAACAGGTTTCGGCGCTGATGGAGGGCATGAGAGCCGTTGCTTGGTCAAGTGCTGTTTCGTAGTGGTACTGCGCTTCAGATATGTAGTGCGCTTTCTGAGCGCCGTGTTTGAAGCGGGAGAGGTGAAGAGCGGCCAGGGCGAGGATTCCATGGAGGACGAAGGGGTAGGATACTCCTATTTGGGGGACGTTGATCCGGAAACAGGTTTGGAGTCCTGAGTCGTTGGCGAGAGTGTAGGAGGTTGAGATGTTGTAGTGGTGGAGAAGTTCGAGATCAGTCACGTTTAGAGGTTGGCGATAAGGTCTGGGTGAGTGACGAGCCATTTGGTTTGGTAAAGGGTGTTGGATTTCCTGAGGGGGTGGTGGATGTGGTGGTGATGAGATAGGCGCGAGTTGAGGTGGCGGAAACGCTTGTTGCGTTGTTGATATATGAGAAGGTAGTCCTTGAGACAGGATATGAGAAGGTAATCCCTTTGACTGCATCGGCCCAACACCCTGCAGTGGATTTGGTGCCAGAATCTGAGGTTGAATCTGCGTCAACCCAAGCGCCCTCGTCGTCGCCCCAAGATCACTCATCCCCATGCCTTCAGTCTTCTTCCCCAGAGGCATCAAAGGCACCTCCGACATGCCCGAAGGCTCAGGACTAGAAACATGTTGCGGGCTCCCATGGGGATATCTACAATGTACAGAGTGTCTACTGCAATTTGCACATTGAGGTTTCTTCTCATCACACTATCATTCATCAGCGCTGTTTCAACCAACTCATCTTCATCATGATCGCACTCACCTTAATCTTCCTCTGTTTGCAATTCTGACATCCATTCCTTGATTTCCGATGCGACTTTCGACTCAACTTCCTCGCGACGATGCCAGATGAGAACCCATTCTCCTGTTCCGGAGGAGTAGTTGTCGTGCTCATCGCGATAGGGACACTCATCTCGATCCCTCACCAACACACACTCCTTCACCCACTTTGAATATCTCTCTTCTCAAATCCTCTCTCAGAACCTCCAGCTCTTCTCAAGACCGTAAACCTCTCTCTGTCTCAAGATCCAAACAATCCTCTCTTCCTCACAACTTTCTCTCAAAACATTCAACAACCTTTACATTCCCACAGAAATTCGCCTCGGCCCTGCTTGTAACTCATCTCGTACCCGCACCCCTACTAGCGCTCCCCACAAAACGCATTCGCCCCGTCCAATCGTATGGATCGGGCAGCTCGTATACGTGTTTCGAGGCGTAATCAAGCGCACGGCCAATGGCAATGCTCCGAAATGAAGATTTACGAAATTGCATGCGCCACAGCGGTCGAGAGCGATCTTTTTTTGGCATCGTGATGGGTGCAAGTTTTACGAGAAGGGAGGGTGGGTAGTTACGAAGTATATGTTTCGGATTGGCGTGATGATGTTGTGGTATACGTATGACTATCAAAGAAAGTTTATCTTATTATTACATCAAAATCGTAATTAGTGCAATGTGGCACCTTTTAAATACAAACACGATTTTCAACCCTTCTCTCAATACTCGTTCCTCAATAGCCACATTGACTTAAACAGCCCTAATAAAGCTAAATTTTAAAACAGAAGCTTGTTACTAACCTTACTCTACGATGAGGAGGTCATCATCACACTCGCAACCCTAGCTACAAACTGTAATTCTCTAAACCAAACTACCGCCATCTCGATCATCCCATCAAATACGAGATACGACCGTGAAACTTCGATACGAGCTTGGCATAACCATCCAGCATTCTGTAACCATCAAACCAGTCTAAAGACTCTCGTATTCTTTTCCCCTAGACATTTGTTACTCAATCCTGTACAACCTAAGGTCTATTATACTAGTAACAATCTATATCTCTCTTTACCAGGCCACAACTGAAATCCCATCTCATCCTCGCGGCGAATCAAACCAACACTTCAATAACGTTATATCTAAAACCTACAACATCCAAATATCTTCTAGCAGCACGCTAAAACTCAAACGAAATACCCCAAATCAAATCAAAAGAATATGACCCATCAAACCAACCGCCCCCCGCCCCCCGCCCCCCAACAACCTATAAAACACCACCACTCCCATCCATCCATCCTCACATCACCCCGCCCCCTCGAAACCACCACTCGTCCACTCACCGACTCATAACCCCACACCTATCTCAAACCACATCCCACAGCGCGCCTCTCCTCTAAACCACTCATCCCGAATCGACAGTTTCAATGGAAAGGATAATGACCCTAGTCCGTGATATCGTGTGCAGGAAGTGGAAGAAGGAAGGGAAGCTAAGATCGCATGACATGACAGAGTTTTAGAGTTATAATTCTACTTTACTATCAAATCTCATCTCATCGAGATTTTAAATTCCACTTGTTAGTCTTTCTTCTCATCACATCTAGTGCTGTATCATCTCATTTGCAAATGCCACACTCCTACGGCATTTTAAGTTGTTCAACACGCTCATCATTTCAACTCACTCTTTTACTCATTCACTCACTCCTCAAACCTCACACATCCTCAAAAATCGTGAACATCTTAAAACATCATTTTAAAACATCAATCTCAACTTCATTCTCAAAAAACCACTCCCCACCCTACATCAAGAATACCCCTAATTGCAAACTCGCTTTCGCTAAACGATTAAATGCGTATTATACAACACAAAAGAGGACCACTTCTTCTTCTTCATCCGAATCTCTCTTACTTCATATCACAATCTCTGCTTCCCCTCTGACATCATCGGTTCTCTTCTCGAACACATCCTCATTCACACCTCTCTCACAAATGAAGCTCTTTCACATCCACACACCACCAGAAGCTCTCATCCATACCCTCTCCCTCTCACCTCCAGACACATCTCTGCTCTCCTCACATCTCACTCACTCACCCTCACACCCCATTCCCCCCTCTCACTCACCATCCCACCCACCACTTCCGTACTAGTGCCCTAATCATCATCATCAAAAATCTGATAACAATTCTGCAAAATCGTATCCACGACCCTGACCTGCCACCCCGCATCCTGAATATTCGGTCCAGAACTGGCACCCATCAGGGTCGGTCCGAAGACAATCGCGATGTTACTAGCATTCATCCTATTAGCATTCGAGTGCTCGCATACACGGTTGAGATGAAGGGTAAGAGCGCGGAGGGTGGCGTAGTTGGGGTCCGGGAGGCTGTTGATGATGGCGTGGAGGGAGTCGCGGCGGACTATGTCGTCGTCGTTTTCTAAGTCACGTTAGAAGGAGATGAGGATGTGAGGGGGGGAGGACTTACTAGCAGCTTCGATGAATCCGGCGTAGTGCTCAACGGTTAATAGTGGATCTGGGAGATCGCGAAAGAATTGTTTAAGAAGTCCAGCTACGGAGTTGACATCGTGATAGAAGTTTTCAGGGTTGCGGAAATCCACACTTGATGCATCTAAAACTCATTAGCTCTCATGTTCACTTGCGTTCTCAACCTGAACTCACCATTATCAAACATAGCTTTGATCTTCGAGATATGAGACGCCGTTCCAGAAAGTCGATAGATCCCCTCAACGTCCAACCCGAATAGATCGACAGCTTGTATGCATTGATATACCACCAACGGTACCGCTGACTGATCTCTATCAAATAATTGCTCCAAGGTGAGGCCGAAGACTGGCCTCACCGGAGGTAGATGAGCGCCAGACGAATTTCCCCCACCAGCCGAGATCGGTGACTGATTATAAGACACTTGATTACCCATCAGTGGTTGCGAAGGATAATTCTGATGCGGCGGTTGTGCGAAGACTGGTTGTTGTGACGGTGGTTGGTAAGAGCTAGGTGAATCACTTGACGGTGTCTGAAAAGGCAGAGTTGAAAGCTGGGGTGGGCCGGCAGAACTGATCGAACCCGTGTTGTAATTGGAGGAGGGCCCGCCTTGGCCCCGTGGTGGACCTCCCATTGAGCCATACTGAGAAGGTCCTTGGCTGAAGCTCCTCTCGTGTTGTTGCGGACCAGTTGCTGGAGACTGATTGAAGGGTTGACTGGCGTGACTTTGATGTGCAGGTGCTGCAGGTTGCGACGCTATTGGGAACGATGAGGGAGGAGGCCCCTGCCGAGAGCCGAACGTCGAGGGATCGCCTTGACGTGGTGGAGCTGGTGCACTCTGACCAGAAGGATTCAGCACCTAGATCATGTTAGCAAGCCAAAAAGTATATAATTCCTAGGATTAATAATACTTACTGGATGTCTCTCATATTTAATCTCCATATTCTGACGTCCAACCTTATTAGCAAAGCTGCCAAGGTAATTGCTCAGATCCTTCTCATTATCAATCGAATGTATAACCTCACGCAAGCTTCTCCCCTTCTTCTGCTCTCCATTGAGAGGACTAAGTGTAAGACCATTACTCAGAAGAAGCTTCTCACTACCAGACGCTATACAAAATGTTAGCTTTGGCAGTCCAGTCAATAGCCATAAAATAAACAGCCACATACCATATTTCTGCATCTGCAGCGTCAACGCAGAATCACACTCCTTGATCAACTCCTGCAAGCTCTTAACAGCATCCGGTCGATGTTTCGCCAACAACTCACTTCTCAGACCCTGCGCAGCCGTGACTTTTGCCTGATAATCCGCATCCGCAGCTTGCAGCTTCCTCAACAGATCCGCCTCATGCTGCTGCGCAGACTTCGGCCCTTTGAGTCCAAACTTCTTCCCCGACTGCCCATCCCCCGTCCTCGCACGATCGTAGTCCTCCGCCAGCGCATCGTATTTCGCCTTAGACTTCCTCATCGCCGTCTCCGCATCCGCGGCGCGCGCTTCCGTAGCCAGCCCCGTCGTCTTCCAGTGTTTCCGTCCCTTCTCGATATTCGCCGCCATCTCGTTTAGATCCTCAAACATGGCATGCAATGAGACCGCGAACTCCTCGCCGGCTTTCGACATGCGCTCGTGGATACTGTTCGTCTCCTCGTAGGCTTGGAGGAATGAGCCGTGGCGGTGATCTGGTCTGCGAATTGCTTCTGACGTCGCTCGACATAATTTGCGCATGCCCATAGCATGTTCCTCCTCTAACTTCGATCGCTTTTGTAGGAACGATGAGAACTCCTAGAACACCATTAGCCCTGCCCTTCAGCTTCAAAAGAATCCCTTACCCTCGCAGAAGCAAGCGACTGTTTCAATCGATTCAACAGCGTCGAAACACCAATCTACCACTCATCAGCCAAACCCAATCCCCATCATCCCCACGCGCAAAGCCAGGAAAGCAAACCTCAGAATTAACCACCTCCTCCACGGCCTTCGCATTCGGATCCGGAATAACGCCCATCGCATCCCCATTAACCTCGCCCGGTCCCTGGCTTATCTCTCTCTGTTCCGCTGGCTCGCTGAGCAATCGATCTGGATGCGAATCGTCGTCCATGATAGCTGTCTTTCGGGCCTGCAATTATAGCTAGTTACCGTCCTGCTTTAATTGGTATGCGCAAACTCTCTGATTCACAATTCCGTGTCGCGCATTCGACATCTAACTCGTCTTGCAATCGTGGCCGCTGCGCATTCGTGAATACAGAAGCAAGCAGGTTTGGGTTGGATTCCAGGATCCTCGTCATCTCGCGGCTCCCGTGTTCGACAGCTTGGGGTGGCACTAAGCGAGCGGCAGGCAGTGCTGTACGTACCGACAGGGGTGAGGTGCAAATGGAAGGAATATCCTATCTAAAATATCCTCTATATTTGCGGAAAAATCAACACAGCCTTCAAATAATAATATCTCGCAAAGTTTGGTCTGTGAATCATAGAGAGATCTACAGTATGGATGTTTAATCTATACAAAGTTTCATCTACTTATCAGACGAAAATATGGGTCTTACGCTCCGACTACCAAGACCTCCGATGTCACCAAAGCTCACGAACTTCAATCTCACATCCACATCCTAAGCAACAGCATTTCAAACACTGATTATATCGTATCTTCAAATCCTGGTATCATAACACATTCAAGCCATGCCATCCATCCAATCCTTCATTCAAACACAAACAAAAATTCCAAAAGTCCTTCCCCCCAATCCAACAAAAGTTTCAATACCAATACCACCCAGAAGCCCCTACAGGTATATACTCTAAATGCACACTTCCACTAAACTCCAAACAACCAAATCCTATGCCAACCCAATTATCAAAATCCAAGTTGAAATAATCCTACAACACCATTTCCAAGTGCCCCATTAACATCATCCTCTTCTCGCTCCAAACAGCGTAAGATTAAGACTAGTATCATTCTCTCCAACGTTAGGCGTAGGTTCTTCCAGCATCTCCCATCTCCTTAATACAAATGGAGTTAATTTATCCCTATTAGCACCCATGAATGGACGAGGATCGGTATTGTTTTCACCAGGCGCCGTTGTCGGTGGAGTGTCTTTTTGGGATAGGACCAGCCCGTCAGATGGGCTCGGTTGGAAACTAAATAGGTAATACATTTGAGCGTTATGCATGGTTTCGTAGAGACTGCGAACAGCTTGTTGTCGAAAATCCTCTGGAAGCCCGTCAACGAGGTAGATGGCGAGGTCGTTAATTTGTTCTGAAAGATCGTGTGCCGGAGAGGTGTTCGTATCCAAGGCTTGAAGTTCGAGCAGGATGGCGGAGAGTGAGAGGATCACTTTAGCGCGGTTCTCGTGGCCAGGCTTTGTGGATTCGAACTCGGAGGTATGGAGGGTGATGAATCTCAACAGCAGTGGTAACCATTTTCGGATCACATCATCCTTCGCCGGTATGTTTTGGGTGGTGGAAATTAAAACTCGAACGCCATTAAGCACGATTAAAATGTCCTGCGCGATACTCGTGTTATTCGATGTCTTGTTCTCCGTCTCCGCTACGCTGTATGCTGTGGAGTCTACTATACGAAGTAAGTTGTTTGCATGCTCCAGCCGAGCATTTAGTTTTGACGGTTCGTAAGTGCTGATTGTTTTCGGAGATGGAATCAAAGCCAGGAATTGAAGTTCGGATCGCCTTCGAAGGTGTTGAGCGACTGAAACTTCCAATAATGGAACAATGCTCGCCCAAGCAGTCTTTCCTGAGTTCACAGCTGCTTCGATAGCACTATCAAAAGCTTGTAGTCGACTGGTTTTGGCATCGTCGACGCCCGCCATTGTGCTATCTTCCCCACTGAACATCGACTCGAGTTTTATCTGACAGAATGGTAACGTCAGATCATTGGCAACCTTTAGTATAGCCTCAGTAGAATCATCGCCGTTGCTGTCACCATTTCCGAAGAGAAGTTGATTGACAATAGATGTAATTACTCGCGCAGCAGCCGAATTCTCCGTCTTCAGAAGGGGTGTCACGAGTGACTGGATGACCATATCTGGCTGAAGAAGGGCGAATCTTTGTAGGACTTCAAAGGAATTGTGATCGCGGATGATAGCAAATACATCTGGCAAGATAGGGGATCCAGGCGTGGCTTTCTGCGAGCGCGCTTGCTCGACTCCGTATTGGATGCTAGATACCACTTGCTCGGGAGAATCTTTGTATGTGTTTGCTTGTCTGACCCGCAGTCTATAAGAGTCTTCGGCGCCCATAGCTTGAATCGTGCTCGTGGGTGTACTGAGGAGTAGTTGTACTAATTCTTGCGAAATCCTGGAGTTAGATAACGCATTTCCGGGTATATCCACAGTCTTGCACATTTTCGAAATGTCGGTCAGGGAGAGGCAGCCAAAGCTGACTAGAGGGCCGAGAGCCATCATCATGCTTGGTCGCCCGGGCAATGCTAGAAATTTCTTGAGCCAAGCCGCAATCAGCGTGTCGAAATGTTCAGCATCAAAAGGCCGAAGTCTAGTTAACAACAAGCCACAATTTTTCTGCTCGCGAGGCGACTTCTCCCAGGTGGATTCCAGGTGATGGGATATTCTCTCAAACAGACGACCTAAGGTTGGTTGATCCATACTATTGCCACTTGCCAAGATCTTCTCCATTTCCTCGAAAAAGTCCACCTCCGAAGTCTGGGTGATAGCGATATGGTCTGAAACTGGGGAGCAAGCATCAGCTGCTGTCCGTCTATCATAAAGAGCAAGTTCTTGCGCCCATTGCTGAGCAGCCACTCGTTGACTGGGTATTCTAGAAGCAAGATCTGCGAGCGACGCCAGAAGTGTCCTAGGAAGAGAGTCGTGGCCATTCGCGAGTATCCGTAGCCGAGTCGAAAGTATCTCGAATAAGCTTTGGACGGCACCAATCGCCGCGAGGGTATCGATGTGTAGATTAATCGTATCGGCGCATGACGCCAACACCTCGGGATCGTTAGAGCTTACAGTGATCTTCAATACATCTGCTAGCATGGAATAGTCTTCAATCAGCTCAAGATAGTACCGTACTTTGTCGAAATCCGCTGCTGTAATCGTAGGTTGTTCCACCCTTTTCGCTGGTCCCGCTTCCCACGCTTCAGGTTGTATCTTCGCCGTTTGTCGCATGTGAAGCATGACTTTATGTCTGAGCCATAGTCCAATCTCGGATTTACTCGACCTGCTCAGTTTCGATATCAAAGTGACTGGATCGCCCACAACCACAGCCTCATCCAGATCCATGTCAGAGTCCTGGGCCGACCTCATGGCCGGAAGATTATTATTCATAAACGCCATACAATTCCGCATATTATCCTCCTCCTCATCAACCGAAATTTCAACTCGGTCAAGCAGTGTCGAATGAAGGTTTAGGATACCCTCGCTCAAGTTGTGCGTGGGAAGCTCCGCAAGTAGTCGTGTTGCACAAGGTCCATCGGGTGCAACATCTGTGACGTTTTGTAAACCACCTCTTGAGATCAACCATTGGATATATTTGGCAGTGGAAAAGTGTTCCGATCGTGCCAGTTCAGATATCAGATGATAAAAGGCAGGCTTATCACGACCAGTACTACACTGTTCCGAGTCGGCAAAGTCAAGAATTGCGCTAGTTAGGTCGAATCCATTTTTAGCCCAGAATCTGCAAATCCTCGCTGCCACGTAGGTTTTCGTACAACCTGGTCGATGCGAAGATGTGGACCACGCGATGACCGCTCGAATAAGCAATAACTTGTCTTGGTCAATTTTCCAACAGCGCTTAGGTAAATCATCTGACGGAAGACCGGACAAGGTTTGGTCGAGTAGTTGAATAATGCGTTGTTGGGGTGTTGATTCTTTATCTTTGCCGGGCAAGCTTAAACGCCTATTTCTTCGGTCGATATTCTCAAACGAAGTTCTAGGGTAGTTGACATCTGAAGAGAAGTCCGACTGAATGACTTCTCGGTGCTTCGCCCATGCCGATGGCGAAATGAAGCTGTCAGGATAAGATTTCATCAGCGACTTCAATAACTGGCGCAACCGCTCAGTCAAAGGAGCTACGATATCCTGATCAGGGTTGCCCGCAGCCTGTAAAAAATTAGCTTCAGTGCTAAACAGTTTAAAGTAGACAAACCTCGGTAAAATGCTTCATTAACGCTGTTGCCAGCCTCCTTCCGTATTTCCGGTATTGCATCAAATCTTTCCAGTAGATTTGAGTGATTAAGATCCAAAGTGGTAGCTTGGCTTGAGGTGAGTTTTCCAAAGATGATACAAGCCATTCCATATAATGCTCTCTATCCAGGAGATGCTCCGCGTGGAAATGTGCTGCGAGACGTATCCTATGCTGAATTAGTAAATATCAATATCGCAAAGATCATCTTTCTTACGCATAATTAACTCGTTCTCGAAACTCAGGCTCGCCGCAGCCTCCAATAACACTCTCCACAAACTGCTCTACGCAAACTGTAAAATCGCGAATCCATTTCGCTTCACCTCCCATAGCAAAAGTGCCGCTGACACCTTTCCTTCTAAATCCTCGCAATTCGTTTGCTCCAACACACTTGGCCAGCCAAACGGCTCTTTCAATAGGTATGTTTTTGGTCAATGATTGATCCAATAGCACTTTTCCACGAATTCCATGTGGAATCGATCGACTCAATCGGCGCAAAGATATGGTGGGGTTGGCCAAATCCTTTAACCACATTTCCCTCTTCGTATCGGTGACTGTTACACGAGGCGGAGGCTTAAATGTCGATGTCGTGGTGATCTGGCCGTGTGCTCGCCTCGCTGCCAGAATGCTGGTGAATATCGAAGATAATGTTTGCAGCCCGGTCTTATGTTTTAATGCAGGGAAGAGGGCGGCCCTCGCAGAAGCAGCCTCATTATGTGTCATTGGATTCTTCTCATAATATCCTCCACGGATTATCTCCGCCGAAAATTGGTCCTCCGGGTGGTTTCCAGTCCAGGGAAAGAAATCGACATGGCCTAAAGGAGTGTTAGTGCGCAAAGATATGCCCAAGTGAGTATATTGAACATACCATTATTTGGAACGCGCGGTGCTGCCGCTGGTACCTCCAGAGTATACGGCTTCGGTCGGACATCCTTCTTAGCTGTGCTTGCAGCAACCGGCCGCACCTTTCTAGAACTCGAAGGAGCATACTGTCCAGGTCTAACCGGCAAAGGCATAGGTTTCGTCGCAGATTCTCCATGACCTCCCTCTTGCGCCGCGCGAGGGCTGAGGTTCAGGTTGCTGACGTTCGGAATCTCGAAATGAAGCTGCGAACGAGCGTGAGGAGTAACATTTGGTCGCCAGGTCGGCGTCACCGCAGACGCCGTCTTAGGAGACTCTATAAATTCCCGATTGTTCGTGTCTGATATCTCCAATTTGAGGCGCGAACCCCCCATTCTCGGTATTGTCCCATAACGTCCCTGTGCGGCATCCGTCCCATCGAACGTCAAGTCCACGAAGCCATCGGTGCCCCTTCTCGTCGGGGAAGAAGACGGGAATTGTTGCGAGAGCGTGCGGTGCGGTGGTGGTCGGGGGATGGTGTTCGTGGTACTCAACGAGCGCTGGGGCGGCTGTCGCTGGCCCAGGATGGGTCGAGAGGTCATACTGGAGCCATTTCGAGACGGAACATGGGCGATTTCGAGGGGATGATTGTTTGAAGCGGAGGGGGTGCAAGTGTCGGGTCGACGATGAAGGGAAATGAGGCGATTGCAGCGGTGGTGAGGTCGGTCGTTGGGATGTGCGTCGCTGGTGTGATGGTCGTCGTCTGTTGTGGCAGTGGAAATATGTTCGGTTGTCGTCAAGGTCGGACTTGGAGTGAGGGCGCATCCGGGAAAAGCGAAGCACAGTGTGCTGCTTGGGTGGACTGAGTGGAGGCCGTCAGCGAGCCAGCGATTCGGCCAAGCCACGAAACACGCCTAAAAGGGAGTAGCAACCATGAATGCATGCGACTAAGAGGAGCCAGGTAGGAGGTTTCTGGCTCTTCGGGACGATATCATGGGCCAGCTGCATCCATTGAAGAAGTGTATTAATTGGGGCAACCTGATTCTGTTGACCAAATACACTTATCATAGTCCGGTGATTGCATCTGGACAGCGAGAACGAGCCATAAGCAACGGGGCTAGAGGGGAGCATCCGCGAGATCTACGGTGGATGGCGTATCTAATACCTGTTCGTTTTCGGGTGTGACAGTGAGACTTTGAGACCCAGATGATTTGCTGCTGGGGTCGAGGGTGGACGAGACGACAACGAGGAAAGGCGGGCGAATCTATCGCCTAGAGGGGGGGTCATTGGGAAAAACAACTCCGGATGAGTTTACAAGTTACCTTGAACAGAACTCTACTTACGTTGCAATATGTGTTGTAACTATCAACCTGCATTTCAGCTGTTAACCGTCTCGAAATCTTACCAACTAAGCGACTGAATAATCACAGCCATTCCTCAAGTGTATCAGCTTCCCCAATCCAGTCCGTTCTCGCCACCTCTAGCAATCCTGCACTAAACACCACACCTGCGATTCAGAGACAGCTCTCCCACGTCCTTTGTCATGCAGCCGAAAGGTGCGGTTGCTGACCTTGAACAGTGGATACTTATCTATACGCAAGCACTTGGCAGGATGGGACAAGATCGATTATCGGTAACCCCTCTATCTTGGTCCGCCAGCTCTCCTCTTTCAGGGACTATTATTTTCCGTATCAGAGTTTGGGGGTCCATCACTCGGATAGTCGATGCAACGTCCTTGATCGGTTTGTTACATTTCACCGTCTTTACCGTCCTTACCACCCTCTCTTTTCGGCCGATTTCTTCAATCAAGCAAACGGAGGATGATTCAATTCAAAAGAGAAATCAGAACAGGCAACTTTCGGAATACCTAGATACTTGCGACTCAGGTATCAATTATCACTCGCTTGAGATGATTAAGTGTTCCTAAACCCCTACTATATCGATCGGCACGCAGCTTCCGTCGAACAGGCACCTCTTCCACGTTCAGCCAGGACTTCCACGGCTGTATCCTTTTTGAACAGTGGTAGAGGTGTCGTGACGTCTTTTCTAATCTATACTTAGATTGAATAGAACGTCGAGATAAAAGAAATGCCAGTTCTCGAATTATCATTGGCCAATAATGAAGAAATGAAAATTAAACATATCAGATGCTTCAGACAATATCTGTCCATCACTTCTCACTCGAGAGACTCCAAATTCAAACCCGTAAAGACAGATAAAGCACAATAATACGTGCCTCACAACCCTCGGGCAACAGGACCATACCTTCCAAATCCAGTCATTGGCCATCCATACTATCCCCTCCCTCCCACATGCGCAATTCTTTTTCTGGACAATCCCTCGTGCCTGGGAGTGCATACCGGGAGAGAAGCCGTGGTGGTACTGCTGATTGCAGTTTAGCCAGTGGCAGGGAATGTAATCCATGGACCGTTTAAATGCAGCATCAGTCAGCGTGGTGGTGAGTTGGGTTGGTGTTGACCCCAGAGATTGTAGGTTGGAGATGGTGGTCAGATTGCGGGTTTGTGGAGAGCTGATGGGTTGATGGGTTCAATTGGGTTGGTTGCAATTTGACAAGTGAGAGAAAGAGAGATGAGATAGAAGGTTATGACAACGACAGGGGCAGCATCTGAGAGACTTTGGAAGAAGCATTTTGAAAAAAAGAGGAAGATATGAAAGATGTTTGAACCAATTCTACTGGAATGTGAGGTTACGTCAAATGCAGATACTTTTGACTGAAGATGGCGAAGTCGAGTTGACTTTTGTATTCGTGATAGATTTTGCTCACACACACACCCGCTCTGAAATCTACATCCTCCACGCGTATTTCCCAGCATGGCCTCCTATCCAATCACCTTCCATCCCGCTCCACCCCAGACCCACCTCCTCTCCGCGCATCCAGAAGCTCTCCAGAACAACCTCATCTCAAGCTCCCCATCCCAATTCGAATTCCTCATACCTCCCACTTAAGCCTCACTGCCCTCGACCGCAATCATGAGCGCCAAAAAAGACATGCGTCGTCCGGACCTAAGTAAGTAAACTCTCCATTCCCTTCAGCGCACAGAACTAATGCATTGCGCCAGTAATACCCTACCAAGAACCCGCGCCCAAAGAATCCGCAAGTGATATCGCAGGGACGCTGGCGAGTACCCTTCCTATGGCTGCTATGTTCACGTAAGGACTCCTCCCCATACCACAAAGGCCTCCCATACCGAAATACAACATACTGGAATTGGGCTAACACTATATCCAGTCGCAACAAATTCATCTCCTGGGCCGCAGTCGTGCTAGCAATCCAGAATTGGTTGGGCGAGAGTCAGGATACGAAGAAGACGACTAGTCAGCCGGCGTATTTCTCGGTCGGGATGTCGTGTATGTATTCCTGTACCTCTAAGGGAAATGGGAAAAGAAAGAAGGAGAAGAACAAGGCTAATGCGGTTTTAGTAATGTCCTTGGCGGTTACTTATTTACCTCTGTTTATGCCACCGCCTGGGGGTGTGAAGACGGCTACGGGGACGGAAGCACCTGCGCCTGCGAGTTTGTGAGGAAGCATAGAGAGAATAAGGAAGTGGAGAGGGGGAGACGAACAAAATGGGGGAGAGAAGGGGAGGATGTCGTCAATGAGTAGTTATCTCGGATTTATGACGAGAATAGGACCTTTAGGAACGGACAGGAGGCGAAGGGTTGTATATTATTGGTTGACTGTGAGTGCTATTGTACTATATGGCGTCCGAATATGGAATCATAATACCATCTAGTTTGGATATCGGCTTTGAGTTTGTCCCGAACGATTTGCACAGCTTTCTATGACGGGTCTGAATATATGGTAGCCAGTCGCTTTGCACAGCATGGTTTTACTTTCCAAATAATTTCAAACCCACAATTACTCTGCTTGTTTTTCTCTCGACTCTAGACTGGCGAGCGCCAGTTCATACCCAAGTACCCTTTCACTCGCACATTACTCCACAACACAAGAAGAAAATGGTATTCTACACCTCATCTAGGTACCTCAAAATTTACAACCTCTCACAAGAGCACTTGCCTTTCTTCATCTCCCAGCTCCTCAAATATCTCTCGGGAACAGGTTTCACTAGAAGCCAAGGGGACAAGAGGAGAGCGAGTAACTTCCGAGTCCCTCTCATCAACAGCATTCATTGCGTAAACCATTCCTTACAAAACTTGATTGAGAGATCTCACACCTTTATAGAAACAATGAGGATATAAGAATACCCAGGATTAAATGCCTACATAAACGAGGCTACCTACATCCCCGAAACGGCCCCCACCTCGCATATCCCCCTCCCTCTCCAAGAATCCCCGCAAGGCTGACTTGCCTCAAGATATATATCCCCATACCTCCCTCCCAACCCACCACCACTCCCCCAAAACACAACCCCTCTTATCACCACCACCATCCCATATCCATCACAATGTCCCCAACCCGTACATTCCACCCCTACCCCTCCCTGCCCCCCGAACTCCGCGCCCTAATCCTCCACCACGCTCACCACCTAACCCCTCCCCAAACCCTCCCCCTCCACCTCCAAAAATCCGACCTCGACTACCTCCGTCCGCACCGCCCACCCTGCCACAACAACCCCCACATCCTGATTCCCCGCCTCCCTATCCCCTCTCTCCTGCACGCCTTTCACGAGTCCCGCGCCCTTGCCCTCCAGTTCTACACGTTAGGTTTCGATGGCGGCTACGGCCGTCGAACCCTAAAAATGGGCCGCGACGACGACGATATCGAAGCCTTCACGACCTGCGTCCACGAACTCGCCGCTTCAGAGCACGGCCGTGATTTCTACTGGCGCCCCGAGATTGATATCGTAGTGCTCGACGACAAGCCGCTGGGGTTCGGTGATGCGAGTTGGATATTCGGGGGTGCGACGGGGATCAGATTGCCGCGGTTGGGGAGGGTTATGGTGTATTATGACACGTTTATGGGATTAGGGCTGGGGAATGGGGTGGAGGTTGAGGGGATGGAGGAGTTGCTTGTTGTTGTTAGGGGACGGGGGAGGGGGGTGCCGGGGGAGATGTTGCTTGGGAGGGGGGATGTGGGGAGGGTTTTGAGGGGGGCGGGGGTGAGGAGGGGGGATGGGGGGGAGGTTTTGGTGGAGGGGGTTTGGGAGGAGGATGATCTGGAAGGGCGGAAGGTGGAGGGGTATGAGGGGTGGGTTGAGAGGTATGGGAGGAGGGGTGGTGGTGTTTAAGTGTCTGATGTGGAGGTTTAAAGGAGGCTGTCTAGATGCTAGAAGTTTTCAGGATAGGATATCAAAATGGATGGTACAGTTATTATGAATCATGAGAGTAAGGAATTTTTGTTTTTGAAAATTGGAGTCACTGTAACGGCCTAAGATGGAATATCCAATAGATAAAACGGGGAGTTCTGAATTACTAGTTATTTCTCACCTACAAGTACATTCTTCTAAATACAGGTCATATTATATTCACACCTACAATCTAGAAAACCATCAGATCTAAAAAGAAAACACACATCACTAGATGAAAACCACCCAAAGACAAATCAGCAACCAAACACCCCCTCCTCCAAAGCACACAGCATTCAATAACTAAACCACATACCATCCAACCCTAGAACCAATCGCTCCTTATCCAAGTATACTCCCAACCCTGGAACAAGAAACCCCTGCGGATCTTCAGGAAGATCGAACATCCAGCAAGCAATCTCCACAAGATCTAGCTACTTCAAACACTCTGAATAATAACGAAGGTAGACTTCATTCCAACTTTCCCTACTTCCTTCCCAACACCGAAACCCACTCCACTCTCTCCTCTCCCGATGACACAACAAAAGCTTTATCAGATAAATCTAGCTAAGTTCATGCCGAGTCTTCGTCAATCAAAAGGATTAAAGATTGCAAGAGATTCAAGAAAATGCCGATATGGTTAAAATCGATTCCACAAATTCAATCAATGGTTCGATTATTATCATACCGAGATTTGACGATGAGAAGGCAACTGAAATGCGAAACGCGATAGTTTATCTTCTTCTTGTTGATCTGATGCATTGCTTCCTCTTTCTTCTCTACGAGATGATACCAGAGTACTATAAACGCGACGTTGTAGATCAGTCTTGAATCCACGAAGATGATAAGTTGAGAAAGATCTCACAGATTGTCATCACAACTTCCAAGCTTCTTAGTCATTAATTCTCTGAAGATGAAAAATTTCTATCTCCCTATTTGATTTCTTATTTCTAATAGGTCTCTAGAGAACCGTCTATCTTTCTGATCTCGTGAGAACTAACTCCTTCTACATCTTTTGAAAGCAAAGGTACATATGTTGAAAACTTTTGACCATAATGTCAATCCCTATCCTGTCTTAATTTCTTGTCCAAACGGAGCAAGAGATCAACAAGGAATGCAAGGGGACAATGGCAGAATAAATAGAAAAATACAGTCCCGTGTCAAATTTCACCTTGTGATGCTTTTTGCCTTCCCTCCAAATCAATAAAACGCCATTCTCTCTTGTTGTAACACAGAAGTCGGTGACAGATTGACCTACACACCTTCAACGAACAAATTATTTGTCATGACGTAGACGAATTGCAAATGATAGCCACTAAATTTTGAGCAAGGTTGTGTAAAGAGAATCTCAGTGTCAACACCAAGAGATTATTGGGACTCAAGAGTAGGCTCAGTAGTAGCGCTACCATGGCCAGCTGGAGTGGGTGTTGCAGAGCGGTCCTCGTGAACAGTTTCACCGTTGGAAGTGGCGCCAGTGTCATTGAAAGATGCAACTTGTTGTGGTTGATGATAACCTCCATAGGAAGGCGCGGGCATACCCATTGGTGAGTATGGATTGACGACATATTGGCCATTGTAGTAAGAGTATCCAGAAGGATACGCCATTGGAGAGCCCGAAGCTACAGACGGTGGGGGAGCTGTAGTGTAAGTTGGACTGGTCGGTGTAGAGGGAACAGCCGGATAACCATAATAGGCATACTGAGGCTGGTTGTAAGAAGTGGTTGCAGCAAAATACTGGCCATTTCCATCATGATATAGTGTTGATCCTGGGCTTGCAAATGACATAGGACTGAATGGAGGTGCGCCATATTGTTGATTGGACGGTGGCATAACATTCTGGGCTTGGAAAGCTGCTGGTGACATTTGGCTAATACTTTCTGAACCTCGACGATGCTCATGTGGTGATTGAGGAGACGAACCGTATGCCGAGATAGAAAGACCACGGCTGTGAGCTGATCGCTTCTTTGTCGCGGCATCCGGGTCCTTTTGAGACACACGAAGAACCTTGCCCCCAAAAGAAAACCCGTTCTGGAACCGGTCAGCAAACACAGTCAATGAAGTGGGATGATGGTAATAACTTACCTTTGCTGGAATGGCACGCGTAACAGCAACTGCGGAATTGAATTCGACAAACGCAAAGCAGAACTTTTCAGCGCCTGTGCAATCATTAGCATTTCTGCAGATACAACCTCATCAGCAGACTTACCATCATATTTCGAGGTAGCCTCTCGAACGACGATGTTGTTGATGGTACCGTAATGTTCAAAGAGTTGAGCAATCTGCGCCTCAGTGGTCGACATTGGAAGATTACCAACGAAGATGGAACGGCGGTCAACCTCATAGCGATCAAGATAATCACGATCAGCAGATGAAGTGCTTACATGGCGAGTTGGGCGTGGAGGTGTTGATGCCATGCCAGCGACAGCCTGGATCTTGTAGACATCATGGTTGCGGAATGCCTGGAATATGTCAGAAACCGAACGTGAGTCCTGATATGTTGATAAAACTCACAGCAAATGCAGCTTGGCCAACATCGTAAAGCTCAAACTCAAGAATGACACCTTCGTTGAGGTTCAAGGAGGTCCGCTCGACAGGAGTTGCGGTATAGCATTGCGTAATTGTGCCAAAGGTTTCGAAGAGCGAAAGAACCTCTTGTGGGGTGACCACTGCACCATACTTACGTTCAACGAAGAACAACCCTTTATTGTTGCTTAGCACATTGTCGAAAACGTCGGAGGATAAATGGAAAACTCACTATGTGCTTTGGCCTTTTCGCAACGGCAGGGACGACCCTTAATGAGTCTTCCTCTGCCCTCACGAATTGCTCGCTCGGCATGTTCAGGAGTCTATTATAATGTTAGATGCATCTCACCCCAGATGCGAACTGAAATTACCGTGTATTGGCAAAATGCGAATGGCATTTGCTTCCCATCGCGGCGAATCTTGACGTAAACTGATCCATATTCGCGGAAGATCTGCGTGACAGCAACCTGTAGTGATTCCTCGGATTCGGATTGAAGAAGGCTTCAAGAGAGTCAGTATGCGATCGATGATGCGAGGTTCTAACAGGCTTACTTTGCGACAAAGACACAGCAAGATGGCGGGAAGATGGATTGTGAATTTTCATCTTTGACCAACGTAGCACTAGCAACTTCATCGTTTGCGCCTTCGGGCAAAAACTTGTCGTCGAATAATGCTTTGTCACCTGCTTCGTTATGAACTTTCTTGATGACGTGATCAGACTTCTCTTCCGAATGAGAGTCCTGGTTATCAAGAGAGCTGCCTGAACGTCTCCAATTTGAGGAGTCAGAGCCACGATTTTCGGAACTTCGCTTATGAGTTGCAGTCGAAGTTTGTGCTGCCCCGTTTTCAGAGCTCGAATTTCGTGGGGGAGATGCAAAAGGATCATCTGCAAGAGCCAGATTTCCTTTCAAGACGAACGGGCCCTTGGCTCTAAAACAAAGTCAGTAATGGTCGGCATGTAGAGAAGGGCAGAGCTTACTTAATTGGTGAGGATGACTCCGGAGACTTGGCCTTGATGCAATCTGCCGAGTACGCTCCAGCACAGTCCAACTTGACCTTGACATCGCTCTTCTTATCGTTGTCGTCGAGTGAAAGTTTTGCAACACCACTCAGAGAGACCCCTCCTGCAGAACGTGTTAGTGAAGCGTCTGAGTTACTGCCGATATCTTGAGGTCAAAAGGAACAGATGGCCATTACGCGAAGGCGAGGGTCAGAGGCACCAAACACCTCACCTCGCCAGTCCACTGTGTGAGCTGTGTACGAAGTATTAACCTGAACAGAGGCAATTTCATCCAACACTACTGGACGATACATGATGACAGCGCCTAGGTGAAATGATGAGGAATGGTTCCCAGGAGAACGAACCATCATAGAATACAACGAAGGGAACAAAGGACGATCACACCAAGCTATCAGGTAAGGCAAAAGACTCGCGAGCGAAAAAGTGACACATTCCACAAGAGCCAAAAATGTCATATGCCAAAGTGAGTCTGGGATCTGACACCAAGTGGCTGGTTGTGTGGGGTTTTGCCAGGCTCGTTAACCGGCGCAACTGCATAAAAGGGACACAAGTAGCCATCCCTGCAGTGAGTTCTGCGTGCTTGAAGAGGAAGTACATAGTTCTTGAAGAAAACAGCTTGGCGGGAAAAAGCGCATTTGGTGCTGTGGCTCTGGTGTATGATCTTGCACGAACAGGAGTACACGAATACAGAGCCATGCGAAGCTCTTGCAAAGCTCCTGGTCCTTGCCAGAGAGAAGACGAGTGTCGCGATCGAGAGTAATGTAGGGTAAGGAGATGGGGATGGGGATATGTGTGTGTTTGTGTGCTTTGAAGCATGGAATAGAGCTGATGCTGTAGGTTCTAGACACGCCCACATCGCGCCATAAGACGCGCAGGTTGTCGCACTCGCGTATGAGGATGAGGGGTATTCGCAAGCGCTTTGAAAGGAAAAACATTGCGTGGCATACGCTTTTAGATGTGTGGGATGTAGGTGTGGATGTGACGTGCAGAGGATATGATATGAAGATATACACGTACCATGCTCAGCTGGCTGCTGCTCTCCCTCATCGTCTGTCTGCTCGATGGCCTCGTTGCAGATATCATCCTTATTAACGACCTTCATGACTGGTTTGCTTGTTTGTTTTTGTCGATCGAAGACGGAATCGAGTATTGCGGAGTTGAGTTGCTATGCTTGAAGGCTACGCAGAAAGAACACGCGCGAGAATTTGAAGAAGGAAGAAGGAAGCTTTCGCGACCGCGGGGAAATCGGTACGAGTTGCGAAGTTGTTGTTGTTGTTGTTTGGAAGAAGGGAAGGAAGGAAGGAGGGAGAGGGTTTGTAGAAAGCTGGATGGGGCGTGACGATTCGCGCTAATGGTAAGGCGACGAGGACGAAACTCGCGGAATTATGATCCGGAGACTCACCTGGGCGGACGGTTGTTTTGTTAGGAAAAGGCAGATCCATGGATGTCTCTGGAAAACTGCTCAATGACGTGAATCTCATGAAGCTGAGCTTTGTTTTCTTGAGGAAGGAACGGAAAGATCCCGTCATGTTTCCCGTTTATTGATATGGCACAGAGACGAGGTCTGAATCGTTCCTTCCTCATGCAGATGATGGTTCTGGATGCGTTGCAGAGTTGAATTTCTATTGTTTTGCATACTGCAATTTGCAAATAGTACCTACATCCTATAATATCTTCATCCAAGACAATATCCTCTCGATCTCGCGCATGGCAAGACACCTAGTCTTATCCAACGTCCCGAATAACCTCAATAGCATCACGTTATGTCTAACAATGTAAACAATGAAGCCATTGACGTTACCCTCCGGTTTCTCACAGAATCGCGGCTAAGCGGCATCGTGAGAACAAGCGAGATGCTTCCTCAACTTCAACGCGACGCCGCGGCTATTGCCGGGAGCTTCCGGGACAGGTAGCTTCGACCACCGAGTCGTCCCGCGGGGTAGATCTAGTATCCAGCCCATGTTGCTGAAGTCCCTTGTGTGGATGTGCGAAGATCAAAAACAATGACGAAAGAACATGGAAGCTGCGCAGCTGTGCTTTTGCTTGAAATTGAAATCCACAATGTGCCTGAGGCTCAACGGGGAGAATAGAGAGCCGCGACTCTGCTGGAGGCAGCGCGTATACAAAACGGGAGCAGGGAACTGAGAACGAACAAAGGTCTCTTATTGCTTTCTCGGAGGCATGAAGCAGCGCTCCCTTTCTTTTTCCTTTGCCGTCTCTCTCTATTCAACATGATGAGAAGTGCGCCCGCATGGGTACCAAGCCGAAGCATGTGATGGAGAAAGAAAATACAACTCTTATTGCTGCTTGAGGTGCGTGGAGCAGCGCTCCCTTTCTTTTTTACCATCTCTCTGCATTCAACATGATGAGAGATGGCGCCCCAGCACGCGCCAAATGGGAGCATACATGGAATAAGAACATACGACTCTTGTTGCTTTGGCGGGGGCTTGAAGCAGTGCTGCCCTTTCCTTTTTACCGTCTCCCTTCATTGAACACGAGGAGAGACCCAAGAAAATGATGGAGAAACAGTTTTGAAGGAGACGCTTGACTTTTCGATATTGCGAGAACATGAGGTTTGGCAATTTCTGCTTCATACATGCTTCGAATTGTTGCGCAGTTTTCCCCTTTTCCAGTTCCATCTCTCATGCCTTGCTGTATTACTGCTCATTTCTTCCTTTCTTGTCTCTGCCTGCTTAACACATACTGCAGCTTTCGAGGTGCTCAAATATTGAGCGTCGCCCAACGAGTTCTAGCAGAGGAACAATGCTCTGCATATCCATTGGACCATGCTTTCCTATGTCAAGTGGCATCACTTGATGGCACTGTCGATGAAGAGAAGCATTGGTATGTCTCAGGGCAAGTAACAAGCGAGAACTGAACAGAAGTTGGTTGCTCTAGTATTTCAGGAGGTGTATGATAATGCTCTTTTACGGGTAGGTCAGCATTGGCAACTATTTGTGGTTACGAATATCTACTTTACACAAAACAGTATCAAGTCCTTGCTGTGTAATTCTTTTCCATATGGGACTGGGCCGTCTCGCAGATGCTAGGTACGTTATGGCGCTCGGTTTATTTTCATGCGCGTCTGTTTTTCCTCTTGCGATCGTGGTCCTCACATGGTATTAAGTATGCAGCATGGCTATTTTGAGTTAGTCAAGGATTCTTGAATGGGATCTTATGCTAACCAGCATGAATGCGGTGATTCCAAAGGATGATGGATTGATTTTCGCAAGATTTGGTGTTGTTTACGTTCGAGGCAGGAGGTCGCAGATTAGCTATCTAAATTTTACATGTCAAATCAGCACAGAACATAGGGAATTGCAGTCCAGAAGGAATCAATTGCACCGCCGTATGAGACCATCCTCCCCATTGCTTTTCGCATATAACGAGATTTGAGACGCTGACACGCGGGGTCACCAAAGGAGCTCCCTTGAGATGAGTCAAGTTATTTAGGTGCTAGCACCGCATCGCGGATGAGCAGCAGACTTGAGGTTCGAGTGAGAGCTGCGAGTAGTCAGCAATTAAATACAGAGGACATCTTGCAAAGTTACAAGATTGTTTGGACTTGTTGCTGTACTCTCGAAGGTGATCAAGCTTGCCTCAGATTGGGATCAATTCGCGAAAAGTTCTTAAGCGGGAAAGATACCGCGAGCAGGAAGAGCGCTAGCAGCTTCGCAAATGTCCAGCTGATCTACTTCAAGCTTAAAAATCGCACAAGTTTTTTCGCATATTAGCATTGATCTGCATTGGAGGACAAGATTAATCGTCGGCGGCGCCTCGCGTCTATTTTCTCCCAGGCGCTTTCATCTTCAATTGGAGCAAAGATGGCTTTAACTTCTTGGGCTGTGCAGTCTATCTGAATAAGAAAGGAATATACTGGTACCGAGAGCACTTTGAATCGTTGGATATCATCAGGGCAGACCAACATGGGTGTTTTCCAAGACATACCGAATGTTCCTTCCTCAGTCGCACTCTCTCTGCACATTAAATTTTAGAAAGATTCTTCTGCCTTCAGGAGCTCGGAGGCCTAGATGAAGTGACTATTCATTCTATAACGCAAGATCGTCGTTGGGTCAAGATGCGGTATATACAAAGAGTTTTCCTTGATATGAAATTGTACTGTTCTTTCAATGGATTTACGTACATATGGCTAGACCTGGTGATACGGCCTTAAGAAATGATGGCAGGAGTCCAACCTGAGACCAGGCAAACGTCATGAAGAAATTCGACAGTAACTGTGTAAATTACAGGTTGATCTTAGAAGTTGCAGAAATCAAATCGGATGTTGTCATTAAACTTGACGTTGAATTTGACATGGAGGCGGCTTCAACGCTATGATCTTAGCGCAATCCAAGCTCCAGCCACAATATGAACCTCATCGACATCCATCACAATACCATTACCAGGCATATTGTCAATTGACCTTCAACCATGAGGGTAACGCCCAATTTAAATCGAGGCTTCGTAGGCCGCAGTCTCGATGAGTTCAAAAAACAAGCTGCATTCGGTATACTTAAAGACTCCTCAATCTTCCATACAAACCAGACAAGAATACACACTAACATCATCACAGCACTCAGCGGCGAAGCCGTCAAACGCGCAACAAAACCCTACATCCTCCACACCTTCCACGAACCCTCCTCAATTGCCGCCTGCAAAGTAATGTCGGACAAAGACATCGGCGGCTTTTCCGCCTCCCACCTCGACTACATCCCACCCGTCACAACCGCCTCCTCCCCATCCCAGAACCCACACGGCCACGCCAAGTTCCACGGCAACATCTCCATCGAACTCCCCAAAGACCGACCAGACGTCCAGCGCACCGGCTTCGCCGCCTGGCGCACCCACGACCGTCCGCCCACCATCTTCGGCAAATCCCTCTGGAACGTCGACGTCTACGCTTTCCTCGCCCTGCGCATCAAGAGCGACGGCCGCAAGTACTTTGTGAATCTGCAGACGGAGTCGATCGTGCCTACGGATATCCACCAACATCGCCTGTATGCGAGGAGGCCCGGGGAGTGGGAGACGGTGCTGATTAAATGGGGGGAGTTTGTGCGCACGAATCATGGGATGGTGGTGGAGCCGCAGCGGGAGATTATGAAGCAGAAACTGAGGACGGTGGGGATTGGCCTTATTGATCGCGTGCCGGGACCGTTTGAGCTGTGTGTCGAGAGGATCTGGGCGACTAATGAGATGGGGGTGGAGGATATTAGGGAGGATGAGAGGGGGGAGGAGGGGATGTTGAAGGATAGTCATGGGAGGAGGATTAAGTGGGGGGATAAGGGGGAGAAATAGGGTGTTGTTGGGGTGGGATAATGGGATATGGCATGGAATTGGCGTTTGGGAAGGTGCAGGTATGTTGGTTTTGTTGTGTATTTCTTGATGATATTGTACAGTATACATATGGAAGAAAGCGGATGTGAGAAAGTAGCTTTAGGGAATATCCAAGGCATAAGCTTAAAACACAATGTCTCCAAAGATTTTTCATTCATATGAACACTACACTCTTCTCTTCATCTTCTTCATCTTTCCCCCTCCCGTATACCACCATCTCCAAAGCACCAACCCATCCATTTCGTCAACTCTCTACACACAACACAACCTCTCCCCCTCTTCCTCATAATCCCCATCCATCCCCTCCCCGCCCATTCAAAGCAACGTCACCGCCGAAAAACGCTAACATACCTGCTATCTACACCATCCGCCTCTCGTTCGCGTCATTGGTTTGTCGAATTTTATCTTTAGTATTTCCGAAGCATTTTGTTGTTAGCTACACTCGTCTGTCTAATTACATCTTTCGTTTACTTCACCTCTCTATCTCGTTTCGTGCTTCATTAACCCTACTTATCTATGATTTAGTCTGTGGTTATCTTTATTTGTCTGTCAAGTTTTGTTTTTCGCATGGCTGATGCTTGCTTGTTGTTGTTAGCTAGACTCGTCGGTTTAATTCCGCTTACGTTTCGTCTATCTCGTTTCATGTGCTCTCAACTCTATCTATCATGATTCCGTCTATGGTTATGTGCATTCGGCTGTCGAGTTTAGTCTTTTATATCTCTAATGCTCTCTTTAGTTAGCTGGACTCGTCCCTCCAATTCCGTCTTTCGTTTACTTTACTCGTTTGTCTAGTTTCGTGTGTTGTTAACCTCATTTGTTTATGATTTAGTTTATGGTTATCTTCATTCAGCTGTCGAGTTTCGCGTGTGGTCAACTTCTTCCGGTTTCTTGACTAATCTTGTCTACACATGACTTACCATCATGACTGAAGGATTATTTCCCGAAAAAGTATGTCTACTTCTCTGGGAAAATGATGTCGCTTGGGTCTCTTTGGAGAAGTTGAGGGAGGGAGAGTACTATTCGTTTTTCCTTTTCAGATTTGCTACTCTACATTATTTCCAGCTTTTGCTTGTAATATTTCAACTTTGAGAGTAATCGACGTGGTTTGTTTCTCTGTTAGCTTCGAAGCGTACTTTGTTTCAGTTTTGCCTTAGTATCTAGTTTTAGTAAATTTTGATTATTCGTATATCGCTTGCTATCTAAAATCATCTCGGTTCAGCGTACATCTCTGAATGTGAAAGATGAAAGTGCAAATATAGTCTCGTTAATGAAAGGGGAGCAGAGGTGGCTAGATTTTGCCATCAAATTCGCCTGCATACATGTATTCGGCTCTCATGTCGATTCAACTGGTCACGAGTCCTGATTATCATAACTCTATCCAGTCTGGCAGTTAAAGAAACTGCCTACAATTAGCAAGACCATAAAGTTCCCTAAGTACAAACGAGGCTTGATGTGCGAGTCAGCCGACTACCTAGTGGACTGAACTATAGATATATTCGTCCATCTTTCCTCGTGTCCTTTTTCTTTTCTTTCGTTCTTACGTACATCTCCTGGTTAATTGCCTTTTGCAATATTCTCTGAATCAGACACGCCTTCTAGCAAAGATACTTCATTAATTTTTATCCCACATTATCATCTATCAGCACCTCTTGCAAGGATGTACCTCCTCACTATTTTAACCTCTATTTCCACCTTCTTGCCACTTGTCTTTTGCTCCCCTGCCGTACCAAATATCGTCAGCCGTGATGATACTCTAGTGATACCTAACACGCCACCTCCCTCTCCACTAGATATCAAGTGTTGCGACACCATCAGTCGAGGTTGGAATTATGGTTTTGGCCCCAAGTTTGACCCGATCAGAACATGCCTGTAGGTAACTGTGATTCATCAGAGAGCTTTTCCAGGCAACACTAACTGATGATACCCTAGTGACCAGGAAGGAATCATTGAGATCATGCCGGGCTATCATACTGTGAACGGTTGTAATAATGCAGTCGAGGTGTGGATGTGTAATGATGTAATCCTTCCCCACGAGTTTCTACCCGCCATTTGAAGCTGACACAACACAGGACAAAGAGCCCATTTACCCGCAAAGGCGTGAGGTAGCAAAAACTATCTCCAATGTTGAAGCCAAATGTGAGAAGCCAATTGAGAAATCACCTGTAGAAGGGCTGCCGGGTCGTGGGGTAAGTTGTGGCCAGGGTTTTCAGAATGACAGGGGTTATAATGTCATTCTCAAGGCATGCTAGATATCTTCTTAATTTGTTATCCCATGTTTCATGGGAGCTTCTTAGGTTTGGACATATTCAGACGACCTTCGTAATCACAGCATGAGACAGCTCGGCATTTCTGGTTATAGCTTTGATGGAATCTAGGTGTTCTTAAGAGACTTCTCTAACTTGCAAGGAGAAGACCGACTCTTGGATGTTAAATAGCGAAAGAGACAATATACATCGTTACTTTATCTCAGATCTTGGTCTAACTTTAACGGATATTTTTGTCAACTGTCCTTGCTGTCTTCCAGTTATTTCCTAACATGTCATCAACAAGTGCTAATCCAGACACTTCTTATGAGCCTTTTCTTGTGTGTTTGGCTGAAACTGGCTTTGAATACAGGCGTGTATATCTGAATAATTGACAGACTATGTCTCCATTGTTAAACGTGGCCAAAACTACATTCTTCACCCCACTTTCTACATGATGCATTTGATCCCCTTTCCTGCTTACACATATCTTCACTCTTTGAATAATCCTTACAGCTATCATGTCTGATTAGGCAACTAGGTTTGTGACTTGGCCTCTCGTAGAATAATCGTTGCCAGCCAAAATTACCTTTCGCTTATCAAATCGCATATCTGGGCCAATCCCTCGCCATAATTATACCGACTGCAGACAAACTCGGTCATCTATTTCGAACAATACTAATTATTCTCTATCTTTTGGGTTTATTTCCTTGGTTGTGAGCCCACAGCCACAGTCACAAACAACTAGTAATTCCGAGTCGGGTAATAGATTCGACGACTATGCGCAACTTAAATTGGAATCATTCAACACATGCTACCCTGGATAGTTTATTAAGCGCAGCGTGAGCACTACAGTCTCGTCTAAAACTTAACTACATCAAGGATAACCTCATGTTATCGGCTCAAACAGATCCCCATATTGGGACAGACCTCGCTTCGCATTCTCGCTTAGCAGCCCCCCCTTTCTATCCTCCAACATAAAAGGCTCGACCCTCCACCATCCATCATCCTTTCTACAACATCTTTCATACGTTGGTATTTATCATATCACTAATACGTAACAAGTTGATGACACTTCGCGATCATGAAGTTCATTTCACTTATCCTTGGAGTCTGCTCTGTTATCCTGACCTCAATTGCTACACCGATCGTTGAAGTTGATGGATTGAGTGCTCGTAAATCACCGCCGGTAAGATTACCTTGTCCTTTTTTTGTAGTTCTAAATTTGTTGTAGCTGATTACTGTTACAGGGTGAGGTTCACTGTTGTAGCCCTACGTGGCGCCCAGAATGGAAGCCAGCTAGACTACTTGCATTCCAATATGTAGACTATGACGACCCGTTCGTCTACCTTTGTTGCCCGCACATCATTTGCTAACTTGTTCTTCTTTTAGAAAATCGTTGTCTTATGAGGGCAAACCTCCACCTATGAGAGAGCTCGAGCCTGGTACTTGTATGTCCTCGTGGTCCTTCGATCATCCGTCGTCACAGAAGGAAAATGGTTGTTGGGACGAATCCATTTTGGAGTTTTGTAATGACGTAAAATATCATGCATTAACCCGTGGAGAGTTTTCGCTGATACACCTGACAGAACCCTTACAAGATTCTTGTATCGAAGAGTGATGTTTACCAGTTCTTGCGGCAAATCAAGTTGGAGTGTGAAATTACCCATGATATGTATTGTGGCCAGGTTTTCAATTTCAATCGGTTCAATGTTGCATTCAGAGCTTGTGAGGGCACTTCTGGAGACCCGGATGACGACACACCTACTCCCGGAGACTCGAACGACACACCTGACCCGTCTCCATTAGTTACATCCTCCAGACTGTACACTGCAGTAAGTACAGATGAAGGAACGATAAACATTTTCCGCGGTGTTTGGTTTTTTTTTGCTAGATGGAAACACCAATGAGTGAACTAATCTTGCTTCTAAAATATTCATATCCCACTTCATATACCATTGCCCTTCTAAGCACCCAGTACAGGTCGCTAACTTGTGAGAAGAAACCGACAGGAATCCCCCATCCCATAGTCTCAGCAGGTATCCCCGAACCTCCAGCCACAACGAGAGTAGTCACCAAGCCCACAGGCGTGATAATCATCAAACGAGATCCGCTTAAGAAAGAGGATACTTTGGGAAAGCGTGTCACAGTAAGTTAACATTAGACGATAATTTTGTCTCATGATCCCTTCTTTCAGCAAACTCATTATATACACTAGTCACACATCATAATTTTTCAATCTAACCCCAGTTACTTCAACACATAAATACGTTCTACCTTACCGAACAAATACTAACGCTACTTCTAAAGGCTGGAACCCACTGCTGTGACTCCCAATGGCGTCCCGAATGGGAGCATGGTTTCACGAATCAATTTGATTCAGATCTTAAATCGATCACGTTTGTTTCCTCCTTGTCTCCTCTTTGCTTCTAATGACGTACTAATTCAAACATCTTAGAAAATGGAGCGAATTATCTCCGGGATGTCAACACGTCAGCTCATGTGACTATGGCACTATAACCGAGCTCTGTAACGATGTAAGTCTAAGTTTGTGAGAATAAGTCTTTTATTGTGTTGGTGCTGATACAGAATTCAGAATCCTGAAATGATCAAAGTTGATGGTGCAACTTTGAAGGGTTACATGGAGGAAATCAAGAATAAATGCTCGACCACAGGAAATGGAAAACGAAATACTGTGTGCGGACAGCATATTGATTCTGACGGGGTCAACGTTATCATGAGAGGTTGCATGATTGGCACAGAATTGCCCGTGAGAGACGAGAAGACAATAGAGCAAGTCGAAGGTCCGGTTGATAAGACGAAAGAAGAGGATGTAGGTGTTTCCCAGCGAGATAATCCGTGCTTTGTCCCAATTTATGTTTACCCTACATTACGAATATCACATAAAGACTGACTCTTACGCCAGAACGAGTCCAAAAAGGACAAAGTACATTGTTGTGGCCCTAACTGGCGTCCAGAATGGCGCGGAGTAGATCGAGCAACTTTTCGCAAATCATTATCGTTTTGGCCGTTAGTCTGCCTTTCTAGCTCCCGTAACTGTTAAACATCTACTGACCATCTCAGATTAACTAAAGACAAGGAAGCAGGCGAGTTGACCCTGTCTATACCACCCGGATGCATAACTGGGGGCGGCGTACTAGAGTTCTGCAACGATGTAAGTAAACACTTCTACTTCCAACGTGCTACAAGTGATAGGTGTAGAAAGTAATTTACTGATGCACAACAAGAACCACGAAATCATCAAACCTACTCATGGTTATCTGCAAGGCCTCGTGGGTGATATTGTTGAGAATTGCAGGACTGGGACGCCTGGAAAAAACCAAGCCACGGAATCGGAAACTATTTGTGGACAACGTTTTGACCCCGGAGGGTTTAATGTTGTCGTTAGAGACTTGAGTCCACATGAAAAGCGAGAAGCGAATTTAGTTGGAGCGGAGGACATTAATGTGATTGTGAAGGAAAAGGAGAAACGTGACAATGTACGTACTTCTTAGGAAATATACTTTGTTTTACCCGTGTCTTTACATTATATCACAGGGGGTGCAAAGATTCGTTGTGCGATGTATCATCCAACAATTTTTCGCGTATAAAGTCACGCGACGAATCTTTGCACCCCTGTGTATCTAAACTCAACTATGATCAAAAAGCTGATGTTTTCAAGAATAAGGAACGGCCTCAAGACATAGACCTCCATTGCTGTAACCCCACATGGCGCCCAGAATGGCAGGGAGCAGATTTAAAATGGCTCCATATCACTATGGATTTAATTAGGCGATGGGCGACTGGCGAGAAAGACAAAGCCCCAAAAGTTCAGATGACCCCGGGGTGTATTAAACTTGCTGGAGTTGTAGAACTGTGTAATGACGTAAGTCGATTGTTTTGATTCAACCTAAGAAACAAATGTTGCAACAAAGAAGCTGCTGACAAGCGTATTAGGGCGATGAACCTGTTGCTGTTTCTTCAGATTCCATAATTGGGTATCTAGAAGAAATGGAGTATCATTGTGGTACTGGCAAGCTTGGATTCTGGAATGCACTAAAGGCGCATACTGTTTGTGGACAGCGTTTTTTCCCTGGTAATCCACGTCTAAACGTTGTAGTAAGAGATAGAACAGCAATGAAAAAAAGAGAAGTACACACCATAGGTGCGAGAGATGTCAGTTCGGCTACGGCAGGAATCGATAACAATTTGGTGGTCCGTAAGGTATGTAGTTTCCAGGAAGATACTCGGTTCTGATCACATTTTTACACTATATCTGCATCCTGGCTGTTGATCAAAGAGCTAACAGTGATATTCATAAGGATAAACCCCCCGAAATCCATTGCTGTGGTCCCAACTGGCGTCCAGAATGGCTTGGAGCAGATAAAGAAAAGCTTCAAGGTGGTTTGGAGGAATTCAGGAAGAATCATGCTAATGGCCGAACACTGGACAAAGACCCCGGATGTGGTTATTTTGGGCGCGTAATAGAGTTATGTAATGATGTAAGTTGACTTTTTTGATTTGCCGATACACTGTACAAGAATACTCCGGGAACACGTTTATTAATATATGTTATAGGCGGCTCAACCAGTTAGTATCAATGGTACCGTCTTGTACAATACTCTGAAAGCCATTGAGGCTCGATGCACTTCTGGTGGCCCAGGAATATGCTCAGAGGACAAGGTTGTGAGAGTCTGTGGACAGGTTACTTATCCCGGAGGTATAAACATGATGATAAGAGATGTGGGAAAGTCAAAGAGAGCAGTAGAAATAGCGGGTGCAGAAGATGTCAGTATGAGCACGGTAGACATGGAGAACAGCCTAGCTCTACGTGAGGAGGTGCGTGTTTCTCTTCGGGGGATACTTTACACGACGTATCCTCCACTCGGAAGCTAATTCATCTCCTAGGATGAGGAGGACCTTCACTGTTGCAGCTGTGATTACCGTCCGGATTGGTACCAAGAAGCTATGTCAAAGAAGCTGACAAAAGCTCTTGATTTCACTAAAGCTGTGACTTTATTCAAGTTTGTCTTACCTCCCCACTTCCTTTCAAGCCTACTTGCTAATTATCTTAGTCAATTTTTCCCCGCTGATGATAGTATAGTTCCGTTCTTCCCCCCAGGTAGTCAATATCCAATTCCTTGTGAAGAGGGGGAGGGCGTGATAGAACTTGTCAACGAAGTAAGTCCTTCATCTTAATTTAGGTAGACGAACTGTTAGTTGCTGTACTGATATAAATCAAAGACCGAGGAGATCATTACCATCGAGAAGCAAGTTGTTCAGCGTTACCTCCATCGTGTCTATGAAGACTGTGGAGGAAGAGGCGCCAATCCTCTGAGAGCAAGGGAAAACCCGGAAAACATGTTTAATCACTATGCCCCGTACGCGCCTCCCACTAAGCTTAACCGCCCTTGTGGCCAGAACCTCAATTATGGTGGCTGGAGCGTGGTTTTACGCGCTTGCGACGTAGATGGACCACTTGATCGGCGTTCCAACATTCTTGAGAATCCTATCATCTCATTGGAAGGACCTAGTAGTGAGCCGACTGACATTATTTTGGCCCCCCGTGAAGTTGATGTAGGTAAATTACTTGTTCAGGAAAATGTTGTCTTTCATAACTTTTGCTGCACCTTCTGAACTTGGCTTTCCTCAACGTCAAGAATGAAAAGCTGATATCCACTGCTGTGGCCCAGACTATCGTTCAGACTGGAAGGAACAGATGGGCCCCGGCCTCTATTTCGACGATGCTTTCGCAGAGTTCAAGTTCGTCAAACCTCCCGCTTCTAGTGTTTACTAACAATCTGATTATTAGCGCACTGTTACTAGCGGATGACACTACAGCTACAATCTACCCTGGATGTGCAAAATTTCCAATAGACTGCAAAAGTGGCCAAATAGAAGTCTGCAATGATGTGAGGCTACCATTTTCACCTCAACCCTCTCTGATACTTATGGTTCTTGAGCTAATAAAGGGAACAGACCCATGATATCATTAACGTGGAGAAACATGTTATCATGAATTACCTTCAAAGTGTTCACCATGAATGTGGAGATGGGTACGCCCACACTGCTACGTGGGACGTCAAGATTCCTCGAGAAGCTCATAACTGGGAGTTCTCGGACTGGGGACCACAAGAGGTGCCTGCTGGTGGTTACCAGACATGTGGACAGAGATTCAATTATGGAGGTTGGAACGTGGTTATGCGTGGCTGTGATAAGAAGTGAGCTGTGACAAATGTGTTGTTCTTGATTTAAGCTGCTACGATAGGCGTTTTATGATTTCGGAAGACGATTACATACCTTCAAATAGTGCTCATATTTGGACATTATTTATTATTACCACCAAAGCCAACTGATACATGTTCATAGTGCTTAATGTATTGGACGGATTCCTAGAGAGCATGGCTTGAACAGATCTACATGGTTCAACACCTGCTTAACATGAGAAGTGCTGATATCATGCGCTGTCGTTTTGTATGGAAGAATTCCCTCTTCTTGCCTCGCCTACACGACCTAATCACAGAAGTGAGTTATTACCATTCATCATATTCTTGGTAAGTAATGGAGAGTTGAACTTAAGTACATTCATTCAAATATTTGTACTTGTCTGATTTTGGAGCTTTGTAACGCTGGGTTTAAACGGGACAGCGTCTTGCTTCTCCAATTTTTCGGTATAAAGATAACCAGAGACTTTTCAATCACTAGCTTTTCCTGTTAAACTCTCCTCGTATTGACCGTCTAATGTTTGCTGAGACAGAAGTGAATACGTTTCTCCTGGGCAGGACCCTTTTGGGGAAACAACAAAGCGGGGTAATGAAGTAATATTCAAAGCCGAAAATTGCTAACATTTCCAAATGACTGATACTGTTAATGTAGCTTGAGATCAACTATCTGTTCGGTGTTACTGTGAATGTTATCGTGAAATCCTGCTTTATTGATAAGTGAGAGCATTTTAGAGGTTAACTTGACCATCGCCTACCAAAATAAACTACATCCAGAATTCTTGAGCATATGTCATATGGTCATCAGTCTTCAGACTTCAGTCATTGCTTATACCCCTCGCGACCGGAGACATGTTAACATAAGTTTTGAAGTATGAGATAGATTTTTACTTTCAATTGTTAATTGGAAGGAGGATGTTCCTCGTTAACTGTTATCATAAGTCCATACAAGCCTTGATCCGTTGAATCGAATTCACCTTTACCACATTGCTGCTAGATTGTAGACTTTATTCTTCTGATACAAGTCTCCCGACTTATCTCCTTCCAGATCATAAGCCCATTCACAACCCAAATAAAAACCTGCAATCGACAAGTCAGTATCTATATGACAGCGTTTCCCCTCTTTGATCTGCTATAAGTCGTCCTCTTCCCTCCACAACTGATCTTTCTTTCCAATCCAACCCATCAAAGTTTTACAAAGAACATATCATCAATAACTACCTTTTCAATCTCAAAATGCATATCACTGCATTAATCCTCACATTCGCGACCTTCATCTTGAGCGCTACCGCAGGTCCAGTCGCTATCGCAGCACTATCTTCAGAACTTGCCAATCGCGGAGTAGGTAGCCATGTACCCTTAGATCTTGGACACACTAACGATCAACTCTCTATAGTTGGACGAGCTCCACTGCTGCAAGGACAACGGTCGCGGTTGGCAGTATGCCCCATACGCCGAGTTTCAAACAGCTTACAATCGTTTGTCAGTGATACCCTACTTGAGGATAGTACCCCTTGCTAACCATGCCAAAAAGCCGTGGTCCTGGTACCATTTTCGTTCCGCATGGTTGTACTGCAGTTACTGGATGTAACAATGGAGCCGAGACGCTTGTTTGTAACGACGTAAGCATTGAATTTCACTTACTGGTCTACTCTATTCTAACCGGAATCAGCACCAACGCGTAGCCATGGTTGAGCTATCCACTTTCGCCCAATTCTTTGACACAGTCGCTGGCCAATGTGTTAGTTGGGAGACTGGTGTCCCGTCGGTCTGCGGCCAAGCTTTCAATAATGAGCATCGATATAATCTCGTCTTGAAGAAATGCAATTATTAAGACGGCCAGAAGGCTAGGATATCATAGCGGTTAGGAAAACTGTTCCAGTGGAGCCTTTATCCTACTAGGCAAATGATGCTGCAGACCAATGCGTATTAGCTAATAACAATGGATCTATTTCCTGGTGATTTGACAGAAATTACGTTTTTTTCCACCGCTCATTCGTTTGTTCTGATTTGGATATCGAGTAAACCAGCCACTGCTTTACAAAGCTGACAGGACACCCTCAAAGGTATTAATATTAGAATCGCGACTTCCCAAGACTCCCTCCCCAAGAGGCACACCTTCTCTTATTGCCCGAGACAATAGAGTGTGTCTACCTATCAAAACTTGAGTAAGTCTGGCTTTTGGAGCGGACTTTGTGGTTATTCTTGTCATACTTGCAACGCACTGGTGACCCTATGCGTGTTTGCTTCTCAAATCACATCTTGAGTTCGAGGATCTCGATTTGACCCCGACTTGATTTCAAGTGATCTATCCTCAACGTTGAATGCCTTCGCAAAGAGTAGTCGCTCCAAATGGACCAGAGTAAGAACCAACCTAACCACAACCAGTGTTAATATCGAACGAATCCACTGTCTGAGATATTCTACCGTATGGACAGCCACCGCCACACATACTTGGAAGTAAGACCTTTTTATAACAAGAAATAACTTTGTTGCAAGTCGATCATTTTCGGAGTTTGGATACGTGCTTTAGTTTGTTACGGAGATTAGGATGCTCGGGATACAACATTTTCCACACCGGCTATTTATATCCGATTCCCTCACGAGAATCAGATGAGAGGAGTGTGCAAGATGTCTGTTTGTTGCATTTCGCAATATTTCGGCCTTTGGGAACATGTCTTGAAAGTCCGAGCATTACTTGAGATGATTGGAATAGTAATCCGAGAGTGGCTGCTAGTGGCGAGTTGTACTCCTAATTCGATGTTCTTGTCCTTCTAAGCGAGGTTTGCACGGCTTGGAAACTGTCAAAAGGAGATAGTGGGCCGTGTGTTTTCTGACCGAAAAGCAGTCGATGCCCCAGCTTTTACGGACGTTGAGTGTCGTCGTCGTTGGAAGAGTCGAGGGAGAGCACGTGTGAAATGCGGGGCATCTTGGTCCTACGCGACATCACGGCGCGTCGTTCCTGCACCATAGAAATTTCCAAGGTTAACTGCTTGGTTCTGTTTACCAACATTGCACGGAAAGCACATCTCACCGGCTCGCCCCCGTTCATCATGGAGATGCCGATGATTAAGGAATACACACGATTTTGCCCATCATGACCCGGTTCCTCACGCCGGCCAAAATTGGACTTCTCTCCCTAATCGAGCTGTATACCCAAGAAATCGTCCCAACTGCGTCGACAATACCTATCCTCTCCTTCATACTCAACCAGGTCCTCCCATCGACCGTAAAGATTCATTACAAGAGCACAAGCTCTTTAGATTCGCTGCCATTCATTCTCGACCTTCAAGCTTTCGAAACCCTTCTTCAGTCACACGCAGCTCTCGTTCCCGGCCGAACGCTCTGGGATCAATTCCTCAAGAAGATATGGAGCATAGATAGCTTGGACGCTCTGCACGAGTTCTTCGCAAATCGGAGGAATCTGCTCGCAAAGACATACGAGGAGAACAAAAATGATCAAGAGATGGGGATACCGCCTCCTTCTGAGGACATGATATTTCTCTCGAGAACCTCACCATTTGGAAGCTTTATTCGAAGATCCAAAGTCGAATTCGACAGGTTAAAATTCGGCGATGCGGTTGCTTTATGGATTGCGTTTGCGAAATGGAGACAAGATACCCAGGCTTATTATATGAGGCGGAATGGACAAATTGGCAGATGGGCTGGCGACAAGGCGTTGGAGAAAGGAGAAGAATTATGGGGAATCGATGCCACGGAGAATTTGGAAAGTGTTGCTTATGGACTAGATATTGTGGATGATGCGGGAGAGGGTAATGTCAGTACAGATGATGTCGAAAAGTTGTTGGAGTTTCAGGTAGAGCAGATGCAGAGTGAGTCTATTAATATTGCTAGCTGTTAAGAGAGTTGCGCTAAGTTGACCTAGAGTTCGGAAACAGAATGCCCTTCGAGATCAGAGACGGGTTTCAAGGTGTACTCGAGAAAAGTATTTTGGTCCCAAGTTTGTCACACTACCTCAAGTACCTCCACCGATTGCACTCTTCCTGAACTATTGCTAAAATCTCTAGTTTTCTCGACGCCTGGAGGGCTGGCGACTACCCCACCTCCTTTGACTGTCTTCATCGGTACTTCGATTACACAATGCAGAACCGCGACCGTTTGTTTTATCAGTATGCCTTAATGAACCTCGCGGTATTACAATCAGATTTTGGGTGCTACGATGAGGCAGTGGCTGCGATGCTAGAGACAGTTTCAACTGCGAGAGAGAATAAGGATATGGCATGCTTGAATTTTGCTCTAAACTGGCTATATCATTTCGGAAAGGCGCACCCCAAGCTGATTTACAATACGGAGTCAGCAAACATGATAGGAGCTGAGCGTGAAGGTCTTTCGTTTCTGAGAGCGAAAGCCAAAGAAACGGGAATGTGGACGCTTTGGAGCTCCTCGTTATTAAGCGAGGCGAAACTCGGAATGTCCTGTGGTGAAAGCGTAGCGACCGCATTTGAGAACATCTTAAAAAGTTCACAATTAATCGTCGAAAAGGGAATGAAGAGTATGATGGGACCGCAAATTGCGATGTCCTCTTCGTTGTGGGGTCGATTAGGTGTTGCACATCTCTCGAGACAATACTGCGAAATCTTTCTTAGTTGTCATGCGAGATATGCATTGTTCGACGATTCATTGAGGTTCACATTTCGAATTGCGCATCTGCTAAGCGAAAGAGGCCAGCATGAAGAGGGTATGAAGAGGCTAGAGAGCTTGGATGAGAACTCTCTTCGATCATGGAAAGCAAACCAATACTGGTTGGAATACCGTGGAATTCTGCGACTCAAGGCAGACCTTCATAAGAACAACCTCGATGGTGCGGACCAAATCCTCCGGCAGCTTCTACAATTCAGCGGAAGAGGATCAGATTCTGATCTGGGGTTTGAAATCAACACACTGCACATTGACTATTTAATCCGGAGAACAGATTTCTCTGGCGCGCTCGCTAAAATAGAGCAGATGGCATCGGCTATGAAAGAGGAAGGAGACGACATACATCTTAGAGTCAAACTTCTCACCACCAAAGCCTTACTACAATCCAGAGCCGGTCGTCCACAGAAAGGCTTCTCTGTGGCCGTTCGCGCTGCAAGCATAGCCTGGCGAGCCCGACTCATTCCCGCACTTTGGATGGCCATGGGTGCAATCGCAAACATCCTAACATCTCTTTCCGAATTCCACGCCGCATCTTCGATCCTCATCGCTATCATACCTCGAGCCCTAGAATGTGAAAATTGTGCCATGAGCGCGCAACTCTACTCTTTCCTTGTCGATGCATACATGGGTCTCGCTGGCCAAGCTGAACCGGGTAGTGTGCAAAGGAAGCAAAACCTCACACATGCTCTGGAGTATATCGATAGGGCGTTCAGTGAGCACTCTGATGTTGGAGATGTGAAAGGACAGTGTGAGATGGTCGCTAAGAAGGCGACTGTGATGATGGCGTTGGGGGACAAGGTGCTGGCTAATGATTATGCGAGTCAATATCTGGATTTGAAAAGGGAAATGAAGATTGGGATGGTATAGAAGGAAGATGTTATGTTTACGATGTTGTATGATACCCATGGTAATGTCCTTGTAATCTGTATATTGCTTGATTCCGACTGTGCATCAATCGAACGTCTTTGTCCTGAACTGTGATGAGATTGCTTCGTAATTTTCACAACAGGCAATTTGATGCAAATATAGCGTGGGAATAAGACTCAAATACTACAGGTACGGCACATTAGAAACAATAATGTGTAATAGGAAGGACTCTGTCCTATGTCTCCTATTGGTTATGCTCATCTGCAGAGCGAAATCGCTTGGCCACAGTATATTCAAGCATGTAGTTGCAAAGAGTTCAAAGTTGAATTTACGTCCATCGGATTTCTTCACAGGCGTTTCAACCTTTAACATTGCAACGACTCAAGGAGAAATGTACAGTCCAGTCTTCCGTCTATCCGCCCAACCCCTCGCACGCACCCATCCAGCCGTACCAACAATCTTTCCCGCGCCCAAATCATGGTCCTACGAATCGCTTACTCGTCATCCTTCTTGTGGTAGTTGACTTTGTCGTTCCAGCTGTATGATGTTAGCAAAGCGAGTTCTTTCTTCCTCCGGAGGTCGCGGGAATATGGCGTGATGTTCGTGAGAGAAACTTACAAGATGGTCTATATATCAATTAGTACAGTTCTAGCAGAGATTTTGGGGGGAGAATAATTTAGAAGAAGACATACCTTATCGCCATCACCCCAGAAGTAGTTCTTAGTTCTCAAGTTCTGATAATCATACTCGGTTCTCTCCTCAAGAGGTCCCTTGTGAGCCCAATGGTCCCAATGCTCGTTCCAGAGAACATATGCGTTTACACCTGCAATGATCAGGCAAGGAACAGTCGCGCTACAGCTCGTTAACAACCCGTCCTCTGTCATATTATCTTCCGAATGCCGTCGGGCTCGAAGGGGAGGGGTCGTACTAAATTGACAATTTACGCCAGAGATCTTCAACACGTCAGTCCTGCGCATTCAAAACCACAATAGTAAGGGCAACATACCAGAAGTCGCAGCAGCATGAGCCTTCACAGCTTCTCTCTCCCGGTTGAAAGCATTATCCTCGACGCCCTTCAAGGTGCTCTCGCCGTGGCTCGCGAAACGGCGTTGGAATGGTGTGCGCACGGAGGGCGAACGTAGGTTTGCGGCGAACCGCTGGCTAGTACGGATCATTTGGCGTTGCGGGAACATTGTTACGTGATGTGGGAGGTTTCAATTGCTGGATTGGTTTGTCGTTGGATGCTATGTCGTATGTTCCCGTCAGTTTGATGCTCGGCTGGTGCCTTAGGCGCAGAGGCTGAAGCTGGGGCTAAGGTTATGCATTGGTCAGGTGACCGGAGATGACGACGAGTGGGTTTCGTGTTGAGGGACGCGATAGGAGAGAACGACGCGTTTGGAGACTTATGGGTACATCCCCACACTTGTATTGGATAGATCTTACTCGTGATTGAGCTTGGTGGCTATGTGTTGTTGAGTGTTTGGTACCCCCAGCTTGGCTCGCAACTGGAGTTGCAGAATGGAGCAACGTCAAGGTCTACGGATCACGACCTGGAATGGTGAGTCCGTGTCTATCGAGAATTCTGATGGCGACTAATCCATAATAGTGAACGGCATCAGGTGTGTTTTCATCAATTGGCGTCTCTCTTCTCATGTGATGATACTAAAGTGAAATAGAAACCCGTTCGGGTATCAGCCATGGCGTCAATCGAGAACATTTGCGGCAATGTTCGATATCTTGGAAGCAGATATTGTAGTCATGCAAGAGCTGAAGATCCAACGAAAAGATTTGCGAGATGATATGGTTCTCGTTCCCGGGTGGGATGTGTATCTAAGTCTTCCAAAACATCTGAAAGGTACTGTCCAAATTTCTCTCATGAGAATGGCTCATTGATAAGTTACAGGATATTCTGGAGTTGCAATCTATACTCGAAACTCGACATGTGCACCAATTCGAGCAGAGGAAGGCATCACCGGCATTCTCACTCCTCCGAACTCGACGATAAGTTTTCGTGACCTTCCGGAAGACCAACAGATTGGCGGCTACCCAACTGCCAGCCAACTATCAGATTTCAGCCTTGGTGCTGCGGACCTTGATTGTGAAGGAAGATGCGTGATTGTTGAGTTTCCCGGTATGGTTGTCATCGGAGTATATTGTCCAGCAAATCGTGATGAAAGTCGCGACGATTTCCGAATTGGATTTCTCAATGCTCTGGATTCCCGAGTTAGGAATCTCATTGCGATGGGGAAGAACGTCATTTTAACAGGAGATTTAAATATCATCCGGGAAGAAATGGACACGGCCAATGCTGAAGAGCAATTGAAGAAGCATGGTATGACAGGTGAAGAGTATGTGTCAACACCAGCCCGACGGATGTTGAACCAACTGCTTGTTGGCGGTAAAGTCATTGGCGAGAGAGATGAAGACAAGGAAGGCGCAGTCATGTGGGATATTTGTCGAGGTTTCCATCCAACTCGAAAAGGCATGTTCACTTGTTGGGAACAGAAGATCAATGCTCGACCAGGAAACTTCGGCTCTCGCATAGATTACGTGCTTTGCAATTGGAAATGTTACGACTGGTTTCGAGATTCCAACATCCAAGAAGGTCTAATGGGATCCGATCACTGTCCAGTATACGCTATATTCAAAGACAAGGTGGAAATCGATGGAGAGGAGGTTGATATCAGGGATATTTTCAGTGATGGAATGTTCAAAAACGGAGTTAGGCAGCGAGACTGGACCATCAAAGATCTACTGCCAACATCTGCGAAGCTCATCCCAGAATTTGATCGTCGTCGGAGCATCCGAGATATGTTTAGCAAAAAGCCTGCGCTGTTGCCAGAGAAAAGCTCAGTCACCAATGGAGCGAGTTCGCTGGCTGTGGACAGAACAACACCTACTCGAGAATTGTCTCAACCCGAGAATCTCGATCCAAATGGCGAGCCATGCTTCAAACCCTCAGTCAATAAATCTCCGATTACACCAGCGACATCTCGACCTTCGCCGGGGCGAATCTCCGGAACAAAAAGTCCAGTTAAGCAAAATGGAAAACGCGGCTTAGACAACGGCAACGGTACGGATCCTCCGCAGAAACGTACCAAAGCAAGCGGTACCTCAAAATCTGTAGCGGCAAACAAACCTCCACTCACCAAAGGGCAGAGCAGCTTGATGGGCTTCTTCAAGCCCAAGCTTCAGCCGGCCGCTGTGCTGAAGGACCAGGATGATAGCTCGACTTCGTTCAATAGCGAGATGGATATCTACGATGCTCCCGTCGAGAAATCGGGTGTACTTGACGATTTAGCTGCTTTAAAACCAGACGAAAATCGGAGCATTCCAGACAGTGCTGCGTTGGCCGACAAAACAGAAGGTCTGTCCGTGGAAAATGCTTTCAATCCTGCTGATCAGAAGGATGTGGTAGATCCCGTGGCTGTCAAAGCTCGTAAGTTCAATTTGCCCATTCGACCCCTCCATCTTTTGATTGTGCCGTGATACCTACGTTATGAGAGCTAATCTCACTTAATTCAGGCTGGGATCTACTTGGGTTGGGAAAGCGGACGGTTCCCTTATGCGAACACGAAGAGCCTTGCAAGAGTATGGATACGAAGAAACCTGGTGTAAATCAGGGGAGGTCATTCTACATGTGCCAAAGACCATTAGGGCCGACAGGAAAGAAGGAGAGGAACACACAGTGGCGATGTAAGTTGCTTGCAGTCTACCGACAAGGTTACGTTTGTGTTTCAAGCTGCTAATAGTAGATTCTAGGCGCCACGTTCATGTGGAGCACTGATTGGAAGGGGGAAAATGGTCAATGAAGTGTTCTGATGGATGAGTTGGAAAGATTATCGACTTTACTGATGTACACTTTGCAATAACGATTCACGATTTTGATACCTCTGGATATGAACACAGCAGCGATACTCGCGTGCACGCCGCTTCGAGGGTCTGCAGAGACATAGACACATCAGAGGTCGGCAAGATCAAGACCAAAAATATTTTGGGAGGGTTCTGATTTCATTCGGGGCCACAAGGTCGCTCCTCCATTATCACTGAGCTAGATGCAACAGAAGAGCAACCACAACAATCACAACACCTGGATCCTCTCGCCACAAATTCCCTCCTCACATCAAGTGGAACAACGAGAGTCTTGCATTGATCGGGGCAATACTCCAGGGGGGAAGTGTTCCCTGTGACTAAACGGTATCCATGGAAACGAAGATATTTCCATGACTAACCATGATACAGTAGCGCATAAGCAATTCGAGTTCTGAGTCTCAGGCCATTATCAAATCACAGTGATGACCTAAAGCTTTAAATTGGAATTGCAGACATGTGAGAATATGCACTTGAGTATCAAAGCCAGAAGAGCAGAGCAGATGCGCCAAATCCCGTGATTTTTCGCAGCCAGAAGCGTTATCAGATCGACTCTCCCCCGACGCAGCGACGGAACATATCGCATCCGAACTCACAGTCATCACCCGGCCGACGACGACATCTCACCTTCATACCAGCCTCCGAATTTGGTGATTCAAAGTGGGGCGACAAACTCCTATTGTCTCCCCCGCCACCTCAATTTCTACAATACAAGTATCGCGAAAAGATGCACTGGGAAACGAGCGCAGATTCACTTTTGCAAATTGGAAAAAATGAGGAGGCTGGGATGAAAATTTCGAAAGGAGAATCGCGCGGCTAAGCTGGATTTTGAGGTGGGCGTCAAATTCGGTTTGTATGGGAGTTCGAGATGTGAAGATGAAGTCGCCATGTAATTTGAAAATTTGGGCCTTCTGTACCTGAAATGGGTACTTGGTAGATTTTTCACATTTTGCAAGATTGGGAAGAAGTGTAATCTAATCTTTGAATTCATGTCTTGGTCTTTTATCGTTTCAATCGGTTTTCAAACCTCTGATTGCCTGTACCAGAAGCCAGATGATTCAATCCTCCCCTCCTTTCCTCCGTTTTTGAAAACTGTATTATACAAATCTATGCCGCCCTGTGAACATCTCTGTGATATCCATTGAAGCTTTCTCCATGTCTTTGTTAGAACAAACTCAAAATCAGCTGCTGCGCTATGTACATTTTTTGATAGAAAAGGAAATAAAAGAAAATGTGTGATGTTGATCTCCAGAATGAGTATCTGAACAGGGCCTCTTCCGACATAAAAGTTGTTGAAGTAGGCGCGAGGTCGAATCTGATTCAGAAACATTGAAGCGTTGAGGTAGTGTGAACCGTCGATGACGCTGGTGTTGTATTAGTTGATTGCTGGATTGAAATTGTGTGTGAACATTGTGGCTTCGTATTGAATGAAGCGGGTATCTCGAGAAGTGAAGTGTATCTCTGAAATGCTGACTTCCTATCATGGTCGAACCGTCGGCGCTTCCGATTCCTAGCGCTAGTAACACACTTTTGTCGTATGAAGCTAATTTGAGAGAAAGTGACGGTGGAATTAATTAGCACCATAATTGTCATTGAAATCTAAGAATAGATCATCAAACTGCCCATCAATACCCTGTAATTGGAAGTTGAAGTCTTTATCCAGGTCTGCGAAGAGGCTGTTGATTTCTTCAGACGTGGTATTGAGAGGGACAATGTTACTAGAATCCTCTAAGAATGGCAGACTCTGCGAGAATTGTAGCTGTGGGTAGACTTGTTCTTGAGGTCTGGCAGTGTCCGAGTAGACAGTTGGGGAAAGGTGACCAGAAACTTGAACTGTTGATGTCTTCTTTGTCTTGCGTCTCTTGATCGCAGAAGACTTCCGAGGTGTGATCCTGTATCCCGGATTGCGGAGAGCATGCGCCTTCTTTTCGTTATCGGCCGCCGCTTGCCAAAAAGCCTTGACACTGGGGTCTTCGATTTTCCACATTTTCCCGATGATAGTCGCTATGCCAGGTTAGTATCTGAAATCGTGATTTGTATCGAGTTACTTACAGATTTCACTGGTGTGCATTCCTGGATTTTGGGCAACAACGAGGTGATGCTTGGACTTTCGGTAGAGGATCCAGGAGTTTGCTGGCTTTGGAATCTTTTTGACTTGAGGAGCGAGCGTTGTGTTCACCACAGAAGGCAATGAGCTTCCCATTGAAATTGTAGGATTTGGAGCTGACTGCAGAGCTGCACCCATGATTGGAGATGCTGGTGGGGGGGTTGTGATGACTTGACGGGGTTTGTTTGGATCAGCCACGTAAACCAAGACCAACTTTCGAGTTTCGTAGAAGTCGAATTGGTCCAGAACTTGACCAATGCGATAAACAAATGTTTCCATGTTTTGGTGTACAAAAACATGTGTATTTAGCCGTTTCCTATTCAAGTTAGCTATAATAAACTCCCGAAGGGGGAGGGTAACATACATCAGATCGTCTGCGAAGTCCTCAATGGCCTTCCCAGAGTCTTGCATACTGGAGACCTGTGCTGGTGAAAAGAGATATACAGTCTTTCCTTGACCAAGTCTCTCTAAATGGTAAGCCATATGGATGTCTTGCTCAGCCATACTATTCCGAGATGGTGAGCTAAAGTTGCTCTCGATATCGAAAAGCAGATTCGAAGATGATGTAGCCATTGTTATCAAGTCGACAGAGAAGATATTGAAGACTCAGCCGATCGAGAGAAGCGGGTGAACGAGGAGTTTAGGAACAGAAAGATCGCGGGGACAATGTTAGAAATTGCAGTTGGTGTTGAAAAGTATTGTAATAAAAAAGTATGAGAGGGTATTGTGCGAAAATTTGGTCGAAGGTCGAAGTGAAGAACCTTGAAATATGAGGGGGCTTGGGTAAGGCCAGGTCTTCGAAGCCGAGGTGAATATCGCATTTTTTCACGACCTCACCTTCAATACATCTTTTCATTTTGAGCACACAACCTTGAAACTTGGGAGCTAATGTGGTAAACCCTCATGCCTGTTTAGTTTCGTCTCTCGCTTTGTGCGATGGCATCCTTTAAATCATTCTACGGGCTCAAAAAAGCTACACAAGTCAAGATGACAATGCAGCATGACATACCCAGTAGCGAAGAGTTAGATGTTATGGAAATTGCTCTGTGTGTACTACTGAAAGAAGATTTGCCAGGCTTAAGATCAAAGATACTTCAGATGAGGCCAGAGGAATTCGCACTCTGTACCGGGTCCATCGGGAAATTCTCACAGAATCTTTCATTATCAACGTACAAAAAGTACAGACCTTATTCTGCCCAGGAAGAGTTATATGCCAAAAAGTGGAAAGAGAAAACCCTTTCTCGAAAGATGTTGAGGCACGTTCTGTATTTTCCCGGGGGAGATGCTGGTACGTTCAGCCCTGAAGCCTAGGTTCAACAATTTCTAACACTGAAAAAGTGCACTGCGGGCCAGAATTCCTCGAAGCTTTAATTTATGATTTTGTGTCGTACTCGCTGGCCGCATCTAGACTCATATCAAATGCTAGCGGAACACGCAGTCTTGACTCGCCTCTTGACAGCGCTGAAAGACTGGTTCGCGAAAATCTATATGCCGTTATGCAGCAATGTCGCAGATTGCGAGAGAATCCTCGACTCTTTCCCAACGAGGTTTCGAAGACGGAATTCTTTCTCAAGATCAGCAAGATCAGCGAGTCTTTTCACAGTCTCGTCGAAATTTCTAGGAGTTATGACAAGATTCTTAAGTCAGCATGTCAACCCATCGCAAAGATAGATCAACCGATAAGCACCGACTTCAAAGAGAAACATTTTATTTCGCCCAGTAGTGAAGTGGTAGCCGATAGCTCGGAAAATACCATCTCAAATGTTCCAGAATTCTTACCAGACAAAGCACACGCCAGGGATGGACCGTGGCTCAATTGGCTGCAAAATTCCGCTTCTTCTTATGAGGGATGTATCGCAATACAGCAGAAGATTCCTCGAGTGGGCGACAAGTTGACTAGGCAGATATGTCTGCTGTATGACGCAATCTCTGAGGATTTTACCCAGAATGAATTTATGGGAGAAGATGAAGGCGACATCAACTACGCTGACGTTGTACCTTCTCCGGGCCATGATTATGCTCACTTCACATGGTCTGGGTTTCGTACGGTTCCAGTATATGAGCTGGGATTTCAAAACGGCAAAAGGAAAACCTATGACAGCAACGGAAATGTAACTATTGAGCATCTCTCTCGGTTATTGTGCAAATTAAAAGGGAAAGGTTACGGGATACAGCAGCAGTCATCAAACTGCCCATATTTTAGGTTCGCACTTGCATATCGGATTTAGAATAATACATTGTAGTAATCTAAATACAAATGATTGATGAGCGGAATCAACAATTTTTTTTTGAAACATTGATTATGAAAATAAGCTTTCCGACGAAATAATCCTGATTATTTCGAACCACAAGTAAGGACAATACTAAGAATTATAATTGAAAACGGACACAATACTAAGGTGGCGGAACGCCTCGGGATTAGACGACGAGCTCGGTAATTTAGTGACTAGTCCCATTCCAGTGACTCCACTCTCTTTTGGATCGTCTTTGAGTTTCTAATCTTCGTTCTTTGAACATCAAAATTTGCTATTTGTGAAAAAACATCTAGCAAACATCCAAATCATGGCCAACATACTTCATTCCCCGCCGCATGCATTCCTCGATAAGTCGAGTCATTTGGCATCAGAAGCGCTCCTCCAAATGGCGAGTCCATACGACCTTGCACAGCGAAATACTATAGTGACTTTGCAACGACGGAATCCTGGTCTCTTAAATAGACATCTTGTCGCAGCAAACCCGTATGTTGCAAGGAAACCAAAAATACCCAAAAGAGGGGTCAATTCGTTTATGGCATTTCGTGGTACGTTTCATACGTTCTTGAACACATTACAAGGCTGAACTTGTGTAGCATACTACTCTCGAATGTTTGCGAAATTCCAACAGAAAAATTCCTCAACTTTGCTCAAACGGCTGTGGGATAATGACCCGTGGAAAGCAAAGTGGAGTATTGTTGCGAGATCGTTCACAAGTTTGAGAGATGCTGTTGGGAAAGCGCATGCACCACTCTCAACATTTCTCGATATTGTCTGCCCAAAGATCGGAATAATTAGCGTGGAAGAATACCTGGACATGATGAATTGGGTTGTCGAAAAGGATAACGACTCTGTCGAGTTGAAGCAATACTCGCCGCCAGACTTTTCAGTATTCCCCGATAGGATTGTAAACACGCTCATGACAGAGAGAGACGTAATCTTCTACTGCGCCTTCAAAGGGTATATTTCTGCGCGTATGAGTGTCAAAATCGCCGGTCCATTTCCACAGTCCGAGAGTCCGTCTGCGAAGCGCGCTACCTCGCAGCAAGGACTCCTTGCTTCTGCCCCTCCCCAGTAAGTTTTTAAACTACCATCTAAGTGCTTACTTGAAGCTCACACAATCCTCTAGGTGCATGATGACCCCAAACGAAGCTTTCAATACGGAGACAAATGTCAGCTCGGAGACCGCTGCAGCGTCGCAGATCTTTGGCTCAGATATTGATGCAACAATGGAGATGACCGATACTATATGTACGCCCTTTGAATGGTCCAACAACGACTATGACTTGTATACAGCAGGGGAAGGTGTATTTGATTTCGAATCATACTTCAGCAAAACCCAAGTCGATCCCTGGGACTCATTCAATATCGATGATCCACAGGCGATGAACGGTTTTCTCACAGGAGGTGGAATTCAGGAGGGTTACGTATCACCAGAGGGTAACAATACATAATCTAAGATTCTGTTGATCAAAGACTAACACTTGTGAGCGCTGCCAGAATACACACCAAACCCACTCTAAAATTCAAGACTCACAATCTCAACCCTCGACTTCGAGTATCAAGCAAGTCTCTTCCCGGCATCTGAGACAAATGTCGGCACGCCTAGATACCGTCAGCAAAGGGCCCTTTCACTAGTCTCATTCCTCCCTTGCCGAGACATCTTCCTTTCATTTCAGACCATCCACAGCTCGGAGGGAAACATTCAAACCCGCAAGACCGGGGCATCTGTACATAGTAGATACCATACCATACACCAGAGTTTTCAGCTAGGTTTTCAATACAAGGGCGTTTTAATTCGTAGATACTTACCCCTGATTGAGCGTGGGAAGTCGGAGACAAAGCGAGACCATAACGCCACTGAAAACGGCCGGACAAAGAATTCCCTGATATGAAGCCTTGGTACGGTTATGTGCAGAAAGGTATCAGCTCGACAGTGAAGAAAGTGTAACTGACCGCCTCGTGAATATCCTCTTCAACCAATTATTTCCGCATACAAGTATGCGGAAAACCCACCTCACTAGACCCTTCCATCCCCATCACCTACCATCACCACCCACCTCGAAACCATCCCTCCCGCCCAAAATCTCACCCGTAACCAAAAAATCCAAAATCCAATCCTTTGTCTGTCGTCTCAATAAAGCTTTTCCCCACCCACCCGCCGAGCCACCACACTAACGCGCGTGACAAGGATCGATGTCACGCACATCCCCTTTTGACCCTAGCGAAAACCGGCAGCCCACCGGCGCCAGATGCATGCACCTGAGACCGTTTGTGGTCTGAGCTTTTGATTGATCTGCTCGAGGATTTGGGGATGAGATAGGTTGGATGGAGATGTTGAGATTACGGTGGTATGCATTATTCCAAGTCAATTTGCATGTGAGGAATTAACGGGAAAAGTTGTACTCGCTACGAAAGTTGAGTTTGAAAGTCGATTAGGGATTAGATCAAACTCTGAAATACATCAGCAGCAGCACTCACTCGGTCCCTTGCATAACCATCACAGAGATACATCATGTATTTTATCAACACCACCAACGCTCTTCCTCCCTACAAAATTACCCCTCTTCCGCTAATACATACAAACCTTCCAATTCGCTACCAAAGATTCCTCGATGCAGTCTCCCTTTTCAGCTCCTGCTTCCCTGCACCACGCTATCATCCAACCTCTACTCTTCCTGATAAGAAACCTTACGCATCTCACCGAGTCTCTTCCTCGCCGCGGCCAATCCATTTTCAAGTTGTAGAATCTCGACCTGGTGGGATGTGTTAGCATGTGAGAAATTGAAGAGGGGGAAAGGGATGAACAAACCTGCTGCTGCATCTCCTGAATCTTGAACTCATGAGCGCCCATCTTGGCATAATCCACCTGTTCCTCTCCACCATTACGATCTTCAATCATACTCTGAACCTGTCTCACAAGGGAGCGACAGGCCGCGCCAACGGCTTTGCTGGCCTGCTCCAGTGACTCCTGGGATTTGCTCATGAAGCCAGCCTTGACTCTGCTAGCAGCCACCAATTGAGCCGTTGAGCCCGCCACGTTGTTAGATGCAACGATCAACTGCTCGGGGCTATTACGCCCGGATAGAACGCCGTCGGCGGTCTCAATTAATGTGTTGGTGGAAGAAGCCACAGCCTTGGCAGCGGAAATGAGTCCTTCAGTCCAACGGTTGTTTTTCTTGTAGAAAGCAGTTTTGTCACCTGTGCCTTTACCAGCCTGGACAATCTCTGCCTGCGAGACGGTTGCTGCCTTGATCAGTCTTGCGATGGCGTTTGTTACTGCAATCGCAGCATCCAATATTGAGTCGTGAATTCGTAATTCGTAAGTTGAGTATCCATCCTTGGGTTTGGACTTGAGTTTAGCGAGACGTGCAGCTGCAGCACTGATAGCATCTGCAGCTTTACTCAATTCGTTGTCGACAAGATCACCGAGATCACCCTTGTTCTTACTGATTAGGCCAGAATTTGGTGCGAATACATCCACCATCTTGTTCAGATTTTGGAGATTTCTCTGCACTTCACTCATGTTATTGATGGAGACCTCCAACCGCGCTTCTTCGTCTAGGTCCGCGAGGCGGAAGCTCTGCAAGTTGCGGAAGAATCTAACAGTAGCTTGTGCAGACTGTCGTGCTCCATTGACGAGTTGATCCGCCTTCTTCTCGTCCGTGGCGAGCCTCGTGAGACCCTTGGTATTGCTGAGAACATCTGACATGGAACTGGAGAAGACATTAACGGTTTTGATAATTTCAGCATGGCTACTGTTTGGACCGTCCGCAATAAAATTGTTGAAAGCCGTAGCAAATTCGGTAGCTGATGAGGAAGCCTTCTCAATCTGCGAGAGAACGTATGAAGGCGTCGCATTTTGATTTCCGGCCTGCATAGATGAATCCAGTTCGTAAATAGCATCATCAACACGCTGAACACCACTTTGTAGAACCGAGTCGATGATGTCGTTGATCTTTTCAATGTTGGAGAGGAGCATGGCATCGATCTCGCCATCTAAAGCTTGGTCGGTTGCACCCTTTGACATTTCCAATTCGTTCAGCTTAAGCAGAGACTCCTCCCAACTCTGCTTGTACACTTCTAATTCGGCCTCTTTTTCACTCAACAAGCGCTCCGCATCAGAACCACCCTCGCTATACTTGGAGTGCACTTCTTCGAGGGCACGTGATTTCTTTCGAAGAGCCTCCTCGAGATCTGACATTTCTCGATTATATTTTGAAAGCATGGAGGAAAGTTCATTGCCTTTACTCCTCTCCAAGTTGTCAGCACGATCGAGAGCCATGCGTAATTCCCGCTTGAGCTTCTCTACTTCCTCCCGATTTCCACCAGAAAGGCGATCCTTGTCGTGAAGAGCTCTGTCTCTTTCTCGGATCATGTCGGCAAGTTCCAGGTTCTTGGTCTTGATCTCGCGCTCCAACTTTTCACGCTTGTCAATTGCCTCCTGCGCAGAGGCCGCTTTCAATTGAACACCCTTAAACTTCTGCAGGAGATCCAGGTGCTCATGTCGTAATTGTGAGTACAATTTCGCAAGCGCTTCATATTTTGTCCGCCACGTGTTGACCTGCTCTTGAAGGGCTCGAATCTGATCGTCTTTGCTTCCCATCTGTTGACCGTAGCTGTTTTGAAGCTGAGCAAGCTCATTCTCCAGCGCCTTGAGTTTCTGGTCATACTGTTGCAGTGTCAATTGATCACGAGCATACTGAGCACGTGCATCGAAGTTCTCCTGCTCGAGTTGTTGCATACGACCCTGAGTTTGCTGCTGATACTGCTGAGCAAGAAGAGCCTCCTGTTCCCGTCTCTGCTGCTCAGCAAGTTGCCGCTGTTGTTCCTCGAAATCTCGCTGAGCTTGAAGGGCCGCTTGCTGCTGCTCATACAACTGTTGCTGCTGACGTTGCTCTAGCGCCCTTTGCTGATCTTCATACTCTCTATTCTGCCGAGCCTGCTCATTTTTCCAGAACTCCCCAATGTCCCCTGGCTCTTCGGTTTTCGGTGGTGCTGGTGGAGTAATCTGTCGCTCGATTTCTTGTTTCGGTCTTTGGGGTAAGCGAGGAGCAGTCTCGTCTTCGGAAAGCAGGTTTGGCGGTTCTTGTGGGAGTTTCGGTACAGTGATAAGACTCGTAAGATATCGGAGATTGGAGCATTCATAGTAGAATTTTACAAGGCGGTAATGCTGAGCGTCGTATCTGCCTCGCAAAGGCTCGAGCGCATCGTCGTCCCCAGTTGCTGCTTCTTATCAGCATTCCATACCTTCCCAAATGCACGAGCACTTACTGGTGTGCATGGCTCGCAACATGCTAGTGATGAATTTATAAATTCCATAACTCTCCTGCACCAATGGTACCAGCGCAGATATCCTACATTCATTGTTTCCGTTTCCACCGGGTCTGAAATGTGAGAAAATCAACTTCTGAAATTGTTCTATGCGATCTTGAAGCTGCATCAGATCAGAAATGGTTTCGTAGCCTTCATTAGGATCATTTATTCCCTTCAGACTGATATACTCCTCATATTCGAAAGTTCCATTAAAATCCGGATGTTGGCTATGGAACGAGAGTTTGGCGAGCAGAAAGTTTACATATTCTTTGATCAATGGTCCGTATCCTCGAAGTCCTTCTCCGGACATTCCTCTGTTTAGACTATCGATCCAATTTCGGTTCGACATTGCTTCGCGGAGGGTGGAGGGGTGACCTTCTTGCAGGACTTTGTGGACGGTGATCAAGGCCTTGAAGGTCTGTACTTCATCCGCGAGGATAGGTTGTCTGTAGATTATATATTATCAGCCTTGTGCCCATAGCCTTGTATTATCACGAACCGGAGCCCCGCGGTCTTCCCAGAATGTGCCAGCACAGCTCAGAGCTCCAGAAGCATTGCGAGCACGTAGCTCCTCGTCTGCGATTCCAGCGCCCAAAGAGAATACTCACACCTTCATCCCCGCCCAAAAAGCCCCCGAGGACTTGTGATCCCAAGTATAAACAATACAGCTGCGCACATGCTTGCGCTTTGGAGCTGTCTCCTCAATACTCGTCGCCTTTCTTATGTTGATCGCGAGTTCACCATCGGACCTAGAATGCCGTCAGCTATTTGCTCCTTGGTTGCTGATGAGAGCTTAGATACTGACTTTGTGTGATCCACGTTTCTCGTGGTCGGCGCATATTGTAAAGCCATCTTTGGGCAAGGTGCCCAGTACGCAGGAAATCAAAGAGCTCGAGCACGCAGTACGAAAGGAATGTCGTGAGGATGAATGTGGAGGAGGTATGAAAAACAACTGCTGGATGTTCTGAAGTCGAGGTTGCCAAGGATTGAGCGTCGTGGTTCGTTGGTGGAGCTGCGTAATGTGGCGCTCGTGCACAGCGGCCCTCGCGGTGGACAAAATAAGTGGCAGTCAAAACACGGTATTTCTTCGATTAAGTTGACGAAATCTCGTTATTTCGTGCATGATTTTGAGTAAATCAGATTCTTACGCTATATTCGAAGTCGACTTATTTAGTCCAAGATTACTGGGCAGGTGACTGACATTTATTTTGTCCTCCGCGAGCGGCCTTACGAGAGTATTGAATACAAATCTTGCAGGAGATCTATAACAATTTATAATAAAATTGAAGAAAGTGTTTCCAAGATGGCCATATTAATTGTAATGTGAGGCGGCTCCAAATTTCCTGAAAAGTAAAACTATTCGTTACTTTCTGTGTTGTATAGGTGACTGTGAATGGGCTGCTTTGATGAATCAACGAAAGTGAGCTTTGAAATAACGGAGTATGAGCTTTCCATCAGCTTTCCAGGCTGCCTTGAATTTTCAACACAGCCCAGTTCCAAGAGGTTACACTCTTAATTGAGGAGCAAGTTGTTATTTGGATAGTCAGGCAACATTCGGTGCTGCCTAATCCGAGGAAAATCATGTAACAAAGATGTAGAAAAGTTCCTGTTTAAGAATATTTCTATTCCAAAATCATACTATACTAAACAGATACCCAAACACTATACAGTGTTTCTAGGCCAAAGCCATCATGCAACCCAATGCACTCTAAACCAAGGTCATTTTCCAATATTGGTTTCTATGTACCTAACCCCAACGCCAAAATACTTTCATCAACCATGCGACTCCGTGATATGTATACATGCTCGCCAGGCTTCCGTCCTCGTGGTCCAATTCTGGGATATCATCGCTCATAAACATCACCTTCGTCCTCAATAAAAGTGTTCTTCGCTCTTGCTTCTTCTTCCTGTGCCGCCATCCATGATGGGAGATTGTGGCCATCCTCTTCGGGACTGCTAGAGAGTACGCGGTGTGGGGTCCTTCTTTTGGGTAAACGAGGAGGCGACTTGGGTGATGACTTCGGAGGCTCAATCGTTGGCTCCGTCTTTGGCACCTCTCCCAACTCCTCGGCATCCTCAACCCATGGCGGCATATATGATGGCGGGCTCTCGTTGATAGGTGTTGTTGGTTCTGAGTCTGTCATTGGTGCTGAAACAACAAGCAGGCCATCATCTGTATGATGATCCTGCTTGCCTTCAGCAATACTCCTCCTTTTAGGTAACGGCGGTGGTGGAACTGCGTGGCGCTGAGGACTTCGAGTGTTGTTTGTGCCAGTGTTTTCTTTCTGTTTCTCTGGCGCCGGTGGTGGCATTGGCTTGCGCTTTGGAACAGCAATTGGGGCCGTTTTGGTCTTCTTGTCAGGCCGTGGTAGTGGAACACCAGGTGGTGGGAGTGGTTGTCCTCTCCCCATGACTCTTGGACGATCAGGCTCATCAGTGTGAACATCAGGTTTTTGATCGCCGTTCCTTTTCAGGGCATTCCAGCCCCAGGTTTTGGCCTGCGCGGCTGCGCCAGCTACGGCTGCTAGACTGATACGTTTGCCCTCATTGGATTTCACCGAGGAACCAGAACTATCTTCGCGCCTACTGTTACGATCCCACGAAAAAGATCCAAGTGATTTAGAAGATGGCGCTTCCGACTTGAGAGATGCATTACTAGGACTTGAAGGACGCGGACCATCATGTGTAAACTGGGTATCTGAGACTGACGCAGATGCTTGCGGCGTTGATCCATTCTGGCTCTCCGCATCGGATCGTAGAAACTCATTTGAAGAGTTCGAAGACCGGCTTCCCGGTTTTTCCATTCGAGAATTGTGTAGAGGAGATCCAATTGGAGTCGATATTGGAGAGTTTGCCGCTGATATGGCTGCCATGGCTGCTGCGGCATGGCTCTTTTCGGGTGGTGTAGATGGAATAAAAGCGTCTGCATTGGTGGTATCTGTAATGGCAACAGGCGACGACGCGTTGACAAACGACCCGGATCGAAGTGCTCTTGGCTTTTCGGGCACAGATTGGGTCTCAACGCTACTCGAAGAGGCGTTGTTCCAGATATTCGAGAGACTTGCAGGTGACTTTATCCCCTTTCGTTGTTGGACGCCATTCGTAGAAGAATCAACTGCGGGTGGCATGCTCGCACTCTTCTCCATTTGTGGCAACGCCATGATTGATTCATCGTTCATGCCTTCCAAAGTTTCTACCGTTTCTACATCGCCATGCTCCGCTGCGATATCCTCCGAGTCTTCATTAGCCACCGCAACTCTATCATCAGCCCATATGCCCCCTCTCCACAGCTTTCCCTCCGTATCGTAGAATGGGGAGTCATCCCAGTTGGGGAAAACCAAGCTTTCTGCAATGACCTCTTTGATACGGTTCTCAATTTGGCGCAAAATTAAAGTATAAGTTATCTGTCTCGAGCTGACGATAGGTTCGATGGTCATGTCGATTTTCGGCATTGTCTCGAACGTAATCCAGAATCGATTTGATGGTGGGGGTTTTATCCTCAACATAACATGGCCTTCCATTCTCTTCAGGAGAACAGCCAAAATGAGGTTGACTTCCCGTGCCTTAAAGCGAGATCCCAGCTCAATTCGTGCTGTCGCCGCTACTTCGAGCTTGAAGTTTCCAGAATATTTACAATCCGCTTCCACCACCAATTCTCCATCCACAGTCAATTCTTTCAATCGAGGATTTGTTATGACGGGCGCGGCTTCACCGAGATCAATAGTTCGCAACGCAATTTTAGATAAAAAGGAAGGAGTCTTGACTCTAGAAATCTTTTTAGTAATCTTTGCCCGGATGAAATTCTCAACCTCCGAAGTTTTGTAAAGTGCCAGAAACAATCGGCCAATAATAGCGTTCAGCCATCGTGTTTGAAGATGCTCCTCGGATGAGTGTAATCTTTGGACCAGCTTAATTATATCCTTCACATCAAATTGTAGTGGCTTTGGTGGATTGTTCTTCGCCTCTAATCTCTGCTCCTGGTTCCGTAGTAGGCTAAAATAGAAGTCCTCCTTCTCCGAACAATTCTCGGAAAATAGGTAGAATGGTTTCGATGCCTTCCCGTCTGGCGTAAGCTCTCCAGCATCTGATTTTCGGGAGAGACAGACAGCGTTCCTTTTTATAAAGAGCTCTCCCTCTGGTGTTTCGTCCCCACCCGAATAAATGCTTACGTCGTGATGGGCTAGAGAAACCACATGTCGTACTTCGAGCTGCTCGTCATCGTCGAAAAGGATTAGGTGACCATGCCTGCAGATGTTTTAGTTTTTGGCTTCATAATAGAAACTCCGTAGAGCATATATTCCCACCTTAATACGACATAAAACACGTTACCACCCTTCTTCTGAGGCCGTCCGGCACTTTTGTTGTCCAACGGACTGTTATTCTGCTTCCTATCAAATATGCTCCTGTACATGCTCTGATAAACACTTGGACTCTGGGCCGCTACTGTTGTGCTGCCCAGAGGTGTTGTCCTCTCCGGTGGTTTCCCCCCAGCACCCCCGGGAATATACTCTCTGCAAACGGCAAAGTATCCCGCAGCGACATCACCGTCGTGCTCATCGCGGGCGTGGAATTTGTCACCCAAAGCCTTCTGGGCATTTTTGATTGCATCAAGATCATCTCCGGGCCGTAGGATCGTGGAATCTGGTGAGTCTCGCGAGGCGGTATGCTCTCGAACAACTGGGAAGCGGAAGTAGCCGTCAATGAGCACAGCGACAAGTAGAAGTGGGATAAAGGTGATGCCTCCTAGAACATAGAAAAATAGAAAGCCCACCAAGCCGCCCATCATGACATTGGAACACTGGACTGAAGCACAAAAGCATGTGTCTGCGCAGACGACCAAATTGTTGTTATGGGCTGCTGACTGGATAAGGCCAGCGCCAGCTGCCGCCAGTGAAGCTTGGACGAACTCAAGGCTGCAAGCGCCCCGCCTTTTGCGGCCCCGCTTTTCTAGAAAGTGTCATCATCGCCAGAACGGAGAGAACTGTCAACTCCGTGGTTGAGAGAACAACATAGTAATTCTTTTTTTCATGAAACATCTGAATTGCACGAGAATTATACGCCATATTATATAAGGTTACTATATAATTTATTATGTGGGTTTCTGATAGTTCGCATGTTCATATTGACTTGTGCTTCAGCTCGTTATTGGCCAGAATGATCATCCGCAGCTTCACCTGCGCAGCCTTCTATGCAGCGAAGTTTTAACTCCAATATTTGAAGTCGCGTCGTGCATTCATTTCTCTCTTCACCAGAGACTTCCTCGCTGCCGGCATGGGTTTATACCGACACTTAACCTTAGGCTTCAGAGATTCCATTAGAGTAGTCAAAATAGACCCAGCAAAAGACCAGACCGAATGGATCCAGCTGAGCATTTTCCAAGTGAGGCTGCGAGATCGTCCCAAGTACGAAGCTTTGTCGTACGAATGGGGAGCTGAGATGTGCGACAAGTCCGTTATATGTGATGGGCAGGAACTCCAAGTCAAGATCAATCTGGCAGCAGCTCTAAAGCATTTGCGGCTGTCAGATGAACCGCGGTGGATGTGGATTGATGCCATTTGTATCGACCAGGAAAATATACCAGAGCGCAACCAGCAAGTTTCCATAATGCGGGATGTATACGCACAAGCGGATAGGGTACTCATATGGATAGGAGAAGAATTTCCCTACGTGAAGGACGCCTTCAAGATGATTCCGGAGCTCGCGAAAAATTGGCAAATAAGAGAGGTTGCCAGACTACAAGCTGGTGACAGTAGGCCACCGTTGCGATTGCGGCCCAGTATTGCTGAAGAACCATCTCTAATGCTGCAAAACGAGCTCCTATGGAAGTCGCTTTACAAACTATTTGCTTCGACTTATTTTGAGCGAACTTGGATTCTGCAAGAGATTGTGGTATCGACACGTGCTACTGTTGTATGTGGGAAGCAACAGGTCGACTGGAAGCTCTTCAACTGGGCCGCTTCTTTCATCAATGCAACGACATCTCTACTCCAAAATGCGCCTGATACCGACACGCTAACCAAAGTTTCAGGCATCGACCAGATCAGATCAATGTATAAGCAACGCGGAGGGTTTCCATTGCCTTTATACCTTGTGTTTGTTCAAGTTTTGAAGTCTACTAATCCACGGGATAAGATCTATGCAATCCTGGGACTGAGGCGGGACGGGATCAAAGAGTTATCGGCTCTCGCAGAATTGCTTCGAGTGGACTACACTAAGAGCGAGCAACAAGTATACCAAGACGCTGCTAGGTACATCATTGAAAGTCAACAGCGTCTGGACATTTGTTGTGGACAGCCCTTGACCTCAAAGGGTGTAGAGGACCTGCCATCATGGGTCCCGGACTGGTCTGCGCGGATGGAAGGAGCACCCAGTACCTTTTTGACTGCATGTTCACACTACAGACTCCATAATCTACTGCCATGGCCAGGCATTATTACATTCAACCACAACTCTATGTATACCGATGGTCTCAGCATAGATTCCATAGCCTTTGCTACAGGAACTCTATCATGCGAGACTCCCTTACCCGCTATCAAGCAGATTATACTCCACTTGTGTAGTCAACTAGGGGTAGCGCCCACTCGTCAAGTTGATCCGGGACTCGCATCACTTGCCAGCATTAGGTACCGCGAGAGTGTTTCTCCTACAGATGGGCAATCGATCTTTGAAGCGCTGTGGCGTACCCTTATTGGCAATACTGCCTACTTCAAGCCTGCCCAACCCACATTCGCGCGTCACTTTGAGGGTCTACTCGACATAATCCGATTACGCGAGCGCGGTATTATATTTGATCGTACAAACATCAACGAGATTACTGTCTTGGAGCCGGATGTTGGGCAAAAATTCGAAAGCGACATATTCTCCCAATTGTTATGGCGGAGCGCAGTAGAAAAAGACACTCATCCTTTCTTCGCGGAGCTTGTGAACACGATTCAAGGGAGAGTATTTTTTACTACCTCTAAAGGGTACATGGGGTTTGGAGCTATGGGTAGTAAAATTGGAGACCAAGTCTGCGTTCTCAGAGGCGGATCCTGTCCCTTTATCCTTCGAAGTCATGACACATATTTTGAGATGATCGGCGATTCCTATCTGCACGGCATTATGCAGGGAAGGATCCTTGACAGACCTCGACCAAAAAGACAAAGGTTTAGGATATGCTAGTGTCTGGATGGGAAATCACGACAGCAAGTGGTCCAAGGTTTGCAAGATTTGAGCCAATGTTCATACTAACCAATCTTGGATATATTGCTTTTCATTCAGTGAGTACGTTATGGAAGTATGGAATCAGCAATATCAGTAGTCTCGTACATTTCTTCTTTTTGTCCTTCTTTCTCCACATCTGCTTTGAAATTATCATCAGCATCAGGAGACGGGATCACAGCCAATACTTTGAAACTCTATATTTCGACAATCAGATATTCTTAGTTACGACCAGAGTTAAAACATTTCATTAACGAGAAATGCATACTATCATATTTCCGTACCTCGGACCTTTCTTTTCGATCTATAGACCTGCTTCTCTGAAAATTCCGAGAGCCCAATAATGCACAAAGCAACAAAGAACAATTCCAATAATCCAGATACCAGACACAAATTCTAAACATCACCCTTCGAGGTCTGAGTTGTTGTTTTCACATAAGCCTCAACGTTTCTTAAGAGGAATAATAAAAAATCTCACACAAGCGTTAAGTAAACCATGTCTTATAATCCTATAAGTCCCCCCGACTTGGGCAGCTTTGAACGAGAGTCATTCTCTAACCGTTACGAGAGAAAATAATTAAACGAACCTGGTCTGCTCAACAAAATCCCATTGACATACCTTGCCTAAGAAACTATGTTTAGCACTTAGCTAGGTAGTGTTCTTTGCCAGCTAGGCGGAAATTTTTTCGGGACATACATGACAGGCTTTTATGTATTTGTCTCTTAAAACTTCCAGTCATCAGTTAGTAGGTCTATTGGTGTCTTGGTGTAGGGTAGAAAGGCTGGTGTGCCGAGCGATGGCAAGAACGAAAGCGGCCCCCTGATTCTCGCTCCCACCAACCGATTTACTCCGTACGGCAGGTCAAAGTAGATGTTTTTACTAAAAGCTCTAGCACTTTTTGCCTCTGACTCAAAACTACTCTCTTCTTGTAACTAAATCTAAGACGCATAATACAGAATATAATAAAATTACAGTGTTAGGTAAATTGGAGTAAGAAGTTAAAAATACTACATTAGATGATCTCTCTAATAGAAACAATGCTTTCGAGTCTATCGACTGGAGACTTTATCACTAGACCGGTAGATGGAGTGTCCAGATCCCGTTCTACACTAGTCATCGGCAGGACGTCAATCTCCGTTTTAGATAACACGCCTTGGATCTTGACAGCCTCGTTACTAGCGACAATGTCATCAACTAGTGCGACTTTTTCCTCTTCATCGTTTGCCATAATCTCCTCATCAGGTTTCTTTTCAACAATCTGAAGTCTAAGGTGTGCTGCTAGGAATTTGCTCCCTTCGCTTATCTTCGTTGAAAGTATGTGGATTGGCATAGGGGAGAGGATGTCGAAAATTGAGATTTCCGATTTGAGTTCTTTTAGAATCCAATTGCGGATCTCGACGGCAATGAGGGAATCAACTTGATAATGAGTTAGCAATACGTCAAGTTAAAGTGAAAGAACACGTACCTCCATACGCGTAGAGAGGCTGTTCAATATTGATATCCTCGGGTGAAACAAAAAGTACTTTTGCAAGACGAGCCACCAATGCTGTCTCAACCACACCAGAAGCTTCCGCCAACGACTGTGCTTCAATGAATGCTTCGCGAGTAGGGTCTTCTGAACCACCTGAGCCGGCAGAATGCCCATCTGCCTTTCGAAGCAACATAAACTTGCTGTCCCGCGCCCACGCTGCTGACTCCATAATAGATCTGAGAACCTCACCACCTATGATTCCAGTAGTCAACTGTGGAGGCACAGGACTCTCATTAGCCTCTCCAGCAATGGCTGCGAGAAAAATATGGTGAATTTCTTTCTCATTGATTTGCATCTTCATGATAGGATTACGCTGATCATAATTTTCAGCATTCTCTGCCAGATATCCGATGCCAGTGACAGCGCTGAGATCGATGGAAGTAGCATTCATTCCCTTATTTCGTCGGTGATGTGCAAGTGCATTCTGGAATGTGTTGCCGGCAGCATAGTTAGCCTGTCCTGGGTTTCCAATAATACCAGATGTTGAGGAAAGCATGACGAAGAAGTCCATGCTCTCAGGAAGGAGCTCGTGCATGTTCCAACTTCCTTGAATTTTCGGTGCGGAGGCTGAGATCCAATTCTCATGAGTCATACTCTCAAAGACTGAATCCTACTGAAGTTAGTACTACTCAATCCCAAAGGGTTGGTAACCCATGGAACAATTGCAAAGACATACCTTCAGATGCATAGCGCAATGTACAAAGCCCTTGACCTCAGGCATTTCAGCGGAAAGTTCGCGTAAGGTGATATCTAAATCTTCGCGTTTTGTGATATCGCAAGCGTATGCTTTAGCCTGGACATTCTTTCCACGAAGTTTCTCCAGATACTCTTTGCTGGCATCGCTTGAATCACCGGACCGCGAAATAAATGCAATGTTCTTCGCTCCATGCTCAACGAGGAGTTCTGCCAAGGTTTTCCCAATTCCACCCAAGCCACCGGCAAGTAAGTACGTGCCCTCAGAACTGACTTGAAGCGCCACTCGTTTCTTGGGCATGACGGGGACAACAGAATCCTTGTCGTAAGTGATAACTATTTTCCCGGCGAATTTGCCCGATTGCAAACCGCGGAAAGCCTCCTCTGCCTGTGTGATTTTCATGACAGTGAGAGGGTAGGGAGGCTTCACATCCCCATTGCCGAGAAGCGCAAACACTTTCCGCACTACTGCGGCGCAGGCATCCTGTCGATGTGGTTCAGATTCTTCAGTATACTGAGCAAGATTGAATGCGGAAAATGTGCAGCCTCGAATGAAAGGCGACATCTCGAGCATGTTATTCGACAAAATGTCGCGTTTCCCTACTTCTACAAAAATCCCGAAGTCTGCAACGCAAAGCCAGCTTTGTCTCAACATTTCGCCGTAAGTTGAGTTCAGTACAACATCCACTCCCCGTCCTTTAGTCTCTCTCATGACTCCCTTAGCGAATGTTGTATCCCGAGACGTAAATATATGGTTTTCTGGAATGCCATATCGCTCCATCAACAATTCCTTCTTGTATGTGGAGCCAACGGTAGCGTACACTGTCGCTCCAACATGAATAGCGAGTTGCACAGCTGCTTGGCCTAAACCACCTGCTGCCGAGTGAATCAAGATTGTGTCTCCTTTCTTCAATCTGCCATTGTCATACAACGCAAAGTATGCTGTTGTGTAGGCAATTACGCAACTAGCTGCAGCCTCTGGAGACATGCCTGCTGGAACCGGCTGGATTGTTTTCCATTGGACTCGAACATGCGTGGCAAAACAATCTTCCGTTGATCCTACAACAACCTGACCGACGTGGAATCTGTCGACGGGAACCTCGCTACCAATTGCTGTAATGCGTCCAGAAAACTCAGCCCCCAGAGCTGAGCTGGGGACATAGCCAAGTGCAATCATCACATCCACGAAATTCAAGCCCGTAGCCAGAATCTCGATATCGACACGGTCGGGAAGAAGTGGCTGCTCGTATTCTAGGCGATCTACAAATCTAAATGTATCCAGGAGACCAACTTCGCCAAGTTGCATTTTCATCGGTCGTTGGGGCTGGAAGAGTTTATCCATAACGGGTGATGGTGCTTTGTCTCTGTTGTCGAGCGATGTATTCATTTCTCTATCCTGGACAAGTCGGGGAATGTATAGAGTTCCATTGGACTCAGCGTACTCATGATCAACAGCTTCCTTGTCAGAATCACTGTTCATGGACACCTTGAACACGGAACAGAGGAGAGAACAAGCTATCTCAGACGTGATATCCAATTCAAGGGACAAGTCAATGTTGAAGAGTGACAAGTGCGGTAATTCTGACCGAAGCGTTCTGAATAGGCCAATCGCAGCTGACTGCTCGGGATTCGGCGTACCAGCCAGGAAACCACCACGCGTCACCCAGAGGACACCAGCACTATTGAGAAGGATGGTTTTGATGCCATCGTAGCTATCTTCTGACGGTGCTTGAAGGACTGCATCCTCTACTTCCATCAAAGACAAGAAGATTTTCTCCGATGGGTCGATATTCGACGCTAAAAAGGCCCGCTCAACCTTAAACCCATTTGAAATAAGCGATTTCTCGACATTGCTTGCCAAAGCGTTGACCAATTGTGTACCGCCCTCAGGCATGATAATCACAACTTCCTTCGCACTGCTTACAAGAGGTTTCCCTAGAGTAGAGACAAGCAAAGATATCTTACTACTTGGGCGAGTAGAAAGCTCTTCCCAAAACAACTCGGGGAGAGAAAATCCATTTTCGAAGAGAATGCGCGACAAGTTTTCGTTTTGAAGCTGTTTCTGTTTGATGGCAAACTCAGACTTCACTTGCCACCATTCCTTAGCGTCTGCGAGACCAAGAATAAGATCCGCTGTTAGTGTAGACCTTGGAATTATCCCAATGATCAATTTACCGCCTGGGTTGAGGATTTTCTTCGCATGCTGGAGTACTAAGCCAATGTCCAATGCGGGAAAGAGGATATCCGGAACCAAGACAACATCGTATTTGCCAGTGTTCACGGGGCTTTCAGTGGATTCCTGTTGAAAATCCAGAGTTGAAACCTCAAGGTTAGGGAACTTCTTAACCAAGGCTTTTGTTGTGTCCGTGGACGATGGGTCTGATTGCGCAAGAGTGTATTTTCCATAGCGAGAGCCAGCTCCATGCTGGCCCGATAATTGTTGAAGAACCGAGACTGCTGTACTGGAGGACCTGCTTGGGAATTCGAAGATCCTCAAGTCGGCATTTTTAAAGCCCGCCAAATCAAACCAAGCAGAAGCAATGGCATTGAAGCGATCCATAGGGAGTAGCTCTTCCGCAATGAGCAAAGGTTCCATCTCTGATATCTCGCGAATTGTTTGTGCCGCGTCTATGGAGCCGTCCAAAATGCCGGGAAGCCTTGATCCGAGAGCTTCCAATGCCGCCCCGATCTGTGGAAGATCTGATGAAGCAATAAGGATCTTGTCGTCCATCTCTGTGGAGGATGCGGTGTTAGAACAATCCGGTGTGAGAAGACTAAAAAGCCATTCCTTGCGTAGAAGAGATGACTCGTCCAAAGTTGTGGCGGAAGCTAAGGAATCAATAGCCCTCTTGATATAAATGGTGGCGGCTTGATCGAGGACTTCATAGTCTTTTTGACTTTCTTCGTTGTCGAGAACATTGGCAGGCAACACGTTTTCAAATCCTTGTTGATTGAGTAAAGCCATGTCCTCCTTCCATTCCATATGAGTACAAAGCATGGTCCCGGTTTGTCCAGCCTTCGAATCATCTGAGTTAACACTGGCATTGACTACGTCCTCGGCAATGATGAAGGGTTGCGAGAATTCTGAATCCGAGATCACAAGGTCTCCAATTACTTGACGAGCGTTGACCTGTCGTGACGTTTGATATCCTCTCAGCGCTGTCCCGGGAGCGTTTGGGAGAGCGGCAGACACGTAAAGAGACCCAATGGAGGCGATGACAGACATACCCACCTTGGCGTCACTGCAAGAAGAACGTGAGAACATAATCTGGAACACTCCGTCCATCACCGTAGGATGAACCAAGAGAGGGTATTCAAAGTTTTCAGGCATGACTGCTGCCGTGTCTGGGATCGTCAATGTCGCGCAGCCGACGTCTTGGCCACCTCTCATATCAGACAGCAGTCTAAACAACGGGCCAAATTGCATTCCAGCATCGTTGATATCACTGTAGAGCACTGTAGTATCGACCACGTGCACAGCTTGTTCAAGAACCTCGGCGTACTTTTCCTTGTACTTTTGTAGGGACTTCGCGAGTTCTAGGCCCTTCTCTACTTCGCCACTCTTTACCACGTATCTAACTCGAACCAAACCATTACTATGTTCGACCATGCTGTTATCCCGAGCAACCGACATAAGACTGAAACGTGTCCAAACATAAGTTCCAGTCTTGGTGCCGTGGTAAAAAGGTCGGAATTGGAGAGCAGTCTCGATGGCCTCGTCTGGCGTTTGAAACAATAATGCGCGAGTGAAATTGACGTCTCTGAAGTCAAATCCTTCCACGGTCTTGGTAGGATCAAGAACTTTCTGGCACCCTTCAATTACCATAGACAGCATGGCGGCCGCTGGAAGTATGATTTGTCCGCCAATAACGTGGTCCAATACCCAGGGGACTTCCGTTGGCTTCAAGATGTTCGACCACCGTGGTTCGCTGCCCATAGGGTGAAAGCCGTCCATTGGATAGCCCAGCATGTCGGTTCGAGGCCCTGGAGGAAAGCGACGGTACAAGTTCTGGCGAGATTCGTGCCAATGGGATCGTTCATGATTCCAAGGGTAAGCTGGAAGATCAGTCAGAACCTTATCTTGATTTGCAGTCTCCTCAATGGTGTTTACGAGAGCCAAGTTGACTTCATGGCCCTCTGCCCAGAGCTGACCTATGGACTCGAGCGCTGTTTGATAGGCATCGTTGCCTCTGTGGAGAACAGAGATGTACTTGACGGCCATCTTGTAGTCGTCTCTAACGTTCGTGAAGATTTGGCTGAGTGGTCCTTTGAGAACGGAATGAGGTCCAATTTCGACCAATGCCTGGACGTTGGGCTTCTTCTGACGCTTACTTCTGGCATCCGTCGGTGTAAGAAGAGCAGACACCGCCCCAGAAAACTGGACGGGCTGCAGCATATTTTGCACCCAATATGCAGCACCAAGATCAGCAGAAATTATTGCGTTGGTGGTCACAGATGAAAACATAGTGACCGAGTTCCCTTCGATACTTTGAGGAGCGATATCTTTGATAGAATCCAAATACTCGTCTGCAATGCTGTCCATGTGATGTGAATGATATGCAGTCTTAATTTTGAGTTTTCGGCACCAGACATCATTCTGTTTGAAAATCTCTTCGATTTCGTCGATAGCTGTCGCATCCCCAGAAATTGTCACACTCGTTGGACTGTTGATACAAGCAACTACTGCTTTGCCCGTCTTGAGCTTTTCGACATAGCGCTGAGCGGTGGATTCAGACAAGCTGACGGCCATCATCGTTCCTTGAAGCTCAGGGTGGGTAGTAGGTAGTCTTCCCGAAAACACGCCACGGAAATATGCGACTCTCCATGCGTCCTTCTTTGACAATGCGCCACTTGCATAGGCGGCAGCTTGAAATAATCAGCAAATGAAGAGGAAAGAATATTGATTTCAACTTACCGATCTCGCCAGAAGAGTGGCCTACGACGGCTTTAGGTGTGATACCCCAGTGACTGAGAAGGTCGACAATTCCAATCTGAAGAACAGTACACAAAGGTTGACTGATCTCTGCATTGTTGATATTAGTTGTCTCTTCTGTCCGATTAAGCTCTTCCAAAACGGACCAACTAGCACCGAGAGATTTGACATATTCATCGGCAGCATTAACACTTTCTCTGAATACTGCATGGTTTTGCAACTCGCGGCCCATGTTGAAATATTGGGAGCCTTGGCCAGTAAATACGTATGCACAAGCTGGGGCCCGAGCAGCACGCCGTAGCTTAGGGAGACCCTTTTTAATCTTTTCTGAGAGCTCTGACATGGAACTTGCGATGGCAAAGCGTCGCCAGTCAAAAACCGAACGGCGCTCGGCTAACGTGTATGCAAAATTTGCCATGTAGTCTGTTTCCTGAGCGGCCCTTTCGGTTTCATCTTCACGATCGGCTTGACACGAATTCCAGCGCCCGATATGATTCGAGTACACCTCAAGTAGCCTGTCGACACCGGATTGCTCAGGCGAGGATAGAACAAAGAGCTTTGGCGTCGAGGGCAATGACTGCAACTCGGATGTACCGGTACCAGAAGCTGGGTTGCCAACGGATATTCCTGAGTCAGAGGAATCGTTTTCTGAGACCCCATCGGGAAAGGTGGTGTGATTGCCTCCAAGTTTGTACTGCTCAAGGAAATGCAAAGCATCGTCCAGGATCACGTGAGCATTCGCACCACCGTAGCCAAAGGAGTTTACACTGGCTCTTCGTATGCCGGCAACGGGCCAGTCCACAAGCTCTGTGTTTAGCTTCAAGTGCCAGTTATCCAAGTCAAGATTAGGATTGAGCTTTTCAAGACCCACTACCTTTGGGATTTTGCCATTCTCTAGAGCTAGCACTGTCTTGATAATACCCGCAACACCAGCAGACGGTTCCAGGTGCCCCAAATTTGTTTTGACCGAACCAACATGCAGAGGATTCGCAGGATCCCGATTTTCGGTGAGAGATGAGCTGATTGCAGCTAATTCAATAGGATCACCGATAGATGTCCCAGTTCCGTGCGCCTCGAAGTATGCAGTCTGATCAAAATCCAATCCAGCAGCTGCGTAGGTCGACCTGATGAGCTCTGACTGCGCATCTCTACTAGGCATTGTAATTCCTGGAGTATGGCCATCCTGATTTAGACCAGATCCTCGAATGATGGCTCGGATGGTGTCGTTGTCTCTGAGAGCATCTGACAAAGGTTTCAATATCAAAACACCGGTACCCTCACCACGACCATAACCATTGGCTCTTTCGTCAAAAGTGTGACATTTACCGTCAGGACTGACGAAATGGAGAGCAGTCAAGCCTCGCGAAAGCTCTGGTTGAATTATCAAATTGGCACCTCCAACGACAGCCTATTGAAAGCTTGTTAGCAATCGCATATGCAACAGGTAGCTTGTCAACAAAAGTTCTACGTACAACTTTGGATTCGCGGCTACGCAGACTCTGTACAGCGAGATGCAACGCAACCAGACTTGACGAACATGCAGTATCAATAGTCATGCTCGGGCCACGAAGATCACTGGAGGGATGTTAGCTAGTTTTTAACGCAACGGACGTTAGCTAAATTCCTACAAAAACCACGAAAGTCGATTTGACAACATCGACATTCCAATTCCCGTAGCCTGGTAGATGGATGTATCATATATTTGTCCAGTTGAGGTTGTCTGATAATCATTCCCAAATGCACCGATGTAGCTGTACCAGAAAAATGACATATTAGCGACCAGCGAGCAGGTACTGCTTGGAATGAAGAAGTAAGTAGCTCACCAAGATGAAGCGGTGCCGGCGATTGCCTTCAGACTAATTCCCGCTATGGATCATTACATTAGTATCTGCCCATTGCCATAGCGATTCTGGGGGTCATTACCATTTTCGAAAGCCTCGTACGTTACCTCTAGAAGGATACGTTGCTGGGGATCAGTACCAGCAGCTTCAGCCGATGTCATTGAGAAGAACGAGGCGTCATACTTGGACACATCCTCTTTTACGAAAAATCCCGATGTGGCGGTAATCTAACAACATCTTATTAGAGTCATAAGGTAGGATAATAGGACAGTGACAACTAACAGCACCTGCGCGCTCGGGAGAAGGGTGGTAATAGTTGTCGACGTTAAATCTGTCCTTGGGAACCTTTCCCCACGCCGATTCGCCCCGGGACAAGAGATCCCAAAATCCTTGTGGTGTATCTGCATCTCCTGGAAAGCGGCAGCTCATGCCAATAATGGCAATGGGCTCAGATTTCATGTTATCCATGATAGTGATTCCTCCTCATTCACTCTGGCAAAATATCACATAGACAAACGAATCGAACTATAGAAATGACCGAATTAACAAAGGGAGCCTTGGTCAGTTTCGATTGGAAAGCCTGGGTCTCAAGTATAGGAATACACATGACGGAAGCCATAGTCATGAAAGCCCTGTGCCTCATTTCACGAGTAGAGTACACAGCTTACCGGTCTCCATGGAAGTTGAAAGCTGCCATCCTTGGGTACGCTGGAAAATCGTCCGAAAAGCTATCCTGGCTTCTTCGGCCAGATAAAACAACAAAGAAGGCCATATTAACTTCCCAATCGGCGCCGAGTAAGCTGGCGTTTATGGGAGGTTCGTGATATGACAACCTGTCCAAAAGGAGACGTCGTTGACTTGATCGGCGAATTGCTTTTACTCCCTTGTTGTGTACGTAGGTATTATCTCTCCGTGGAGAAGCAGGGTGCATTGTTGAGGTTATGGATCCGAGGGCCGGTTGGACGACGGTACGAGGAAGGAGTGTCGACTGCATGTAGTATACTCGTTCAGTATTATGTATCCCGTGCTCTCGGCTGCGGATGTTGTCGATTCTCTGATGGATCTATGATTCTCTGGATGTGGCTAAACCGCAAGGGGCGTTTTGATTATGTTGGACAGGGAGGTGCCCCGTGCGCAACGGTCATGCAGCGGCACGCGGTGGACAAAATAACGTGGAATCGGCAAAATCGCAAATTGTGGTAGAAGTCGATCACCAAAAAATCGTAAAAATAAAAGAAAAATAGCAGGATGTTCTGAGAGCACTCTAATAATCTGACAATTAGTTTAGAGGGTATGACTTTTGTCGTTGTCGAGATATTGCTGTCGCCGCAAAATCCGGATTCCACGTTATTTTGTCACCGCGTGAGCGGGTGTGCAGAATTACTTATCTGGGTATAACGCCCAAGAAGCGTGACATGGTCACGTGGTGGGGGGAAAGGGGCCCGGGCAAAACCCAGAATCGGGGATGCCGGCCATTATGCAATTCTATTATTCCAACCTCCTCCTCCGAAACCAGAGGAATCCGGGGAAATCCCTTCTCACCTCAACAACCTGACTTCCCTTTCTCGCGTGTTTCTTCGAGACGACACGACAGCCGTGTGATGTTTATTTCATGATTTTCGACCTTTCAAAATGACCAACTTGATGGCCACTTCATCAGGGCCTCGACGCTGCTTCGATGACCCCACGGCGAAAGCAGAGTATGAAGCAACGTGAACAAGTACATCACCTTTCTTTTACCATACAATCCATCGCTCCAAGCCTTTCGACGCTTCCAGGTACATCAGCACTTGTAATGGTGTCACCGACGCCAACTGCATGCTCTGTAAACAATACCAACTGCATAAACAATTCCAACCGCATAATCGATACGACCTTAGAGCTCTTTTCGTCTTTTACCCCTTCCCATACTCTGGAATAGGAAGCTAATTACTTACCTAGGTATGCGACTCGGATGATGAACCTACTCTCTTCTCATGATGTTCATCTCATGTCATCTCTTACCTGCCCAACTGTACTACGCCGCAGCTATTTGGATTGAATCCGCACCGTATAATCACCTACACAGCCTCGAATCTACTGCCACAAAGTCTATGGGCGGCAATGAAATGACTGGCATAGAGTACCTGTTGATAAAAAGATCTCTCGACCCCACTCTCACGCTAAAGTTACCTTGAGCATCATCGCCATTGCTCGAACAAAACAACATCACCAACACCGCCTCAGTACTTTTCCCTGCGGAACACCATATACACCATCTCCTGTCTTCGCGAGCGATGTTTCTGGATGAGTGAATATTCGTTCCGACAAATGAGTATACCAGCTCAGTACTTTCGAACCGCATGTGAAGAATGCCACACGCGAAAGGTACGTTGCAAACCAAGCCCAGACCAGGGCCGAGGCGGGACGACTCAATGCGAAGCGTGCCGGGTCAATGGCCGCAAGTGCCTTTTCTCTTTGAAATCCAAGACCGGGCGACCTCGCAACACAACAGTCACAACAGTGCCTAAATTTGACTCGATAAATTTACCGTCGCCTTTGCGTTCGCCGCCGCCATTATCCTCTTTTTCTGGATCATCAAACGCTACTTTAGACTCCCCCAGCCACGACTCCAGCGAATACTTTTATCTCGAGCTCCCTCCATGGCCCAGCTCGAACAACGATCCACGAAACCAGCTTCCTTTGAATTTCACTACCAATTCCGAACAAGGTAGCAGCAATGCTTTCTCCGAAGGGCAAGATGTCGCTGTAGTAGCATGCAGAGGTTGCTCGGACGGAACATGGCAATTACCCAAGGTTACTTCGCCAACACAGAATGTCTTATCAGCTACAAGCGCGTGTAATGATGACCTGGCTGCAAGTTCTTGGAACGACATCTGGGCTTCGGTGCTTCCGGGGGATCCACGTGCACAGTCAACTCTGTCATTTTACGACCAAAGTGCTGTAGGAACCATGTCGAGAACACCAGCGTCCACAAAGACTTCCCCTCCATGTGTGGACTGTGCTTCGAAAAGAATAAATGAACTACCGACTCTCGAGTACCCATTTCCATTTACCATGAGGAAGCCCGAAACCATTTCGGATATAGTTCGAACTATAGAGCTCTGTAACCAAGTACGCGAATATGAGCATGCTATACCGGGGAAAATAATCAGCCTTCTCTCCACCAATGATGCATCTGAGGTTCACGAATTGCTCGGTTCGCTTGAGAAACTCTGTAGCAAGATCTATAGTATTGTTCCCCAGCAATCTCAAGCTGGGCAAATCCGAGATCAGCCTACGTTCATAATGGTCTTCACTGCGGTAATGCAGGCAATTGAACAGACTGTGGACAGACTGGGAAGTATTGTCGAGTTTGAACAGGCGTGTCAAGCGGAAGACTCGCCCATGATGAGCAATTCAATGGTAACGGTTGTGCCTCAGCTCCAGATAGAGCGCCTACTGTCTATGACGAGACTTGATTTCTATCTTCTGCAGATGAAATCATTCATAACCCTCTTTGATACTTCTCTGGAGCTTCTGGCTGCAGCTGAATCAATATTGCGTCCGGCCGAGAGCTCCGCTCGACTACTGTCCTACCATCGATGCTTAGAATCAATACTAGAGCAATGGAAGAAAGAATGGCGCAAGTGAGTTGCCCGGTACTTCATAAAATAAGTAAAAGAGCAAGAGTCCGTGTAAGCAGTTTAGATCGAGCCAGACTTCAGCCATCAGGTATCAGCTAATATTTTTCAAGCAATCACAATACTTTTGATCTGTTGTTTTTTGTTCCTACTTGTGTACACTTTGCCTCTGGACTTTTATATGACTTTTATGTAAGCTTCACTATGGCAACTCAATAAAGGAGCGAGTACATAAAACTCTTCACGAGGGTTTATTCGCCTATCAATGAGAGTACCACCTGCTTTGGAAGATCTCAGATTGCTGAATAGCCCATCGGGCACTAGCGACGGCGGCCCTAACATCAAATTCCGTCCGCGGCGTATCATGGCCACCCGAATGTTCCACATAACGCATTCTCTTCTTCTCCCAGAGCTTTTTTGCAATGACCGTTTGTTTCAAGAAAGGATCATTTCTCCCCACGATGTGTACTGTTGGAATTTGGATTCTTTCGCTCATGATTGCGGGGTGATAGACTCTCGGAAAGGACTCTAGTCCACCGTTCGTATCTGTAGGGACGTGGCTGACTTCATTGTGGAATCTCGCTGAAGTTCTTACCGACGAAGCGACGGCATCTACAATCTCCCCTACGAGCGCCGCCCTCTTACTCCGGCTGATCAGTTCGATCTTGTGGGTTGGTGCTTTCACTTCCTTCTTCCCCTTCTGTCCCTCTTTGACATCGTTCCCTATAGTACCATCTATGTCCTGGGGCGAATCTCCCACCTGTAAGCCTGCTAGCACCGTCTCAATGTGCTCTTTCTCACCAATTTCGTAGTACTTCTGCGCAAATGTGGGATCGGAGCTGATGACAAGAAAGCAGGAAAAGAGAATCGCGAATCGGAATGGCGGGGCTTGCTTAGGATGTTCTATTTCGTGTTTGAGAAGTATCGAGGCCAGGAGTGAAGAGCCTTGACTGAACCCCATTACTCCATCAAAAGGACCTTCATCGCTGATCACTGCATGAATGTAACTCTCAGCCTCTTCAATCTCGGCTGAGGTCAGTTCTACATTCCATCGGAAATAAGGTCCCTGTGACAAATTTTCCAATCCTGCGTGCGCAATCGATGTCAATACCATGTTCCTGTACCATGTGGTCATGGAATTATGGAGGGTCGGGATTCCAAGACAGACCTAAAACGCAACTTGAATCTAGCAACCCATCCAAGAACGTGTATTCATGCCCGTCACCCAATAACCTTTGGAAGGCAGCCGTCTGGACGTTAAACATTGCACCGCTCATTCCATTCCCGTGGAGACAAAGGATCTTCATCACTTTCAGTGGGCTAAACTGATGTGTTTAGCAATTGGACAAGAAGAAAGAATCATGATTTTCACGGAACAACTCCAGGATTATATTGATCAATTGTGGCTTACATAGACAGCTCAGTCAATTTGCTCGCTCGGCACGTTTGTACCAGAGAATTGCCAGCATTAGCTGATGTGTATTACTTGCGTTGGGGTCTTAGAAGTGTTTGCCCCACCGTTACACAATTCAGATCGATATCAAGACACCATGTATCATACTTTCGGACCTTGCTGGTGGCTCTCTAGAGAATTCTATCACCTGGCAACAATTGAGGCACATGTACAGCGTAAGCTTAAATCACAATGTTCCGGTGCTTCGAAAGGTCTAGCCACAGGATCTCGGCGAGTTTTCAGGCCCCCTGCAGGAAGTCACGCTACATGTTGGATGGTAGGTAATACTATACGATACTCTTGTAGCGAGTAATAATGGCTAAGCGGAAGGGCAAGCAGATCAAGGCAGTTTGATTCGTCCTAGAGACCTGTAAATTTAAGCCTACCAACAAAGTACCCCGCAGCCAAGAGCTGATTTGGGGTGCACATACGGATAATATCCAGACGCTCCTACGGTATATTAATCTACGTTGATTGAATCAGGTCGACTACTACTCTGTACCATGTCGCAAATCACGCGGCCGGCGAGTTTACACTCAAATTGGAGCTTATCCCGGAGACAGTCCTTAATATGGACGCACACTTCGTAGGGCTGGCATGATTTGGCTGCGAGAACGCTGTGCCTCATTACAAGACGCGCACGCCAAACTACGCAGCCTAGGCCTTGTTGCTTGTTGAAATCGTCCTCTAGGCGCTTTTGCCTCCGCACACAAACGGAGCTGAAGGTTATTGTTTTCTGTTCATTTTGTCTCGGCACATTGCTTTTATTTCGTGGTGCTGAGATTATTGATCTTTAACTAGACAAAGCCTAGCAGGATGACACATCAAGAGGTTATTTCGTCTTTGCCGGCACCTGATGACCAGGACGTCGTGAGTTGTCATGTGCTTCTTTGACGCAAGATCGGGTTTGAATTGATGATGGGATATAGGTTGAACGACACAGAAGTAGTCCCGCACTGAGCATCCAGAAAGTGTCGATTCTCGAGCATCATGATCAGATGGAAAGTTCAGATACCGAGGGAATCCAGGAACTGGTACCTGATCATGGTTCAAATCAGCCCTTGCCAACATGGAGGTTGTTCACGATAATCGGATGGTAGGTAAATCGATTGTTGTTCAAGAAATTTAATGCTAAATTTTTGGTGATGTGCAGTTTATGTGTGGGGCTGTTCCTCACTTTGATGGATATGTCCATCATCTCAACCGCTCTTTACACCATATCACTTGAGTTCCAGAACTACGACCATACAATCTGGGCAGCACTGTCGTATATATTGGCAGACATTGGTTTGTTGAACATAGACCATCTTTTGTACACAAATGCTGATATATCCAGGCTGCGGAGTATGCTTCACCAGGTTAGCGGATGTCTATGGTCGCAAGAATATGGTGCTATCAGCGTTCTTCTTCTTCACCTGCTTTTCTCTTGGATGTGGATTTGCGCAATCAGTCGAGCAACTCATCATCTTTAGAACGTTACAGGGCATTGGAGGTGCTGGACTGTACTCTCTCACTATGGTCATCTGTCCAGAAATATCTCCTCCAAGATTACTGCACTATGTGGTCGGTTCACTAGGGGCTACAGTCGCTGTCGCGGGGGTTTGTGGGCCAGTACTTGGTGGAGTGATCACTGGTGGCACCACATGGAGATGGATTTTCTGGTTGAAGTACGCTGCAGCATCTCTGTCCAATAAACCTATTCTAACCTGCGAATAGTGTTCCAATTGGTGTGATCACTATGATTGTTTTGTTTTTGCCTGGCCAACGAGCGCAAACATCACACAAACAATGGATAGTTCTACTATCAGGCAGCTTGACTACCTTGGAGCTCTTCTCATGGCTGTCGGAAGCGTATGCTTCATCTATACCCTGCACGAAGTCGGATATAGAAAGTTCACTTGGTCAGGAGCTCCGAATGTAGCTCTATTGACTATCTCAAGTGCTGCTTGGATAATTTTATTCATGTGGGAGTGGTACATCAGTCGAACTTCGGGCAAGTTAACGTGGATTTTACCTCAGATTCCATGGAGAATATTGACACACAGACCCATGGTGATGGCCATTATGTAAGTTTCTCCTTTTCTCCATTAAGACTCTTGCTTTTCGACAAACCTACTTACAAGCGTGCTAATTTTCATAGAACTACTTTAATGGCAGGCTTCGTTCAATTTGCCGTCATATTCAGCATTCCTCTCCGTGCTCAGCTTGTAGATCTCAAAAGTGCCACTCAGGCTGGTATTCGACTCCTACCTCTCGTCTCAGCTACCGCAGTTGGGTCCCTCATCGGCGGCGGATCTTCAGCCAAGCAAAATTTGACATTCTTCACCATGACCTTTGCGATGGCTCTTGTTGCTATAGGTTCAGGACTGCTTTCAACCTTGCCTGAGGGCGGAGCCGAAACGAAGGCTATCTATGGCTATCAAGTGACTCTGGGAATTGGTCTAGGCATGTCGATTTCAACGGCTACGTTCATGACTTCGATGGAGGTTGAGTTCGTTGATCACGGTCAGTTGCTGACTCCAAACTTCTAACCATTCTCTCTGCAAGCATCCATTTCTGACTTTTGCTAGCTGTTGCACAGGGCTTGGTAGCTCAAGCCCGCATTCTTGGCGGTGCATTCGGTCTCGTTGCTTCGACTATCATAATGAATAACCACATTGAGACATTTCTCAAAGGTCATGTCACTGACGAAGTCCTCCGAAAGATCCTGATATCTCCCTTCTCTATTCTCGACTATGGCGTTGAGGCCGCTTTATTATTTCGAAGCAGTTACATACACGCATTCTCGCAGGACATGCGGGTCTCTATGTATATTGCCATTGTAGGATTTGTCAGTAGTCTTTGTATCTATCAGAAAAACCCGCCGACCGTAGCAGAGAGGAGCGAGTTGTTAGCAAAGGCAGTGCAAGAGTACAAGGATGAGGTTAGAACGCGAGGGCGAGCGACGAGCGAGAATGCTTGAATTCAAAGTGCGTGAGCGAAATAGTTAATATTAATAGGATCTTAAAAAGGCCGTATAAACAGGATACTTAGAATTGTTTCTTTCCTCAGCCTCTTTTGCAGTAATCGAATATGTCATGTTACTAATCTAGTATACTCGAAGCTGTAGATCTATATATCCCTTAACGCCTAGATACAATTCTGAACGAAAACTCAGTTACCTATCTCGGTCTACTCAAAACGATAACGTTTGAGTTGGATGTATTGTTGTCAAAGCGTTGGGGGGAACCGGGGCATCGGTGGAATACTGCGGAGGGCATTATACGAGGTACAAAAAGGTATCGTACATCAAGTAATACTACGAGCCAAACCGCAATAACTACCTATTTTGTACGAATGCATGTAACTAAGAGAAAATACACACTGAGCGGGCCAGACTACCCAGGATCTTAGCCGCCCGTACTGGAGAAAGTCTCCGTGTTAGGCAGTGGGGGACAATAAATAACTCGCCGTAGATGCTGACATGTACGAGGTAAAGGATCCGTGATACAGACGCACTCCAAATATACTGATGTATGGTATCGCCAAGTATCCTCGGCGGGACATTCAATTGCGCCTTCCAAGTAACTGATTCCGTTTCTCGCAAGCAAAGGGAGCCTGCATCAGGCTTCATCAAGCTTGACGTAAAGGGAAGGGAACGATGATGAATCGAACAGCCTTAGTGTTTGATGTCTATATAGTACTGATAATAACCTGTGATGAACTATCCCTTATCTCAATCTCATCGCTTCAAGACAATATTCACTCTGGAATACCTTACCTCGTCTTCAAACACTTCATTTGTCAACATCATGTTCATGCTCAAGAGTCTCGTCATTGCTTTGGCGAGCATTGGCTCTGTAGCCCTCGCAAAGCCCAGTACTCGCCTCATCCAGAAACGTGACGTTTCCAGCATTGTTGCCAATCTGGCAGAGCTGACAACCGCCGTCAGCTGGAATGTGGGTAACATAAGTGCCTACCAGGGAGGGTTGGATGGTGCCATTTTGTTTCCCCTCATCACCGCTAGCAACCTCGTCGATACTGTCCTCCACACGACCACCATCGACATCGTGGCCCACGCCTCTTTTAGCGAGGACGACAGCCAGACCCTGATATCCACTCTGACTCCTCTCGTGAGCCTCTTGAAGACTACTCTTGAAACTCTAAACGCGAAAGTAAGCATAATAATCTCGTTCGGCAGAAACTGTTAAACTTATGTCTCATGACTAACTGTTTCACTCCTTCTTCTAGCAATCACTGTTCAGAGCTGCTAATATCCATGGCATTGTTCTCGACTCCATCAAGAAGCACAGTGCGGCTGAGGACTTGGTCTACGTGAAGCTTATTGAGAAGGCGACGTTGGGCACCCAAAATACTTTCCAGAGCCTCCGCGTGGAGCTCGAAACGATATATAACGTAGTCGTGGCCGCTTACTCTGCCGTCTGATTATGCAGAAGAAGTCTCTAAAAGAAGCTAGGGAGATTTGTTGAATAGCTGCCTAACGCTATTTCTCTTGAGAATCTTGTATGTTCATTAGAGCTGGAACGATTGGCCTCTTGAGCTGGTGTGGTGGTTTTATGAAGGGGCAGAGAGGTGGGACAATAACAAAAGGGGGTTTGAGTCGAGGTGGAAAATCTCTAGTTCTAGCTATTCTTATCAGAACATTCTCTAAATCAAGTTCTGTATTGCGAAATTCATGGAAGCTTTGGAAATGATAATGATAATGATAATGATATACAATCTCGCAAGCTGTGAGTCCAGGCGCTGAACACTCGATCAAAGTAATTACATCCACGACGACTTTACGTCATGCCCAAAATGTCTTGAAATACTGCCGAGCTGTCCTGGCTACAGTTCACAATGAAGTCTCCTGATCAGCTAGGATCTTAGACCCAATTCGCGTCATATCTTCACACAGCAATGCCTCTTTCTCGATGCCATTAACAGCTTGATCGATCAAAGTGGCTGAAATATGGACGAGCTCCACACTGGGAACACCCAACACAGTCATGAGGATCCAAGGACCAATTCCGCCACTCAAAGTTGTCTGACCTGGTTTTCTTATCAAACCGGGCTTCGCTATACATGGTAACATGTCGCCGTTTGATTTTTCTGCGTAAGCTAGGACGCGGTTTTCTACCTCTCCCTGCAGTTGCGGAATAGTCAATATCGTACCATGAAATGAGTATTCCTGAGATTAAGACAAGAAGAAGAAACGAGGACATACCCGTAAGAGAGTATAATCGCGCATAAAGAGAGGCTTTTTCGTTTGGTCTCGTGTGACATTTGAGCCACTAATATACAGAAACCGGAAGGGTTTAGCTCCCAAAGGACAGATAGTTTCAAGTCCGTTCACAACATAATCGAGGCAAGTCTTGCGAACATGCTCGAATGGAAAGTCCTTAACTTTTCCTATACCAACGGCGATCGTCCTAAAGAGATCAGCTTACTTCGACAAGTTGAACCCTATTTTCATGCTCGAAAAGTGCGACATACCAAATACACGCATTCGCACCAGCAAGTTCTTTTTTCACATCCTCAGAGTAATTGTTAAAATCTTTGCAAATGACAGACTTGAGCTTCGAGGCATTCGCGCCTGCATTTGCCGGGACAGCCGTTTCACGACGCGCAAGACCAATGATGGAAGTGATTGCTGGGTTGGAGATGGCTTGGCGGATGATTTCTGTGGCTACATAGCCAGTTGAGCCAGCGATTATGAGTTTCATGTTGGGTAGCGATGAGTAATGTACGGGTTGCAATGCAGGTAGCGTTTTGTCCACGATAGCAGCAATAGCTCTTGTGAGAAGCAGATGAATATTAACGCTACCGTTTGATTGTTGTTGGTTGGGCGACGGGATGGGCTTGTACTGGAATTGCTTACGAGGTCCTCACGCTGATAAGCCAAATTATCCGAGGGTTTTCAGGGGGTCCGCGTGGCCTGGGCCTGGATTGTCATTGTACGTACAATACGTCTCACTTACAGACGACGGTACCGAATCCTGATCAAAAGAACTACAACGACATGATAATATATCCTCCAGTATCCATTAGCCGATGCAATTGTTACCACCATAAGACTTAACACGATGCAGAGTTTGAAACTGAGTATCTACAAAGTCGTAAAGATAGATATGAACCCTGACAATCAGACAGTGCTGTGCGGAAATTCCCGTCACATGTTGTAAGAGAGGTGACTTCGACCTTCTCTATCCGAAGCTTAAGCAAGACAGTTCAAAACTCAATATTCCTCCTTGTTTGAGACCACTTGGTTATTAATCACGTGTTTCCTTCTTGATATACTGTTGGAAGAAGGCAGCACGCTGTACTGCCCAATCGAGAACCAAGTTATCCAACCCAGTTTCCTCAAAACGCCAGGCTCATATGCAAATCCCTCCAATGCCGTTTCCAATATTCCTAGCCCACAACCCGCCGCCATGCACTACCATTCCAAATCCCCCATGTCGACTATCCTATCTTCCAGCTCTTTTATAACAGGCTCGATAGTCATCTTCTCTGTCTTCAATCTTGCCTTCTGTCTCGTCCTCGAATAGAACACAGGGCAATCCTTACTGTCACATCTGACTTCATCCAACGGCGAAATTCCGGAACAACTCTGGCATATTCTGATCATATCCATGTACTTCTTTTCTTCGCTACTAAGTTTTGTCCTCAAAGACAGGACGGACCTTGGCTTGTCAGCCAAACATTTCAGGCAGATGGGGCCTTCGAACTCGAGTTTCTCCTTGCAAACAAGACAGGCTGACGATTTCATATAAGACTCCAAAGTCTTTTTGCTCATTGCTAGCTCTTTCGACTGGCCCTGCATTTGAAGATTGACGTCCACGCGACGAACCCGCTGATACTTGGGCATTTCATCATACCAATTCCTAACATTCGCACCAACGACATTGAAAATACGTTCCAGAGGAGGGATGAGATTCTTCGAGATGTAATATTCTGAATCAAGCTCGCTGTGATCATTCTCTAAAAGCTCCTCAGGCGCTACACAACGATCGATAAGCCGAGCACCGGGAGCGCCAGTGATCACGACGTAAGGGACTCGTTCGCCATATTGAGGTTCAGCTCGAGCGTCTTCTAGCATTCGTTTGGTGCTGATAAGGGCGCCAGGTGGTGGCGGTCCTTTATCGCTGTAGGTTCCCAACTTGACCTCTCTAGCAAAGCAAAAGTCTTGAATTGATACTGAACCTTTCATGATTTTTTCGCACTGTTTTTGGAAGTAGTTTTTTACTTCACTGAGATCAGCTGTTCGAAACAAAATCTTCAGAGCCTTTTCTTCTATCTTTTGTTCCGCTGGTGTCCCGTCTCTGCGGACAGTCTCGATCCCTTTGGCATCGAAATCTGGCTCCTTCTGGTCTCGATACTCGTACTTGAAGCCGACATAGCGCTTCTTTGCTAGAAGCACGCAAGGCAAGTAGACCTTTTCGAACTTAAGCTTGACCGGTCGAGGATTCATTTTCGTAATCGTCTTGGCAATTTCCTCGCCAATATCGAATGCTTGATCTTTGGTACGTCCTTTAAGGTAGACAAACAAGCTGTCCGTATCGCCATACACAACTTCAGCTCCCCAGCGCTTGACGGAGTGGATCAATGCGATTGCCCTCTCTAGTGTCTCGCGGCCAGTCTGCACAATGCTATCGGCAATCTCAGAGCATGGCATTCGGCCAGAGAAAGACGCTGATGTGTAACCATAGGTAACATTAGCGATGAGTTTGAGCGCAAGTTGCCTGTTGTTTAGAAGCCTTTGAAGTGCCTTGTCGTCCTTATCAATTTTCATACCACTCTTAACCATGACTCGAGTCTCAAGAATCTCGCCCAGCATTTTAGCCAGTAGAGACTTGCGGATCTCAGGCTTGACATACATCATTCCGTTGGGTGAAATGTTCACATGATCTTTGAGTAGCTCAAGTAGCCTCTGCTGTCTCTTGTATTCCGTAAAACCCATCTTGTTTGTTCCTCGCCAGTTGATCACTCGACCCAAAAAGGTAGAGTAGCAGTAGTTATATGCAATCATAACACTAGGGTACAGACTCTGAAAATCGAGTACCAGTAAAGGGCTGTTGTAAAAAGCACTTTGTGGTTCCATCACAAGAGGCAAGCACTCAAGAGCATTCTGACCTCCTACTTGCTTCCGACTAGGCGATACTAACATGAAATTCTCGGGTTTCGCGATTCGAAACATCAGCGACTCTACTTTGTATTGAGATCCACGAGAAAAGACGGAGAAGAAGTCCACTCCGAGCAAGCGCGCTTGCTCGCTAGTTCTGGCTATCAATTCATTCTGCTCTAAGAGACCTAAATCAAGTTGAACTCGAGAAGTGTAATGACTGATGAGCTTTGCAAAATCTCGGGGCTTGTCGTTGGTATACCAGTTTGTGAGATCAGCCCAAGTGAAATGAGGTATTCGCCGGTGTAGCAGATGAAAAGCGACGTTTTCCATCGTATATTGGAGCAAATTAAGTTCCGCTCGCATCGCTCGCCAAATGTTAATCATATGCCTGCCTGTGACTCGAATCGTGGAAGTATTGTTGAATCCCCATTTATCATTGTCCTTGCCAAATCGTCCATGAGATTGCGATTTCATTCGCGAAAACTCATCGCAGAGGTTGTAGTCATACTTCAGACGAGCTCTCTCAATCAAATAGCCCCACGAGCCGCCGTGGACCTCGTAGCCAGTTAAGATATCGGGATCATAGTTTCGCACAATCTCGACCATCCTGATCATTAGATCCAGCTCAGAGTCCTCAGAAACAACATCAAGGCCGCTCTGTTTTGCAATACGTGCCGCAGCCACCCCATCCTCGGAAAGTACAACAATCCCGAGATGGGATCCTGCAGTTTCACAATTGTCCTCAAGCTCCGAGTCGTCCGCCTGCAAACACCAAAATACACATTGAACTTCGTCTTCTTCCGGATTTGGTACGAAGTTTCCCCTAGTGTTGACATGCACTTCAAGACTCATTGTACTCATATAATTTGCCTCGTGTATTATGTTCGCCGTCTTTTTGGGCTGCGTGTATTTGAAGCCATGCTTGTTCTTTTGAGTAGGCCCATCAATCTGGGAAAGCTTTCCCTTCTGACGGAGGTTAGAGGACTCGCTTGAAGAGTTCCTTACTTTTAACTCGTCGCCTAATTTGTTCGCAATTTGTTCCTTTGCCCACGCCTCGACTTCTGCAAATGTGGGCGGCGATTCTGCGATAGACCAGCTTCGCAATCCACATTTCCGTCGACGAAATTGGTATTCTTTCTCCTCCTTGACTTTGTCAGGAACAATTCCAGACTTCATCCCAAAAGTTGCATCAGAAGACGCCGTTGGATCAAAATCAGGAAGGAACGGGACCGTCAAACTTTCGAGCTTGAACTCTCTGCCAGCCCACTCGCGAGTTCGCTCAGGGGCATCTTCTTCGTTGCTGTAATACGCGTCCTGATAGATCATAGAAGGTAGACCAAAATGATGCATGGTAGACACTACCAAATCTCGGGCGGGTGGAAGTTCAGGGACACAGAAAATTCTCTTAGACCCAGATCCCATAAAGCAAGCACGAAGCTGACGCGAACTTACAAGCTGCGTCGAGTCATCTGTGAGACCTGTAGGTAGAGTCGATGCCGACTGTTTAGATTGACTGTCAGTAGTCTGTGGCGATGACAGTAGAGGATCAAAAGATACGTGCTTCTGTTGTCTTCTAGTTAAGCTAGGGGAGGACAGACCCTTTTGGCTCAGTCTCTGCGTCATATTTGGATCGTGAGGAGCTTTGACGACTGGATAAGTAAGCGCTAAAACGTGAGCCTGCTGGCTCGATTTTGGCGTTTCTTGAGACAAGCGAAAGCTGAGTGATGCCCCTTTTGTAGCCACACCATTGACAGTAGGTAGCTGACGTTTCGAAATTCTGTTCTTCGAGCGTCCACCTTTCAATTTCTGAAGCAATACGGAAATATCCTCCCCATCTTCTTCGTCATTGCTTGGGGCATCAAGTCGTTCTATTTCTTGAATGCCATGAGATGGCTCATCAGATATATGTGGCGATAGTTTCACGCGCTTCGATGCAGACTGGTCATGAAAAGGGGGCGAAGTCCTTTTTGAGCCTTTGAGGTTCGATGTGTTGTTGGAGGAAGACTGCAATTCGTCCAATACTCCAACATCAGCAGACTCTCCAACTCCTTCAAAGCTGTCGGGATCTTGGTGATCCACAAATTGCTCAGCAAAATCTTCACCACCGGGTCTTGATTCGTCGTCTATTTCATGATCGGGTCTTTGCATTTCATCAGATTCAAGGTGCTTTTCCTCCACCTGATCACCCTTCTTTCTTTGGGATAATTCAATCTCCCTCATTATGTCTTCATCAGAGTCATAAGGAAAATCCTCATCATCATTTGCGTTGAAAGCAAGAATTCGTCGCTCGTCAACTTCCCTTTCATCATTGTCGTCAATATCATAATTTACATTCATTGTATCGCCGCTTTGAGTAAGTCCAAGTACAGGCCGTAGATTCTCTGGATACAAGTCTTCTACGGATTCGAGGCTGGTTTTGACCGAGGAGCTGAAAGGCGTAGGTTTGACGAATGTATTGAAAGATATCTTCAACCCGTCGCTCTTATCTTTCTCGTCTTTGATCAAATTTGAGATCATCTCTCGATATTCCTCTTCATGAATCCAGCCTCCGGCTTGAGAGTATCGGGGGTCGGCAGACATTGAGACCATGACGTCCGCTGGAAATGGGCCGCTTCCTGGCGCAGGATTCGACATCTTAGATTTTCTTCGCCGGGTTTCGTCTCTCCAAAGCCCGGCCATGCTGTGTACTAGCTTTTCATCTGGGGCCAGTGGGTTCAGTCTTTCTATGAAGTCTTCATGAAGATGTCGTGGTTTAACATCGTGCCGATTTACAATATCCTGACAGCATATGTCTACCTCTATTGAGCAATGGCTGACCCTGGGAAGCTCAAAATCTGGCGTCACGGCGTCAGTTGGCACTGAGCGGTCATGCCAAAGATTGGCCGGGTTTGTCAATTCGTCATAGTCGGGCAATGGGCTTCGAAAATTTACCTTGCTACAATCGATATATCCGCATCCATACAGGTTATAGTCGGCCATCCATTGGAGGAGATACTGAAGATGGGCCTCGTACGGTTGAAAGATCCTCTTCATCACAACACCTTGGCGTAGAAGATCTGCGAGCCTCGTCATGTGCATTGGGTTCAGCATGTATATTTTCAGGTAATATCTGTATCCGACATGAAAGCCATAGAAAGGGATCCCTTTAACCAGAGTGATCCGCGCAACATATTTGGCTTTGCCGTCACATACATTTCGTCTGTAGCTAACGGCGAGCGCGTAATCGATCGATAGGTGAAGACGATGAATATAAGCTCCAACTGGGATAATGTTAGCCATGAAAACGCGCTGGAATACTGCTTCATACCATCATCTGGAACCAGATTACCCGTATATTCGATGTACAGGTATGGGAATGCACCATGAATATGAGCGCATACTTTCTGACCAGTTTCCGTTGCCCCAAAGACTCTTATCACCGGGATTTTGGGCTCCTTTTGTACTTGCGACGGCTTGATATTGCTACGTAGCAGAGGGTCGAATTTCGATGGCGTTGCTTGATAAAAGTCGATACAGTTTAATCGTAACCGGAAAAGGTCCATAGCTCATGTATGCACATCATGAAAGAAAGCGAAACAAGCAATGATTGCCAGTTTCAATAGGCATTTCCGTGAAGTGAGTATAAGTCGTTTTGGTTGCTGAGAATTATCGTTGACACCAGAAGGTCGCGGTGTCACGAGTTCAGGACGCGCCAATCTTCCCCGGATTTTCAGGGATCATTTTGCGCCTCCAGCTTGACCCTCACCACAAGAACATACAAGTTCTACCACCACAATTTCGAAGGATACTCAAGATGCCTCCAGCAGGGACTCAACCACGCAAGCCGCCTGCACCTTCGGCAGCTAATAAAGAGGCCAACGAATACATCCCGTCCTTTATTTCGAAGAAACCCTTCTATATTGGCGACGACGACGACCAAAATGATTACCTTGAGCATCAACGTCTTCAAAAGGCGCAATCCGATCAGTCAAAATGGTATGATCGCGGTAAGAAAGTTGGGCCAGCAGCTACAAAATTCCGCAAAGGCGCATGTGAAAACTGCGGCGCCATGACACACAAAACGAAAGAATGTCTAAGTCGACCGAGAGCTAAAGGCGCAAAATGGACGGGCAAGGATATTCAAGCGGATGAGGTAGTACAGGATGTCAGTTTGGGATGGGATGCGAAGAGGGACCGCTGGAATGGATATGATAGCAAAGAGTACCGGAATGTTATTGACGAGTATGCGCAACTGGAGGAGCTGAAGAAAAAAGTTGTGGATACGGCAGCAAAGGAGGACGAAGACGACGAGGGAGAGGATGGAGCGAAGTATGCCGAGGAGTCGGATATGGGAAGACATCAGAAGACCTCAACAAAGCAGTTACGGATACGAGAGGATACTGCTAAGTACCTGCTAAATCTGGATCTGGACTCTGCCAAATATGACCCCAAGACACGGTCTATGGTGGATAGTGGAGCAACAGCAGATACCGCAGCGGCTCTGGTTGCAGAAGAAGGGTTCATGAGAGCCTCGGGAGATGCTGCTGAGTTCGAAAAAGCGCAAAAATATGCTTGGGAATCTCAGGAGAAGGGAGGAGACACCAAGCAGCATTTGCAAGCTAACCCCACCGCAGGAGAGTATTATCGAAAGAAGGAGAAAGCTGAAGCAGAGGCGAAGAAGTTGGCGCATCAGAAGATGTTACTGGAAAAATATGGTGGTGAGGTTAATCCACTGGCTGCCAAACTTCGAGAGACTGCTGTATCTGAATCTGAGAGATACGTCGAATATGACGAATCAGGGTCTATCAAAGGTGCTCCCAGGATTATTGCTAAATCCAAATACGCTGAAGACGTGATGATCAACAATCACACATCAGTATGGGGAAGTTGGTGGTCAAATTTCGAATGGGGTTACGCTTGCTGTCATTCGATGGTCAAGAACAGTTATTGTACTGGAGAAGAGGGCAAAGCAGCTTTTGAGGAAGCCGATCGTCGTCGCACGGGTGGTGTTCTAGAAATTGAGGAAGCTGAAGCTCCCCAGGAAATTGAATGGGCTTCCAAGAAAGATCCGATAAATACACCACCACAAGCGGATGTAGGCACAGAACCCACGAAGAAGCGAACCATAGAAGAAATGACAGGGGGTGTGACGGAAGAAGATATGGATGAATATAGGAGGAAGAGGACCGCTGCCAACGATCCCATGGCTGCATTTTTGGGGAAAGATGAATTGCTACAACAGTAGCGTTGCCTCACATTTAATGACATGGGAAGATACAGTCGAGCAGGCAACGATATACTTCGGAATGGTTTGCATCAATACGATATAGGAATCTGATTTAGCGGGAGTTATGGTCATCAAGCATTAGAAAGGAGTTACTGTATATCAAAACTTTTAGGAGCTGAAATTGTCAGATTGCTTTTTCAATGTGAATTTGCAATGCATATCTGTAACGCCTCGATGTGACTAAATTACACTCGATGTCCAGTCAGAACTCCTAAATGCACGCCATAGCCATACCATGTATCAATGCATTTTATTTTTTGATTCTTTACTCGTCATCCTCTTCCTCTCCATCATCACCATCCTTCTTCTCCGCAGCCTTGGCCTTCTTGCGGCGAACACGACCTGGACGACCACCTCCGAATGGCGAGCTAAGAGCAAAATCGATGTGCTTCTGGGAATCGAGACGAACGACGAAAGATGGGACGTTAACGATTTGCTTTCCGACACGGATATGTCTCTGGCGGATAAGAACACGGGCGTGGTGGATGGATTTGGCGAGACCGAGCTTGTAGACACAAGTCTGTAGACGACGCTCCAAGAAATCCTCAATCTTCAAGGCCAAGACGTAATCGAGCTTCATACGGGACTCGTCGAGAACACCGACACGTACGAGACGACGAATGAGGGCATTTCCTTCGAAAAGTCGCTTTGGGTCCTTCTCGTCAAGGGTGAGCAATTGACTAGCGGGCGTTAGTGACTTCCATTCCCTCGCATTGCGATCATTGTATCCATACCGGGCAGCACGACGAATCTTGGAGAGAGTAAGCTGGACTCGCCAGACTTCACGCTTGTTGCGGAGTCCGTACTCGCCAACGAGCTTCAATTCCGCATCCCTAGGGATACAATCAGTGACATGAACAGAGACAAGCTCTAGAACAGTGGTCCACTTACAAACGAGCACTCTCGAATGCTGTTATAAGTTAGCATAAGATCTGTTCTTGGATGGATTTCGCAGCCAGGCGCATCGCAAAGATGTCGGTATTCTGGACTATGGTGTGAGACGCCGAGTTGGTTTTGAGTTCACTTACGTCTTCTTGGGACCTTGTAGGTCTTGGAGTAGGATCTTGGGGCCATGGTTGCTGGAGATCCGGGTTGTCGATGTCAGGTTGTCGTTCAAAAATATTGAGGATTTTCACATAATATTCGAGCTGATTGATGGTGCGGACCGCTAGCCGAAATCAGCTTAGCGTCATGTGAGGAATCCTAATCACGTGCTAGTCCCCATGCTTTTCACGCAAGACAATCAAAATCGTCAATTTTCACAGATAAATGCTTTACAAATGTGATACTTGTGGAAACATCTAAACAAGAGCCATTTTTCTTTTCAACCCATGTGTTGTTGTAGCGGACAATTATCTCAACCCGGGGAGCGAGACATACTACCTACTCAACATGGTTATTAGAGTACTGAGTTCTCCAACCATTTGATTTTACAAATTTTCTTGTCCATAACCTGTTACAATCACTTTCTACCCAGTATTCAGGTTCCTACTACGAGAGCATGCTCAAGTTCTGATGTAGAGTATATTTCCTGCTTTTAACATCCACCCCATGGGTCTTTCCATCTCACACTTTTGATGTCAGTAATGAATTCTAGAACCACGCGCTTTCAGGAGCAATTACTGAAAAGCAAGATATTTTTTGTTGCTCTTAGATCACGTAAAGTACAATGTTAATGGTGTTGCCACTAGGTTATCAGCGAAACATAGCGAAAATACTGCTCTATGTGTCTCCAGAACAGGATTGAAATTGCTATCACAGCCTTTGAGTGACTCGGTTCTTTAACTTAGAAGTTCTCTCTGCGAGACTTAAGTTCTGGCCGACAATTCCGATGCTCATTGTATACTATGGAAGTTAACTTGTACTGATAAAAACCCTTCTTGCGTTACGTATCAACGTCGCTGCCCTGTCTAGCGATTAGCTCACTTGACCTCATGAGTTTCTCTCTCTCACACAACGGATGAAAGTTCGTGGCTGAATCTCCTGTATATTTTGTTAACTCGAGGAGAAAGGAACATTGAAAAGTTTTGATCATTAACTCATCTAAACCAACGATCATGGCCTTTTGATTTACTGATACAACAGACGAAATGTAATATCTTGTGAACTCGATCGAGTAACAAATTCAGTACTACTATTTATTTTATTTGCCGCCAGCCTCTACCTGTCTCTGCGAGAGCTAACTCCTAGATTCCACCTCTTTCCCTTACAGTCCGCTCCGACTCGCGAGAACTTGCCTCAAACACTGAGCTACCCATCGAGGCATCGAAGAGGCTGTTACTGAAGTATCCAACTCTTTCAACCTTTGACTTCTCTACACAGAACATGTCTATACTATTCAGTTCCTCGCAAGTCTGCGCTTGACCTTCGTACCCAGAGCCCTCACTAGAAATACCAGCCCTCGCTGTCATCTCTCATCGAGGGTTATAACAACAGCACAAAGGGGCTAATGACTATAATAAATTGAAAAGCATGTCAAATTCTCATTTCCCTTACACATTAGTTTAACCGATACATGGACTGGCCGTTTCTAATTAGTGATGCCGTAAATACGAAACCCAGTTCATGGATTCCAGCAGTTGTGCTAGAAGTTGAAGAGATGTTGAGCATAAGCATAGAGCAGTGGAAGTTGCGGCATGCTGAATAGAAATTGGCGGTATTGGCTTCACACAAAAACACCCTTACCCAGACGACAGACATGGAAATGTAATTTTACTTTAAAAATCCATTCAACTGGACAAACAAATTGCATCACCAATTGAGGGCGACAAAATAATACCTGCCCATAGCCGACCGAGGAGCCAATGAAAGTGATATTGAACACAGAAGACCAAGTGCCAGTTGACCTAAAGAAAAAGAGGGTTGGCAGATCACGGGTAAAAATGAAAAAACATAAGATTCTTATCTAATTATATCAAGCTCATGCTTCTAGGAGAAGTTTTTCATCTGCAACGAACCGAACAGGACTGGAAGGCGATGAGGATTAACTTATTTGAAATAGAGCCTGAAAGCGTCGATTTACTAAAGAAGAACTCAGATGAGACGTACGTTACTTCGTCAACGAAATTGAAGAAATATCGTACTTCGAATTGTGTATTTACAAAACAATCAAAGTAATTACATGACTTCGAATCGTCGATTTTGATTGATTTACTTCTGACTACCCTTACTTTGGCTTAATCTTGATATGATCACCTATCATAAATCAAATCAATTAAATTATTTAGCACGCTGTTGTTGACTATCACATTTCGCCCACTGTAAGTCTGTAAGCTGCCTTGGATCTAAGTGGCCATAGTTGACATTCTTATAAAGCATTCAAGCTTCTATTCTCAAAGCCGTCGGTGCATCTTGATTCCATCATCCAAGCGCTATTCGTATTCAACATCATTGCCCACTTGTCCTGAGCCATTATTCCAGCTCGCAGATGACAACCTATATTACAGGGCTTATAAATACCCTCCCAATTTAAAGCGTAAAATAAAAAACTTAAAAGACAATTAATTTTACTCAGTTGTTAATTTGTCTCGAGTGGAGTCTAAGAGCGTCATTTTATTAAAAACAATATACGAAATACACTGTGGATCGTCAAATTCATTGACTAAACATAGAATCTCAACTGCTATATTCGGTTTAGCTCAAGCAGCTTTGCAAGTGAGTAATATCAGACATCTTTCTAGAAAACATTTAATTTTCCGTTTCAAAGCCCTCGGTCCCCGATTGTTTTTAAGAGTGACTGACTGACCCTCTTTAAATACAATGATCTTAAAAATCAACTTTCTAACACTTTGTTATTATTATGTATATTGTGTTTTATGAAAAGAGACGAACTCGTAGAGTTTTTATTAGTCGCAAAATCAAATAACTCCAGCATTTGGAAAAGAACATTTCTAATCAACCATGACCAGGTGTCCCAGGTTAGGTTTACCAAACACTAGTAGGGTCATTCTTGGTTCTCTTATCTAAATAGTATCTGGTTTAAACATTGCTCGTCACTTATGCTGAATCATTATCCTAGCTCGCAGATAACAAATTGAACAGCAGAAGCTTTTGAATAGTCGATTTACTGCAAACAATAAACAAAACACACAATGTTATCAAACTACTTAGTAAAATGCCAGGTTTCAACTGTCATGTTTTGATCTACTTGATAAGCGGACATGACCGATGTTTCTTGAGAAACCGGTGATTACGCCTCTTTCATCTAAACAGCAGCCGATTTCAACATCATTCCTCACTTATTCTGAGCTATTATCCGGGATCGTAGAGAAACAGTAAAAATAGTAAAAGCCTATAAAGTGTCTTTACTGAAATAATAAACGAGAACTCGTCAAATTAACCTGAGGAATATTGTTGTTCGATTGCTTTTGTTCATCGCGAACTGCTTTATCTGTCGCAAGCATCTTCGCCGTTCCACTTGAAAGTGTTCAAGTTTCTATTCCCAAGGCCATTGATGCTTATATTACTTTATTCTTCCACCGTCGCCTCAAAGAGTTTATACACTATAGCTTTGAACAGTAGGGCTTATTTGATGAAACCGGTATTACACACACTGGACATTTCAAATCTTTATTTCTATACTCAGTTGCATCATCAAAACAGCACCCAATTGCGAAATCACTCCTCACTTGCTCTGAGATATTTTCCCAGCTAGCAAAACAAAATAAAATCGCAGAAGGTTATAACTATCCTCGGAATTTAAAGTGCAATTTGACACAATACACAGGATAATTACATTTAATTACTTGTTGGTTTGTTTCTGCTGGTCTAAAAGCGTTTGTTTACTGAAAACGATAGACAAAATACAGCATATTTCGTCAAAGTAATCGAAGAAATGGCGTACCGCGAGCTGGCTGCTCCGATAATGGATACCGTCGACGCTCATCTAGGAAGTCAGCGATTCTTGCTTCTTTCATCCAAACGGCATTCGATTTTAATACTGTTCCTCACTTGTTCTAAGAGATTATCCCCAGTCAGCCTTTTGGTGGACAGAATAAACAGCGATTCATGCATGATGATTATCCAATCGGGTTGAAAAAATATCGTCTATTTCGTCTATCGTTTTGAGGTATCAAAAGGGGCGTAAGCGGATGATGCGAGTCGATAATTATTGACAATCCTTTGCCTAATCTGCATCGATGAGTTGACAACATATCGGGTGTATCGAGGAAGTTCCAAGTTTGTCCTGTGTGGTGAATCGGAACCGTCGGCGGCCCGGGGGGTACCGGTGCTGACATAACTTTATGCACGGACCATCTCACCGCACACTGCGAATTTTCGAATATCATTTTGTCGCAAAACCGGCTCGCCAAACCTCACGACAACAATCGACTCAAAACCCCAAAATCAGCAACCATGGGTCATCCAGCAGGTCTTCGCGCCGGTACTCGGGTCAGTCACATCTAATCCTTCCTACGATTCGAACGAGCCAAATCCGACATGTTTGCGCTATGTTATCGCCGAAACTTCGCTAACAACACCACAGTATGCCTTCTCCAGGGACTTCCGCAAGAAGGGAATGATCAACTTGGGTACCTACTTGAAGACGTACACAGTGGGTCAGATCGTCGATATACGAGCGAACGGAGCTGGTATGTTTAACTCTGAACTGTGTGCAAAATAACATTGGCTAACACAAAAAATAGTCCAAAAGGGAATGCCACACAAAGGTAATAATATATCTTCATGATCCACTGTGTCCTAATGCTAAAAACCTCGTCGTGTATCACGGGAAGACGGGCGTAGTTTACAATGTCACGAAGAGCGCCGTTGGAGTCATCATCTATAAGAAGGTCAAGCACCGCTACATCGAAAAGCGCGTCAATCTCCGAGTCGAGCACGTTTCATTATCCCGATCCAGAGAGGAGTTCGTTAAGAGAGTCAAGAAGAACGCAGAGTTGAAGAAGAAGGCCAAGACCGACGGCACACATGTTCACTTGAAGAGACAGCCAGCCATGCCACGAGAGGCCCGAACCATTTCGATGAAGGAGAACGTACCAGAGACCATCGTACCAATCGCCTACGAGACCACCATCTAGAGGGTTGCGTTGTCTATCTGGTTTCAGTTTTGCTTTGGGGTTTCTTTGGGGTTGGGGGAATCATGGATCCTTTACGATCTCGAGGTCTTTTAGCAGTGCATGACACATGGAACTTTGTGCATTATCTCAAGGAAAATGAGAGCTAAATACTTCAAAAGCATATGAAGCGTGCCAAATTGGAGTGATGATTGTGAGGAATGGCCAACGGAGTTATCGTCAATTTTCTTGAACATCGGAGGTAGCCTGACGAAGGAGTTTGATGTCCTTCGGAAATCAAAAATTCCTCATTTCTGCAGGCCCTTCGCTGAGTTCTCTCTTCTGCCAATGCTGTTTTTTTATACTGAATGTGATCTTGGTTCGACGAAGATGTCGAAACTGGAGTATTGACTGATAGCAGGAGTTTTCGTCTTCATCATGAATATGTTCAAAAGCATCTTCCCGCACGAATTCTAAGATTAAGCCCAAAGCTTCAAACACCTCAAATTAAATACACATTTGCTACTAATATCAAAAGATCCATTTCACAACCATTCAACAAGCTCACAAACTTTTTATCTACAAACCAACTGACTCAAACCCACAGTTCCATCAAGAAACGATCAAAAACGAAACCTCCTATATACAACCACCACAACTCTTTTCACACCACCCTCTAGCAAAGCGTCATCCCCTGCACGCTATCACTCACCCCCATCACCTCGAAATTCTGCACCTCCTTGACACTTCCCCGCCCCCCAGAAACATCATACACAGCCACATGAACCGGGACACCCGCCGTCGCATTCCCCGGCGCAAGAGCATACACGAAATTCCCCTTACTCGCAAGATCAATTAATCCAATATTACCGTTCTTAGCATCTAGACTCTTGACCACCTCCCCAGTCTTGGTATCAATCTCACTCAACACATTCCTCGCCACATCCGTGACGAACGCCGTGGATGTAACAGCCGAGAAAGTAGCCCAACACGTAGCTTTCTGCCCGTCGAGCTTAGTGGATGCGGAAACGGCAGCAGCTGCGAAGCCAGTTGAAGAAGAAAGAGTCGCGGTTCCGAACGAGGCGTCTGTGACGAAGATGTCAGATGTACCTGGCAAGACCGTAGACCCGAAGAGCACAGCCGTTCCATTCGGCGAGGTCTGCGTCCCGGTCATGGACACCATGCCGGCTGTCACGGGGAAGGAAGATAGGAATCCGGTGTTCTTTTTCGTGGGGTCGCCTTTCACGGTGGTCAGTAAAGCGGTGGAGTCGCCGTTGAAGAAGGTCTGGGATACGGTGTTCAATGGGCCTGAGGGTGGGTTGGTCTGGTTCAATGCGAATGGACGGAGGGATCCTGAGGGTAGGAGTCCGGTGGGTGTTATTTTGTAACAGGCTATTCCTGCGCGGGCGCCGGTGTTGGCTACGCATGCCATGGACAGCTTAGAAGAAACGGCTACCGAGACGGGGAAGTCGCCCATGGTGTCGACGGGGGAGCCGATCATTGTCAGTTTTGTGGCGTCCCGAGAGGAGATGCTGAAGAGTGATGCGGTATTGGAACCGGGGTTGAGTGCTATCATTGTCTGAATGTGTTAGCGAAACTCACCCTAGATGAAGAAAACTTACGCTGCCTTCCACGCGAATGATACTCTGACTGAATGTTCCATCTGGGAGAGCTGGTTTGCCGGCTGCGTCAACTCCAACTCCGCCTTTTCCTTGGGTGCTTGTCATGCTTCCTGCGCTGAGTTTGCCGTCGGCTCCTACTTTGAGTGCGACAACAGCGTTATTGGCAGCATTTGTTAGGAAGTATACAGCTTTTGCGTTTCCGGCCTTTGCATTCCCTTGGGCTGGAGGAGTTGCACATTCTGCTGGAGATGCTTGGGACATCATTGCCATGACTGGTGAAAGATCTACCTTCTGGCCATTATTCATTTGTGCGCCGCCATCTGAGGAAATGGTGATTGTCAGGCCCGTTGAACCGAGTGGGATTGTCAAAGGAGCGGCGAGAGTTGCTGAGAGGAGAGAGAGGGTTGTGAGTAAGGTAGTAAGCGAATACATGATTGCTGAATACTTCTAGTATCCTGTGATTGGAGATTATGGAATTAAGATCTGAAACTAAGCAGATTGAAGGCCAGCTTGTTGATATTAGATGATTGTGAGTGATGATCAAATTAAATCATAAGCAGTACCTACATTCTTATACAAACTCATCATCCTCACCGTAAGCCGCGATGATACGAACTCCTTAAAATGATTCCAAAGATTCATTTAGACCACAAATATGCAAAACCACAACTCCTTACACAACTCCGTAATAGCCTGGGGATTACATTATCAAACAATTAGCACTGCACTAGCCTATACGCAAAACTATATGGAAGTGAGCAGGAGGAGTAGAACTTGACAAGCGAATTGTCGCAAGGGGAATAGACCAATGGGATGACAGGATGAAACGAGAAGCTTTGGAATCTCAGATTTCCTATTTGGGAATGGTCGAGATAGCCTGAACCTGAATCACGACGACTCGCTCATACTTGTGGCTAAAACCAGTGTGGATGAAGTGATGTTCTCGAAACGAGGTTGTTCGCTTAGGTACCTGCTTTGGGTTCCGCGACAATTTTTGAAGTTTCGAGATCAACCTACCCAAGTAAGGGGGATGGTATGTCATCTTTGGCTTGAATCCATCGAGATGATAAGGTTGATGCTTCCCCCACCATTTTAAAATTTGGGATGGTTTGAATTCGTACACTTCCAAGTAAAATTCGGTGCGGAACTCGACGAGCGCTTTATTTCAGTGCAACAATCAGCTCACTTTCGGCCATTTCGATTGCAAATAAGGAAGACATTTCCCATGCACAAATAGTCTCAGCCAAAGACTTATTTTAGGCTGGAAGTATAGTCTTCGGCTTAAGACAAGATTTCGGTCAGTGTTAAATCCAAGTAGGTTTGCCTACAATCAACTCTTCGAAAGTGCAGAGTGCTTCGACTGGGACGAATTCCAAGAACATTGTATCAGTCAGAAGACGATATCCAAATATCATTCGTGGCCTTCTGTGTGAGTTCTCACCTGCCGGTAACACTAACAAAAGTTACAGACCTCACAAGATCTTCATAATCTGAAACGAAGCAAGGAGATCAATACAGCTTCCACCAAACAAGAAGATCTTCAGCTGCAGATCACTAGATCATCAATCCCAAAATGATAGCATACCCGTTTCATAGGTTCAGGTTTAGAATAAAATTTGACCATTTTTCGAGTCGATGCTCACTTGAGCTAATCACCAGCAATGGCCACCACTTGTCAACCTCTTGATGAGAGACTCGCTACTTTGAGAAGCACATCGTAACACAAGGGAAAACATATGATTTCTTTTTTTGACCCAGAAAAGAAAGCATCCTTTGCTGAATATCTTCAGTCGAAGCTGAACTTCAAACCATGGTAGGTTGAATGACGAATGTTCTTGAGCGTCGACGTTTCAGAGTTTTGTCATCGAGAAATTATCATCTGATTTCAGCTCAGCTGTACCGTCTGGTCTCTTCCTCACACTTGAGATGTTTTCGAGCATTGGAGTCTGCAAGCAAACTCCTTGTTGGTGTTGTCAAGCTTCGAAGGTCTTCCAGGTTGTGGGCCAGTCGTATCCGCGTAGGGCACAGAACAGCAGTTCTCTACAATACGAAGATTTAGCGCTCATACGAATTGCACGCGTCTCGCGGTGCACAAAACTCATGGCGAAAGGATCCCATCAGAGCGCGTATCGCGACAATGGCATTGATGCGATGTTGGACTTGATGCGCAAAGAGATGAAGGAGAAAGGTGACCAAGTTTTCGGGGTTTTGTTCAACCACATCCAGAAGGTCGAGGCCAGCCGTGCAAGAACGGAATATTGACAATTCGATATCGTATCGGAGCAGACTCCATGCAGAACTAATAAGCCGCGCATTTAATCACAATTAAACACCTGGACCCTGGTAAACTCAATCAGCTTCCCCAAACTTGCTTCTTTCCAAGTTCTGAGTCCTCCCTTCTCCGAGGTATCGCAGTACCAGCTGAAGTTAAGCCCCAACATTCAAACCTAAGGTTCTCATCAGTTGTTGGCGCTTCGATATTTCCGTCGAGTCCTCGCCGCATGCGCGCTTCAGAAGACATAAAAATAAATTGAATAACGTACAAACCTGAGGAAAGGCCCACCAAGGAATCTGCAAAATAACTAGTGTGGCGATGAATCCAAGATGGTCTGAATACGATGAAATATACGGCTTCCTCGGGTTCAACAATCATCTTCTTTCTTACCAACGCTGTTGGGAATTTGATAGATTGATAACCTTCGCTTTCCGTATCCTCACCAGGTTTACCAAATTTAGTGGTGTTGATGACGCCCGATCCCCTGCAAGACTGCCAAAATCCGGGTCCTTCAGCGCCTATCCAAGTTGCAGGGTTGCCTTTCCTCTCCCAAAAACCCCAATCGATCCAATTTCTAGGCGCACGGAACTCTGGCTCGTCTGGGCGCGAGGCACAGATTTGCGGGTGGAAGAACTGGACTGAAAGAACTGGGGCGACACAGCCAACCGACCCGCCGAGCCCCGAGAGCTCTCTCGTCAGCTTTCTCGGATTCTCCTCTCCAACGGCAAAACTTAACGGCCATAGAATCAATCTGCAGCCACCAACATCGTCGCCGTCGCTTTAATTATTAGCAACAACATTCGAATGGTAGAAAAGATATTCGCGATAATCCTTCTTCTATCTGCTGCAATCTCTCCACCTGCTCACGACCCATGACGCCTCAATCTTCATTGATGTCTTGCACCTGCAAGATCTAAGTCGCCTGCAGACAATCATTCTCCCCTTGCTGCGGGAGTCCGTAGCAATTCAACACGCCTCACCCAGAGCTTCCGGTGCGAAACCCGCACTCCCGGGTGGTGACATCGATTTCTTTTTCCGTCACCTTCTCGTGGATAAATCCAATCTCTCACCTTTACATTCTGCGATCCAATTCATAATCGGTAACCATGTCAGAGTAAGTAAACCGTCAATCCAAACAACACTAACTTGGCGTTTGCCAGATCTAATGCACCTCGATGCTAACTACTCCCGTGTCTAGCCTCGTCCAAGCCGGGTTTGGTTCGTACCATCCGACTCCGCAACAAACGCTGGCACATCTACGGTCACTATCCGCGAAAACTTCCAACAGCTCATTACGAAAGACTTCACCCGCACCGCGCCAGATCTCGAAATCAGTCTCGACTGGTGCCCTAAACTCCGTACCAAAACCACCAGGTTTTCCGATCAAAAGGGCTCAAACCCAGTACAGTGACGCAGATGGCAATATGAGCACGTTACCAGACCCTCGAAGCCGAGCGATGTCGCCTGCGAACGACTCGAGTCCTCCAAGTCCTGCAGCCCATCCAGATTTAAGCACCGAGGTAGAGACGCTCAGTAATAAATTGATCAGTGCCATCAATCACCAGACGAACCTCGATGATAATCTCTCGGCGACAAGACAAGAATTATCGGTTGCACAGGAACGGATCAAGAAGCTCGAACAGGAAAATGCGGATCATGCAGATTTACTGGCGCGTGGGGTTTTAATCAGGAAATCTGTTGCAGATGTGGAGAAGGGTAAATTAGCGACACAGTTAATGGACGAGAGAAAGCAGCGAGAAGTGGTGGAGAAGGAGAAGAAGAGCATTGAACAAGAACTCGAGAATCTTACCACCGCTCTTTTTGAGGAAGCGAATAATGTAAGTGACTGTATCCCATTGTGAGGGAGCAATGGTTAACACATGCAGATGGTGATTATGGCTCGCGAATCTGCTCAGAAAGAACACGATCTTGTCCTGAAGAGAAACGATCAGCTTAAAGCCCAACTGGCAGACACTGAAAACTTATTGAAATCCCACCAAGAGCAGTTAGCTCAATTGAAACAGGTAATGGAGCAGATGACGGAGGAGAAAGACGAACCGACAAATCCAACTGCCCCTTCAACTCCGGGCTTAAGTAAATTCGACAGCAAGGAAGACAATCGCGAAACCGAAGGGACTCAGGTATCTTCACTTCCGGACCCAGTATCACCTTCCTATCCTACGAGTTTCACCTATCTCCTACAACCTGTACTTCGTACCGATCTCTCGGCTTATGAAGACTTTACTTCAATTCTACGCATGTCAAAAAATATAGCTGGTAGCCGAGTGTCGAGTGGTTCATACGGTACAATAGGCTTAGGACTTGGACTCGGTGGATATGTTGGAGGTGTACCCAACAATGGCTCAACTTCTTCAATTGCAACTTCAGCGGGTCTCAATTCATCTCCTGCAACTCCAACCACGCCCGCGTCTTCAGTCAGCAGTACCTCGACGAACGGACCAAATTCGCTTACACCTTTAAAGGACACGAAATTCTACAAGAGAGCGCTTGCCGAAGATATAGAGCCAACGCTTAGACTCGATACTGCGCCTGGTCTATCGTGGTTAGCGAGAAGGACGGTCTTGAATGCCATTTGCGAAGGAAGTCTTGTCATTGAGCCAATGCCAGCCTCAACTAAGCCATACGTCTTTGCCTGCTCATTGTGTGGTGAGTCGCGTAAAGACGCATCCCATATTCGAAGCCATCGATTCAGAACGAGCGAAAACGAGAATGCCCAACGATATCCTTTGTGTAGATATTGTCACGGTCGTGTACGATCAACGTGTGATTTCCTTGGATTTTTGCGTATTGTAAAAGATGGTCACTGGAGAGCAGATGATGAGCAAGCAGAGAAAGCGGCCTGGGAAGAAAGTGTACGATTGAGGGAGCAGATGTTTTGGTGTAGAATGGGGGGCGGAGTAGTCCCAACACAACAACTTCATCCAGATTCGATGCGAAGTCCTAGAGCCAGTGCGGATTCGAGGGATGAGCAGGAAAAAGAGTTATCGAAAGAGGTTGAAGAAACTGGGGAGATTGTGCCTAAGGATGTCACGCCTGTAAATGGCCTGTCTCCAAGAGGATCTACCAGGATCACTTCCGTGAAGAGAGCGAGTAAGTTATCAATTCAATCAGATACTGCCAACGGCGTCTGGCAGGCTTCAAAGGGAGATGCTGCTCCGGCGAGTCCAACGCGGAATGGTTCTTTGGTTTCAAAAGACCCAGACGTTATCCTCGAAGAAGGTTCAGAAAAGAGCAAGGTTAGGGACTCGACATCATCCCTGGCGGTTGGAGAGACTACTGAAGAAGTGAAGAGGCTTTCAATCACCATTCCCGTTACAGAACAATCAGCATCATGAGTCGTCGATTCGGAGGTCTCTTATTTCTTTGGTCGTCGAGAGGTAATAGCATACAAAAAAGATACTGGCGTTCTGGAATCTGTTTATAGATGGCTAGCTTGTCGGTATGGGCAGGATTGCATGGTAATGGAGTTTAGTGTGTAGCGTATAATACCAGGCTGAACGTGTTAATGACTGAGCCAGTCAGGGACATGAAGGGGACGCTCGTTGAGCAATGTATTATTGAATATAAATTATGTCCAAGGCGGGCAAACCGATAATGAATGGAATCACTTTCCAATATTTCTAGAACCTCAAATGTATTTGTGCTCATAATGAACTCCTTAATGTGCCAAACATATATTCACCCTCTGAATCACCTTGCAATATTCTGAATTGTGGGGCAGCAAGGCTCGCCCTCTGATTGGTAACTGTATACCAAGCGCGAGGCTGGAATTTTGCTGGAACGCTCATACTGTACATGCGAACTTGTGTCAACCCCCAACTGCAATTCTGACCTCACAATCGTCCAAATCATGGCACCTTCAGCTACAGATGATGATACCGCTATGGGCGGGATCTCGGACATCAAAGCACCACTGGGTGTTGTGTTGCCACCAAAAGAAATCAAAGGTATGGCTCTAGTCGCGAATGCGCCTGCTGCAATATTGAGCTGACCGACATTGTAGCTATCCTCGAAAAAACAGCGGGATATGTTTACCGTAATGGGCCCAGCTTCGAAGGTGCGTTTATGTGGTGCGGAATATGAAGGGAGGAGAAGCTAAAATACATATAGATCGTATCCGCGAGAAGAACCGAAGCAATCCCAAATTCTCCTTCCTTAGCACGAACGATGCATATTATCCGTACTATCTATGGCGGGTCAGTGAGATTAAAGCTGGTAGAGGGACTGCAATCGCCGCAGGACGAGCGGAAGAAGCAGAAGAAGAGGCCGCGAAACCGAAAGGTCCTCCTGAACCACCAGAATTCCACTTCTCAGCACGAATGCCAAATATCAGCGCCCAGGATCTTGAAGTCGTTCGATTGACTGCCTTGTTTAATGCCAAAAATGGAAGAGGGTTCTTGACAGCTCTATCGCAAAGGGAGACAGGCAATTATCAGTTTGATTTTCTACGGCCGAATCACAGTTTACATAATTTCTTCCAGCGGTTAACAGATCAGTATGTCTCGTTATTAAGAGTTGGCGGGGTCGATGGCGAAGGTGGGAAAGCACAGCAGGAGAGGATGAAGGAATTGCAAGCTAATGTTGATGACAAATTCAATGTTTTATCGAGGGCGAAACAACGAGCAGAGTGGTTCCAGTATCAGGATCAAGAGAAGCAGAAGAAGGAAGAGGAGGCAGAGAAGGAGAAGCTATCATACGCGCAAATTGACTGGCATGATTTTGTGGTTGTGGAAACAGTCCTATTTACAGAAGCAGATGATCAGACGAATCTCCCACCACCTACGTCTCTCTCCGAATTACAATTCGCATCCTTAGATCAGAAGGCAATGATGTCCGTCAGTTCACATAACATGAGAATTGAGGAAGCCATGCCGGAAGACAACGATTACTACAACTCTTACCCCCAACAACCACAACAAATGGGTCCACCACCAGTACCCCAACCTGCCTACCAGCCACAATATCAAGATACCCGTATGCGCGGCGTCGAGGAAGACGAAGAAGAAGAACGTATCCGTGAACGTACCGAGGCTCGAAAACGCGCTCAAGCAGCCCAAGCAGAAGCAAAGGGTGGAGCGGCCCCAATGAAGATCAAGGAGAATTATGTTCCAAGAGCAGCTGCTCGCGCAGCCAACAAACAGAACATGGTTCTCTGTCCAAACTGCAAACAACAAATGCCCGCTTCCGAACTAGAAGAGCACATGAGAAGTATAACCCCCCTCCCTTGTCTCTTGTTCCTTCATCTAACCACTTCATAGTCGAACTCCTCGATCCTCGCTGGAAAGAACAAAAAGCCAAAGCCGACTCCCGCTACGCCACCACCAACTTATCCACGCAAGAAGTAGCTAACAACCTGAAACGCCTGGCCTCGCAGCGCTCAGATGTGTTTGATGGTGCGACCGGCCAGCCGGTGAGTGAAGAGGAGTTGGCGAGACGGAAGAAGGCGGCCACGGGGTATGATGGGAGTGCGGTTGAGAAAAGCAGGTTAGATCTTATGCAGAATGTTAATGTGGAGGAGCAGATCAGGGCGATTCATCAGAAGTTTGGGGATCGGAAGTGAGGGGGGTAATGGGGGCGTTTGTGGGTTAGGGGGGTTGGGTGTAGATTTAGTATGTATTATTGAAAAGCCGGTTGAGATTGTCTATATCTGATTTTGGTGATTGCTTCACGATCTCGATGTTGCTAAGCTGCTTGTATTCTAGCTCTTCCCTGTGATATTGAAGTCGTTCCGCGAGTCCTGTTCCCAATTTTTTATCATCAGAACCTACACTTTCGTAACCTAGAGGAGTAAGATCATAGATATTGACGGTTAGATTTCTAGTCAGTAGAACCCAGCACGCGTCCATTCTTATCCACATTATCTCCTAGCCACTATAGCCATAAAGTAACTCGCAAGTATATTGACAATGTTGCCAAACTAACGAATACCACAAGAAGGTAGAAGGAAGATATATTCTACATCATAAGCCGAATTTGCTCAAGCCGTCTCAGTCACACTATCTTTCTTACTCTTTGATTAGCTCAAGCTTATGTTAAGAGTGGACTATGAAACAGGCCGTTTTTCTTATATTGTATTTAATTTGAGGGGGGCTGAAACTGATGCTTACACAGATAGTGGCGGTCCCAAAAAAGCAGCGAAGACGTGCCTGAGATACTTGAATTGCATTTCTTAACCATCTCCTCATAATGTAAATTATATCCCAATCGCGCTACCATCCCCGTTTTGTGGTAAAGTCTTGATTCCAGTTAACAAGATGCTAAAAACAAAGCTCGTTTTGCGACATGCAAGAAAAGTTGTGTCATCTCTCATCTCATCTGGTATCCGACTCAATGTCATGAGTTAACATCATGTAAAGAATAAATATGAGGTTTGCATTCTATAACAAAACGTACAAGGAATTTGGACTAGGTAGGTGAGTAGTACTTACTCTTCTTCGCTTCCGTTTCAGCGCAGAGTTCTAACCCAAGATGGGTTTGAAATCTATCATGCTCTCAGTCCAAGAAAGAGTTTCTTTCCGAAATTGTAGTCTAGCGGAAGCATGCTGGGAATGGATTGAGGGTCGTAATTCTTGGAATATGATCCACTATTTTTGCTAGGGTGGGTTGAAGAGGGGGTGGAAATGATTGGGTTTGTGACGAGTATTATCTTGGGTCGCCTTCACTGAAGGTTTGGATTAACTTGGTTTAATTCGATTTTACCTCGCTCACCCTTTTGGTGTGGCAATGAAAGTGCTATGAGGTGCCAGATGGTGTACGATATGCTGACAGCATCAGTGGGGAAACAACGAGCGTTTCTGTTATGTCTCAAGACTGCGATTAAGACGGGATCATTGAGTGGCTCTTTGGTATCATATAAGAAGGTTTTTTATACTTGACACCGAATAGAGAACATCTCTGCCCACCAGGAAACCAATTTACATCCCACAACTCTTTAGTCTTTGTATCATTGAAATGGATTTTATCTCTCAAACATATTCCACGTAGATCCTCTTTTGTCAGCGGTGATATTGAATGGGAAGTATTTGAAACTGCAATTAGTGCGAGCTTGCTAGAATATAACTATGTAGACGTGCAAATAACTAAAGGTAACAGTTAAGAAGCTAAAGTATTAAAGGCTATAAACTTATACCTAATATAAAGTTATAATAATATGTAAAACAGAAGTTTAAGCTGTTACGTGGTATGAGTTAAGTAAGTGCAATACTAGGCTGTGATTGTCAAAGCACTAGAGGTTTGACATGTTTATTAGATATTCATTCCTCTTTTAACATTGTCCCCTCTACACTTGTATAGCGCTCCTCATTCTTTGCATCTATTCTGAACTTGCTTGTTGTTTTAATTCGCTCACAGTCCCAATATCAACTGATTTAGCGAAGAGGTAAAGGGGGTTGATGATTTACATTTTTGGCTAAATATGCTTGAATACACTGCTGGTTTTTGTACGTAGTCTTTTAATTAATGGTGTGGATGCAATATCAACGGGGGTTTATGATTTGGATTCTTAGCTAAGTCCAGTGGGGTGTGGTGAAGAGCATTGCAGTTGAGTGGTCCTGCTGAGATGAGATGGCACAATGATTGAAGAGTTAAGAGATTAAGAAGTAGCTTCAATCAAAACAGAATGGCTCATGCAGTGTCTTTTTGTTATTTACTCCTTTCAATATCGATGCTGATTGTCAGTTGCAGTGTTTCAAGAATGGAATTAAGCGAGGTACGATGGGGTTCGATGACTTGAATTTTTGTCTGAGCTTAGTGAGCCGTGGGAAGGGAGTTAATGATAAGGAGACTAGTGTATGAATCAAGAATGATTGCCTACTATCTGATGTTACGTGCCCTAAGTTTTTGTGAAAAGATCCGGACAGAGTTTGAAAGAGTGAAACGAGTCTTCTGCGCCTCTAACCTCTCCCATATTTCACACGAGATAGCTGTTCTAAGTGCGCAGGGGAAGACTAGAGAGGACTTATTCTCACTCTATCACACAGTTACGCACACTCAAACAATGCCATATTACGCAAACATCCCAGTCTTTAACAGTCTCTGATCGTCATATTAAACTAGCCACTTCAGCATAGGTTAGGTGAATTTGCATAGTCTTCTCTTGGAAGACAAACATGTCAACTAAAATCTACCTGAGCAGTTGGGGTAAATTCTTAGACAGCGTAGTAGTATGCTTAAACTCAAGACATGAATTTGATCACGACGTCAATGTATTCTGAGTCTTAAAATGAAATCAGTGGACCTATCATAACGTTCTGTTCGAATCAATTCATCGGCTGGAGCTGATTGACTGACAAGAAGGATTCCTGCTGCCTAAACCATGATCCTTCTAAGAAACCCTGGGAGTTCTTGTCTTCTTCCTCAACTTAGAATCCGGCTTTTTTTCTTTCTTCATAACGAACCTGCTGGACGGGAAGGCTGAGACTCGAATTTTGCCTCTTGTTTGACATATATGATTAGGAACCCATTTTCTTCTCTCTCTAAAAATGACACTGTTCCAACGGGAAGGCTGAGACTTTCCTCTTGCCTCTCGTTTGACAAATTTGATTGTGCCGTGATTGGACATAACCTGAACAAGATCGATACACATCTATGTTTTCTCCATCGCATCACACATTCTTCAAATTATCGTATCCGTTTGTTCCAAAAAATGCAGAAAAGTATATGCTTAAAGTCCTGCAGTCAAACCCATCTCCGTATAACGCTCGCGCAGCAATGTATATGCTTAATCTCGCGCAGATAATCGCCCATCTATAGCACTTGCCCGGTTCATCTCATATATTCCTACCCACCCTCTTCTTCGTAAAGTATGCGTAAGCGGATTGTAGCTTCTCATTCGTCCTCAATTCAGCCTTAACAAACATCCAACAAACAGATCCTCGCCTCTCGGAAGTCACCATGTCCCAATCAATCAAAGCATCTCGTCTCCCGCAGCAGTACCAAAATATGGTTTACGACTATTGATGAAATTTGGGGGATGAGGTGAGATAAAAGCAATTCAAAGTATATCAAACTTGAAACATTTGAGCGGCGCGCGTCCAATAGACACTGAAGCTACGTATTTGACATCACAAGCTCCTGATTTGAGTTACGAGCACAACATCCACTGGCAGTCCTGCCGAGTAAGCACCTTAAGCATCCCTCGTCTGAACATACCCCCCGAGAAAGAACTCCATGCCACGTTCCATCATGGCGATATCACCATGCAGCGCACTACCCTACCCACCGCGCTTATCACTCTGCATGCGGAGCATTATCAAAAGATTTGCAATCATCTCAATCACAACTCGCGCGCAGCAAGAATCCTCTCCTTTCCTGGTACAGAAACCATTTGTTGGATGCCTAGGGAACATTCCTGCTACAGAATGTTACGATCTCGCATGCTGTTGAAGTTTCTGTTGGTGATAAGGATACAGTACTCGGCACCCTTGAAGAAGACATCTCGGTCTGTCGCGAGCGCGGGGGGAAGCCTGTCAGGGCCGGTGATCTGGGGTAGTTGGGCGATCCCATCCATGTGGACGGGTTGGCCCAAGTCCCCAACTTTTTTACTTTTGCGAACCAAGCCACCGTCATGACCTCACGTTTCTGCATTTAAAGAGGAGCAGACGGCCTCGAAAACGGTCGCGCGAAATTGCAAGGCGAGCAAAGAGGTCGAGAAAACGGCCGCTCTCCTCCAGTTTTCAAGGCAACCGGTTAGCAAAAGTCCCTCGTCCGCAAATCGAGCAGGAGCTGAGAGTGGGATTTAAGTTCAACCTGTTCAAGTGGAGCCATATCCGCGGTTTTCTAACCGTTTGAGTATGTTCGGTCAACAAATTTGTTCATTCAAACACTCCCCGAGTATCTAAAGTTGAAGCTATCCATAGTCGGCTGTCTTGCAAATTGTGGAACGGTGACTGATGTTCGCTTGTTGCCTGAAGTCCTGATATCACTCCGGTAGGACGAGCTGAATTGGTGCCCAATAATTCCGACGAAGCCCGAGATATCAACTTGTCTCGATGTCCGGGCGAACATTGAAGCACAGTGGCAGAGAGTCGGTTCGGAATCTTACCCCTTCGCTTCTCTTTGAGCGGAGGAATAGCAATACATCGGAACCCCTCTGCAGCTGTCGGGCCCCTTGCTAGCCGAGAGCCAGAAGCGATATATTTAAACAGATATGGGTATATTGCGCTCTGGATTGGATTATGACGTCCTGCAGTCAGCTTCTAGACGAGTTGTGATGTGCGCTCAGTCTTCCAATCCGGTCCCTTGCACATAAGCCATGATTTCCTATTTTTCCTCAACTCTTCTGCTTCTGTCCGATGTCCATGTCGCAGAACGGCAGTGACTGCCCACTTTAATAAAGTTGATCTAAGTTTCTCCACATCATGACTGTTTCGGTCTCTCCCGCTGAGATTGGGAATTCGCCTGACAGTCTGTCCACTGGCGCAGCGAGGAACCACGCTTGGCAGCGTGTGATTTCCCGGCCCGCACAGTGGCCCTGAGGGTATATTATCACGCTGCTAGACGAATCAAGTGAGCCGTAAGATATGCAGCACGAGACGGGGTGAAGTTGTGCTCCGTGATTTCTCTCCAAATGGCTGTATGAAGATATCTTGTGGGGTCTTCCGGGGCCCAAAGATCTTGGTGATTGGAGTGAGGAACGAGTACCCGCGCCAGGTATTGTCGGCAGAAGAGATATAGAAAGCAGGCCCTGCAGATGCGCGATGCTCCAGCGAGCATGCAGAAATAATACTCGGCTTCAGCCTGGACGGCCAATGGGAGCAATACTGGTCTCTACCATGCACATGCGGCTCGCAGCCATGCTCAAGCATGCCAGCAATGCACTGCGCGCCAGACCCATGCAAAACGACACTGGCTCCGCCGCAGTGAAGCGGGCGAGTCATCTCTTAAAGAGTGCGGTGTGGTAATCCCATCCCCAGTGTGGGATGTAAGCGCCAACATCAACGACCGCTCCTACAATAATTCTTGGATATTTGAAACAGAGCGATGTGAAGTTGTGTGGGGAGCTAGCAAAACCGCCTTACTTGCTCTTGAAACTTCGACCCGATCAACGACCTTAGGATGAGACAGGTACCATCGACAATGATTGAGGTCGGGGGAACGGCTTCACAAGCCAGCGTGGGTTCTGGGAGACCGGGGACGAGACCAGCGCGGAGGACGAAGAAGCGGCGGGACTCGAAGGTGTATCAAGGCCATTGTTCAAGAATTTCCACCTCGACTGAGATGTCCCCCACTTCTCAGAAATCCAATTCCGAAAATGGATCGCACAGCTTCAGCAGCCATCTGTCAAAAATTGAGGACCAGATATGTCCACAATTCAATCACCAACAAGCCTTTGACCTGGATAGTATGGGGGAGTGCCGAAACAACAGCAATACCGATTCGACGAGTTTTTATCCAGGAAGTAATATTGGTCCACCATGGCAAGCTTCAATGATGTCCTATCCATATCAGTCCAACAATTCTCCTCAGTATTTGGAAGGCGCCGAATCCGTTCCATATCAGAATGGATTTTACGTTCATGTCGCCAACAACATAGGAGAACCATGGACGAAGGTCGTTACGACTGATGGCCATATCAATGCCGAGATAAATGCTATGGCGGGAATGGGCCATACTTTCGGCACTTATGAGAACTTAGGAAGCTTGTCAGGCTCAACACCTACAAGTCCCGAATCAGATGGCTGGATTCTTTGCCCGCCGGTGGTATCATGTAGCTTGGATTCCAACCCGATCACGACCACGTTCTGTGATCCGTTTTTCACCGGTAAGTCATAACTCTGCTCTTCCGATAGATGCGGAGCAGCCGGACTTTTGTCTCATGAAGCTGACTATTCGTAGATGCATACACCATGTTCGGAGCGCCTTACTACACGCCAATTACATCTCAACCGGACTCGGGTGCTTTATATCACGATGCTTTCAATTTTCCTCATGCAAACGAACCGCCGCTAGATGTAAGTTATCCGGATCACATTCCTCCAGAAAATCGATTTCCAGTAAACGACCCTGGGAGGCATCTCAAATATCAAGCCGAGGTCAACCCTACCCTTGCCATCGAGTCACTCAAGGCCATACCGCAGGTAGATACTTCATTCGCAAGAGGGTACTCGGAGTCCACTCAACTGAAGACTGAGATGACACCCGCGACACCGCCAGTAGACAGTGATAATGATAGCTTTATCCCATTTGATCCTAGACTTCACACCCCATCAAGCGGTTCACCGACCTCATCTAGGTCAGGAGGGTCTCACAGGCCGTCACCGCGGCATCTTGAAAATGATAATCATGCGCACGTTTTCAGTTCATTCTCGGGGACAACAAGGCCGAAGATACAAAAAGGTCGGCAAAGAAATTTGACGCAAGAAGAAAAGAAACAGGCACGAGATGTAAGGGAAGCAAAAGCTTGCTGGTCATGTCATATTTCCAAGACAAAAGTAGGTGATCCTTAGCGCTCCTGTTTGCCAGCATCCTAACAGTGTAGTGCTCTCCATGTTCTCCAGGAAGCCCTTGTGAACAATGTGCAAGACTTATCGGCAAGAGAAGATTCTGTAAATTCGAATGTTTCAATGACCCACTTGAATCATTGTATGTTTTCATGGTGCCCGGTATGTCGAATCTTTTCCCCTTGAAAAACAGTTGACTGACAACATCGCTTAGACTACCTGTTCGGGCACTATACTCGACAAAATGTGGAGGCCTTTATAACGAGAAATACGAAGAGTTGGGGGAGAGAAAAATTTCAGGTGCAAGTAAGATGGGGTCGTCAACACTATATCAAAGCCAACGTCGTCGCCCTAGAACTGCAAAGTGAGAATTCAGAAATGGCGTTTCACCACCCAGGCCGAGCAAATGGTTCGGGAGGTCGGGGCCTAGGCAAGGAACGTAGTATACCACTTGGAGTGCCAATCGACGACATGGACGACATGGAAGAAGACTACGCCGATTACGTTCGGGAAATAGTCCAGACTGGTCTAGGGGACTACCACATAGCAGCATACTTCCCGGAGGATTCTCTGCTAGTGAAAAAACTCTTAAGAATAGCGAGCTCATACTACACTTCAGGCCTCGAATCAGGTTCAGAGGTAAGAAGCCTCGGTTTCCTGACGATTGATAACAAGCTGACTTCTTTGTAGTGCGAAGTACTTCGACAAGCACTTGAAATGCACGTCGCAACATCAGTCCTGGAGAAGAATCTGGCACTCGACGATTTGTCTGTGGATGAAGTACAGGTCCATCTTGGCCACGGCTATCCAGACAGAGCCGTGGCAAGAGGTGTACAGAGACAGATCAAGCTAGCATTTTTCCTTAGCCAACATAAACGCATAAACAAGATCCTCAAGGAATGGGGTCACATGATGTGGTCTATTGGAAACACCGCAGGTAATGACAGCAAATGGGCTGTCAGCTTCTGTGTTTTCCTACTCATGACAATGGTCATGGGGAAGGTGAGGGCTAATGGGCATTACTTTTGCGAAAACAAAATCCGTCATAAGGGTGCTGATCCGACTGGTGAGAGAGCGAAGCTTTCGGAGCTCTTGAAATTAAGCGAGGACCAGGTTTTCGACAGGTGCAAGGAGATATTCCATTGGAAGTTCAAGACCAGAAAAGGCGGTAAAGAGGCTTGTAATCCAATCCGTGATGGGCTAGAAGCGTTTCGAGGAAGACCTGTAGATGACGGTCTAAAAAGTCTGACATACGGCCTCCAAAGCGTTGTGAGAGAATTCGGTAAGCGAGAATCACCACCTCTATTTCTTCCTTGTGCACACGCTTACAACTTCTAGGCAAAGAGGTCAGATCGCATTCTACCCTCACTAGAGAGCAGATAACTCAGCAGGGATATACTGCGTACCACGACGTCGGGCGACTCACTTGTATATTTTTAGATGATTTCTTGGACCATTGAACGCAATTGTTCGTGTTCGACATCATATATTCCCTGCCTCGATGTATGGAGAATCCGAGACCAGCAATCAGTTAGGTCGTCACTGCTTGGCCGCAAGCTAGCTTTATGGGACAGGAGTAAGCCATAAACAATCTCGCCGCAAGGCGGAAGAAAGATGTGGTGTGGCATCTTTCTATATCACTGATCGTTGCCTTTCTTCTCTTTTTAGACAGGCAAATCTTAGAGCGATGGTGAGATGCAAGAGAATACGGCCACGTCAGATTTTGACATGATGTTCAAGTGCTCAGTAACTGCCTTGAATACGTGGCAGTCGGTTGTCTTTGGGGGCCATTTGGTATTGGTGTTACAATAAAGGGGTCTCGGACCCCAACAGGAAAACGAAATAGCTATCGAGCTTGATGTATGTAGAAAACGATGTGTAGAACATCAATATGTCGCCTTGTCGCAGAAACTACTGTGACACAGTGCCTTGAACCAGTGGAAAATTTGATCAAGATGCGTTCGTGCCTGACTACAATATAACCTCTGCTGTTGTGACGAATATTTCATCATTGGGCTGACCGTCCGGACAGTGGTGCGGAACTCAAGGATGAGTTCAAAAGTGAGTAGTACAACCTCGGCAAATGCGGTTGAATCGGAATGTTCGATAATCAGCCAGTAACCAGTTAGGTGGAATAAACATGTGCCTGCATTATTGTGCAGGTGCCGTTCAGGTACCGTGTCTACGGATGCTAGAATCTCACTTCGGCGTCCACAAGTGCTTTGCCACAATTCCCCTTGGAAAGGCCACCATTTGGTCCGGTACTTCATAACGTGATTCATTCCTGCCATTTTTTGGTTGTACCTGACCGGCCATTCTCAAGGGCTTCGGAGCCTCGCCGCAGTCTGGTGGTTCAACTGCGCTTCTCGGCGCTTAACATATCACAAGAGGAAAGCTCCGAAGATTACGCTCTTCCTCGAATATGCGGTCGTCGAGAGGTAATAGCATCGTAAGTTGAGAAACTAGGGTTCCTAAGCTCGTAGAAAATAAGGCATTGTAGGGGGGAAAATGACGTAGCGACTTTCGGATTTTCGAGTAGGCTGCTGTTGAAATGAGCGTATACCAAGCAAATTGCGTATGACTAGTAGAATATCAGAGCCCCGGAACGGACTTTCTATGGCTTGTTTCAAAATAAGAAAATAATCGTATACCGTGCTTGGCGGCCTGCCTCGGAATCTTTTGACTGGTATCCGCGAAGTTGGGTTTGGCCTTTGATCTGACGATCCAATCGCGGAGTAGCTTTGTTGTTGGCAAGTTGTTGGTCGCCCAGATCTGCGATGGCCAACATTCCGGTGAGCCTCTCGTATACTGTACGCTGATCGCCAGCAACATATTCATGATTTGCAGCTGATTAGACTCATACGACTGTACTACCCGCGGATGCCTTCGATTTTGCGGAATGCCAACTCTCGTCCATACCAGAAAACATCCGAATGCAGGTCGAGTTAGTGACGTCCCGGAAGATCCAACGGAGCCAGCGTCGACTCAACAAAAGAGCCCAATTTCTTCTATCGAGTCTCCCATGTTCGTTAAGATTAGGATTGCTTCCTGACCCGCGAGATTCGACATGTGAGTTCCACGTCGATATTTCCAGGTTGGAGCCAGGTGCGTCTGTAACCATCGACATCGAACGCTCAGTTTCGTCCTAGGTCGTACGGCAATGGCATCAATGCTGCAACCATCGCACGCACCGAATGCTCCATTACCTGGTGCCTAGTAAACCCACAAAGAGTTGACTCGATCATCCCCGTGAGCCGTCAAAAATCAAGCGCGGCCAGAATCGAGACCTTCTAGACCCAACAAATGGGAGAGGCTATGCAACGTGCAGACAACAGGTCGCAATTGAGCAAATGACATACAAAAGAGCATAGATCGATCACATCAATGTGACCTTGAGAGCTCCAGAATAGACGGGGAGTAGGCGCAGACAGACGCGGTGTCGTTTGTTTTGTAAAACTAGCAAGTCCAAACGGAGTTGTTGGTGTTCGGCCTGGAAACCTGATGTTCAGAGGGGTTGGAATAAGGAGGACGCGAATGACATACCAACAATCATCACACCTAATGGTGAGTCTTCTTGACGTTTTAGAGGCTGGCATACGGCACGATACTAGGTTGCTGGGTTGTGAGCTCAAATAATTCTGTGATAGCTGAAATTGTGGGCGAGCCTAAAGAGATCTCTACAGGTCATCGGAGCTACCAGCTTCTAGCCGAAGCCCCAAAAAATACACGCGACTGCTACCCAACAGTTGTATCTATTTAGAAGACCAACAGATGTTGCTATTCCACCTAAGAAAAGAAAAGTGTCCAGTCATTTGGGCAGTGACCCTTTTCGTTTCGGTGTACAGGAGTTGTGCCTGGGAATGCATCCCCTCGACTAAAATGCTAGATATGACTGTCTCGTAAGGTCATGTAAAGGAGACCGTTCATAGCCACCATGGGCATCTTCCAAAAATGCCCAGCCATGAGCGTATTAGTGTGGCGTCTATCCTAAGGTTGGACTTTTAATAGATGAATCCTCTCAAATGCCAACAAATCTTCTTATAACAACTCGAACTCCAACAGTTATCTCAAAATTTTCACATACAACTCCAACACTTTCAGTCAATACAACAAAGTACAGCCCACACTCTATTCAAAACACCATCTTATCTCATTTTTTGACTTACTCTGAGACATTAATCCAACGTACTTTTACGCTATGGCTTCTTTCACCTCAATGACCTACGATAGCGCTAGTACTTCCTACATGGGCGGTCAAATGAGTCTCAGTGACCTCTCCAGTAAGTTTCATTGCCACTAGAAATCCTTAACCTCTTTTCTTTTGTTTGGTCTATCATTCTGGTCGACATGTACTGACTTATTCTAGGCTCACACAACAAGCGATCAGGACGGGGAGACGATGATGATGATCGTGACAACAGTAGGTCGCCATTTGTATCTACTAGAGTCAAAGACTAACAGATTTTAGATGGAGGTTCATGATAAACTCATACATCAACATGTTACATGAGTGTTGAGATGATTTGGTGTTCTTGCTTTACAGTGGCATGGATGAGGATGTTGTTTTCGGTAAGTCATATGCGAGATCCGTTATCCTTATCAGTTATGCGAGGCAGATTCAGATCACGTGAACGGTGCATACTGTCACCTGATTTGCCGGCGCTTAAGTTAGAGTTATGCTGACGTTCGTATAGCTTCAACATCCTTTGACCATCTCAAAGCCCCTATGATCGGCCCAGTATCACGCCAGCCACGTAGCCACAATCCTGCATAGGGCCATGAATACACGACCAAGTCCAACAACACAACTGACCTCGTCTGGTTACTGCTTCTACAGTCCGCCTTGCACTGCGGATGCCTTCGATATGCCAGACTTATGATTTTATTAGAGATCATGATCTTGGGAAGGATGGAGGAAGAGCTGGATTATGGAGGGTCAACAACCAGCCGTTGAGCTGACCGCATCGAACACCGACTTCATGTTTCTCTACAGAGAGCATGAGTCGAACTTGACGCGAACTGACTCCAAGTCTTCGCTGAATGTTCTGAAGGAACATGGACGGAGTAGGGGGGTGAAGTACACGATATTGCATTGGGATCTATATTTCTTTTCATGTTACAGTTTTATCTTTTTGTCATCTGTTGGTCTTTTCTGGATTCTTGATTTCTTTTATTGTCTTGCTTATTATTCGAAGCGTGGATCCTACTACAACAGTGTCTTACTGTTTTCAATTTTTATGTACCACACAGATTACTTCTGTTCTCATCATGTCCTGACTTCGGATCATTTGCATCTACTTGCTTTTTTCTTGCGACTTTACACATTTTACATTATTAGACGGCGCAAGCCTGGAGGGATATTTTCATTCATGCAATATACTACGTCATCGCACACTATTTTATAGAGATCAATCTTACACTCTACACTTTCAAATCAGAAAAACTTTTTACTCAAACGTTTTCGTCTTCATTATTTCACAAGCTGAGACATCTTGTCACTAATGTATACATTGGTGGTGTTTTGAAGAGCAAGTCGAGACAGTTGCGTAGTTCTGGACATTCTTTCCCGGATAAACAGGCTTGATATTATTTCATGATTATTTAATCATTTGGACTTTCCAATTGAGTAGTGTAGTAGGAAGATGCGGACCACAGTCTAGGTGACTACGCTGGCACCTACTCGATGTAACGATACCTGCTTGAGTCACATCAGTGTTTGAGTCGTTTAGGTACGACAGTCGCCTCCTCTTCCAAATTCTTTCTCGTCCTAGTTTCTGACCAACAAACCAACACCAACCAACCAGGCTGAGATGATCCAAATTAAGCTTTATTTATAGACCAATGTATCGGCCCCAGTTCAAAGTCAAAATCAAAGACTAAATGTTTCAAAATGGGGCTGCTCGCACAGCCTCGGACTTTGGTAACGTTGGTCTCGGGTCGATTGGCATCGAGGATTTCCGAACTCCAGCCACAAATCTTACAATCGATTATCACGCTTTTATGTCAGACCAACAGAGACTTCAGCCCTACGGCCTCTCCTACCCCGCAAGTGTGGTACTTTTTCGATATTCTCGAGTGGCTGCGGAACACTCAAACTGAGCCTTTCGCCAATGCAAAGCATATGGAGCGGAGACAACCTTATCAAGTGTTAGGATATGTGAGATGTTATTTTGAGCTCAGCCAACAATTTTTTACGAGTGTTACTGCAATAGGAAGCTTCTCATTCCAAGCAACGACTGGCAAGCCAACCCACTGTGGCGATATCGATGAAAGGTATCTTACTCATGGAATTGGACAAGTCGTTCACCATGCTCAATATGAGATTTTACGACTGGATTGAAGTGCAACTTCCGTCAATTAGAGCTCTTGGGGCAGCGGAACAAGGCCCAGTCTACTATTTGCAAATTCATCAGCCTGGTAATCAAGGAATCAAAAGGTTGGATTCCTCAGATGGTTTTTTTCTTCGGCGTCTGTGGTTTTGATGCGATCATTTTCACGATGAATTTTTATGAAAAGATACGGCCTTCCGCTTGCTAAGTGGTGAGTGCTCTGTACGACTCGGGTCAAAAAATCCGTGATACCTTCTAGTACATCCTCCTACCATGGTAATGGCCCGGTCTGTGTGAGGGAACCAATACTAAGGATTCGCTCACGTCTCGGAAGCTCCCAAGAGAGCTTTTTGCAAGTCATGATACATTATAGTCTACCTCAACGGCGTCTTGACTGTCAAACGCTACTACTCCAGTTAACAAACTCGTCAGAGCGACTTGCTAAGCGAAGATTCGCGGTTCTCCATCCTACTAAATTTGCCATTCTCCATCAGCACACCAAACAAGTTCGGAGAGCCTCGTCTACAGTTACCGGAGAACAGTTTCCCATAAATTGTTTTGCTATATGGTGAGATGATGCCTGGGCAACTCTCATATCGGCACCCACAGTGGGTTCATGATGCCAATGCCAACGTTTTACGATCCGCAATGTCAATATGAGAATAGCAAGATGATCTTGCCTTCAAATACAGGAGACTGTGCCAAGATTATGCTTGCTCGTTTCTGCCTCCGACACTTCACGCAAGTATAAAATCCTGCCAGAAGACTATTTTAACAATCGCCACCAACAATCTTCAGTAAAGATTCGTATACACCACAACCGAGGCACACCTCAAAGTCAATTTATACTTTCACCGCCGCATCCGCGAAATTCTTCTTTCGTGCGGAAACTGCTGTTCCGAGTATGTTCCGTCAAATTTCGTGAGCCGCATTGCCGCTTCTTACTTGTTGCTTATCCGCAGCTGCTGACGACAATGGCACTTAGTTACCGATGTACGTGAGAAACAGCCAATTACATTACACATCCAGAGTCCTTTGCTGATCGTTTCACGTATAGTTCGGTACTTGCCAGTTGGCAACAGCGCAACGTATCCACTCATGAATTTTAAGTGTGAAGATTTACAAGCAGTGCTACGGCATGGATAGTAACATGCCAGATGCTTAAAGATACGAATCCTGAGCTGGAGCCTCATAGTTGTCCTTCGTTGATTCTGATGAGTCTCTCAATATTACTTGCACTGCTCACGAATACATCCCTTGGGGTCTAGGCTCTAGATTCCAGGGGCCCTCACCTCAAAATTCGGATCTGCCAGAGCTTTTCCTTCAATTAATATGACTAGCTGTTTAATACCATCTAGTCTCTTGGACTAGAAAAGAATAATGTCAACCGTTATCGAGTCTAGGGGCATGGGTTCTGAGTCTAAGTCCAGGACCTCAGGGGCGAGAAATTTGATTCTGAAGAAAGCCTTATGGAACGGGTCACCTCCTACCATACGATTTTACACTCGGAGAGAGAAAAAAACAGCCACAATCAAATGACCGACAGATAATGTGACTGTTCCATTGAACATGTTGTTGCCTTCGTCCTTGAGGAACAGAGAATAAATTGAGAAGGACGCTTCATCACATGTCATCACTTGCCTCCAGGACCACAGATGCCTACAGATTGTTCAAAAGACTAGTTCAGCCTTGAATTGTCCCGAGGAGGTCTAACAAAACTCCGTGTCGGTTAAGCTTGTAACTTTGTTTTGAAGTGATGAAATTTTAGTCAAACAGACAGTGCTGTAGACTCCTATTTTTTTGGCCGGCAGTAAATTGAAAACAAGACGTGGATATTAAAATCTTATGTCACCGAGTACAAGAAGTGTTTGAAAATGTCTGCTAGTTACAGTATGAGAAATAACCAGAGTCGGAAGGCAGATCCATGAGAACTCTCGGGGTTGTCTCGCTTAACAGGAATTTGAGAAAATACAATTATTGGCAAACTAAAAAATTGGATGGCTTTACATGATAACTTGAAAGATAGAAGACACCTAGTAGGTACGTCCACTATTGTCAGAAATCCTTTGATGTTACGATTGTAACATGTGAATTGATACAGAGCCTAGAGAATCATCACTGCAGGCTTTCAAACACATAGACCTACAGCTTCGTTAGATCACTACACGAAATGCTATTTCAGAAGAGATTGTCATGTCTAGAACTCCAAACAAATAGAACTTATAGAACAACATCTTCTGCTAAACCTAGCAAAACGAATGCGTACAATGCAAGTACCAAAAAAATTGTTCATAGTTTTCCTTACTCACCCAGGATATTCATACTGCTCGTCCAGTCATCCACTGTCATTGTGGATCGAAAGACACTCAAGTGACCTCACAATTCGGAATTCGCTGAATATCGCACCATATTTCAGGAAACAAAATGATCAAAATTATTAGATCAATGAATCCTCTGCAACTTTACATTCACAGATCAATTTCCAAGGCCCACTAATAACTATATGAATAGACAAACAGAGTTACTAAACCAGAGTGGCCAAAGTGCTTCGTGTCTCATCTACATCCACTGTTCCAGTACCTTACTTATAGAAGTGAACTCAAATATAATCAGTTTTACGACAGAAGCAGGAACTTGATTTTTCTACAGACGTAAGTTCTAAATTCCCGAAGTTTTACCTCCTGTTTTACTAAAACAGGAGATACATATAGGTTGTAATCGCGCCATGAATTCTTATGATTTATCAATTGAGCAAAAAGTTTGAATGATACCACAGTAACTGGGATTTACTTCCTTCCATCATTCTCGGGCTAGCCAGCTGATGAATGAAAAGTCGTGGAGAGCTAGAAAAGCCGCACTTACTCACCAATGAACACGATCCATTGCCTCCGGCTTATGTGTATAATTTCCATGTTATATTTGTACTGAGATTGTATCACATCCCAGAACAGAGAATAGTGCTTTGTAGCACGCCGAGCCCTTCGCTCTTCTGTTATATTACAAGTCCTCGTCAATCCGACGTCCGCATCTATTTTACACCATAATATCCCAATCAGATCAATCCACCCTCTACCCCAACCCTTTTCATACAATAATCAACGCCAGCTGGTCCTATACATAATATACAATTCTACCTCCAATAGCTGTATGAAGCTAAAATAACCTGATCAAGGTGGAGATTTCGCTAGACTACCGTTCAGCATGTAGTAATTTTAAGACACCCTCGTAGATGCCGAACATGATTGCAGCGCTCGGTACGGTTCGGAGAAGATGTGGAGTTAGACCACCGTATAGCGCGACCATGCCTTCTTCTTTGAATACGAGCTTGAAGCATTGTACCAGCCCTGTATACTTGGGATGTCCGTTTTCGAGTGGAGCTTGTCTTAGTCGTGTTCGAGCCACCTAGAAGACTGTTAGCTGGAGTTGGAATAGAGAATAAGAAGACATACTTCATGGGGATAAGTTGCTAGAGCGGCAACTAATTTAGCTCCACCCGCAGCAGTGAGACTCCCAGTCCAACTAATAAAATTGTCCCATACGCTCCTTTCCTTGCCGGTAAAAACGATCCTCTCCTCCCGCTTCTGTAATGCCTTCTTCATCTCTTCGTACAGAACCCATTGAAGTGCACTCTCAGTAACACCAAGGTAGCTCGCACTCATGCCCTTGTACAACCCTCTAATACCCTCTTTCCCTACGGTCTGTTTTATACAATCCCAACTATTTTTATACGTTCGCTTGACCGCACCGCCAGTCTCCTCGACCACATTTTTATCGAGTTGTAACCTCGTCTTGATCATCCAGATCGGATTTGTAACTGTACTCGTCACAACGCCAGCTGTCGCAGCAGCGCATAAAACCACCCACGCATTCTCCTTACCTCCGTTCCCATAATCTGCGAGTATTCTCTTTCCATTGCCAACGACAAAGAAATTTATACTTCGAGCTGGTACGACACCAACCAGATTTGGACCGAGACCCTTGAAAAGTGCCCGCCAGCCTTCGACGCGATGTACGGAGCCGAGGATTTGAAACGTTTCGCGGAAGTGAAGGAGGCCGGATTGTAACGCGTTGAGATGCGCATGTGGAGATATACCTTTGGCAAGGCGCGATTGGGCGAGTTGCTTTTGGTAGAAATCGGATTGAAGGCGAGTCTTTAGGACATCAAGAGGAGCAGTGAGGGTAGCGGCTGTCATGCCTCCTAACCTAAGAGTTTGTTAGTACTGATAACCCACATCTGCGCGTTGGCAGCTCTGTACGAGGAAGAGTATACCCTCCAGCTACGAAATGCGCCCATGACTTGGCCACAGGCGGAGACTTCGTAGTCACCGCAACATTCTGCGCATGAGCTACTCCTACTTCGCCAAGTTCTCGCGATTGTAGAAGAGGTCCTGATCCGAGTTGTACTTTGGGATGATCGCTTGGTGATGAGGCCCGGGTATTCATGAAGTCAAGGACGAGAATGACGAGATCTAGGAGAATGGAACCGCGGCCAGTGTTTTGTTGAGAGGTCACTCTTGATAACTGCTCGACCAGAATAAAATCATAGAATGTTATAGTGCGCTAAGCGTTGAAATGGAAATAGTATCAATAAAAAAGCCGATTGTGAACAAAATATTTGTCCCTAATATTTCGACATGACGCTCTGTGCTCATGCGCCACAGCGGGCCTGGAAGCTGCAGCGAAAACGCGCTAGAGTTAGAAAGGAGGTGGCTTAATCAGCCTCAACTACTTCATATCTGACCAATCACAGAGCCACAATAAATAGTAGATCAGTACGAAAGATATATGATTCGTTTCTTCAATGGCAGCTAGAAAACCACAGCGAGATGAGAACGCTAATATTATCTATAGACAAATGTAAATTAGAGAGCTAATGAAGTGTTCTTTGGTGGCCCGCGCTCAGAGACGTTCATATTCATGGAAAGGAGAATTGAACCACTGAATACTTCGCAAGCCCAAAGACTCCTCTCTCCAAGTACTCCTTTCTCAGCGCCTGCAAAGCACGTAATAGCCCCAATAATATGACCAGATCGAGCATCCTTTGGAGACATTTCCCCAGATAAGGACCAATACGCCAGGCTCGCCAAAAAATTGCCGAAATCAAAAATAGGTAATCGTACAGTACACCAGGCCCAGTGTTGAAAACGGGCCAAGCATCACCTCCATCACCTCCAGACACCATAAATGCAGCCCAAGATCTATTGCCCTCCAATTCGACGACGCTCCAAACTCTCATATTCACATCTCCTCGTCACTATCTCCAGTGAGTGATGAAGGATGGACCACTCTAATTGTGCCTTTCTTAGTGGGAGTTCCCTGAGCAGATACGGGACCGTAAGGACTCTTGTAGGTGTCGCTTGAGCCACTTCTTCCAATTGAGGCGATTGTATCAGCTAGATACTCCTTTCGTGCGGACGTTGGTTTGATGATTCTCTTTCCAACGGATGACATCTTTTCAGGGGTTCCAGGGGTTGTCATTGTCTTCATGCTAGAGCGTCGAGAAGGGACTTTGGAGCGTCGGCTACCGTAAGTTTTCATCGAATTGACTTTTACCGTCTCTTTTGTCTTTGTCTTCGTTGTTGTAACAGTTTCACGTTTGACGGTAACAACTTTACGAGCGTTAAGATATTGCGATGAAACACTTTTTCGGACGGACTTGACAGCATCTTTGGCAACCATTTTCATGCTTGCTGATGACTGTGATCTTTTGAGACCAGTCGGGACTTTGATCTTTCTCTTTTTAGGACTCGGAGCGAGATCTGAGTCGTCAGTGTCACCGACTCCAAAAACTTCCTTGAACTTTCTCTTCCCATACTTCTTCGTCGCCTTCACAGCATCTTTGATGGCCTCCTTGACAGGCTTTTGGTCCTTGGGTTTTGGTCCAAGCACTCCACGGCAGTTATCGCTACCACACCGACAGGTCTGGACATTCTTTGCGGAAAAGGGATCAAAGTTGTAGTCATAGGTCAGCTCATCACCGGTCATGATGGGGTTGTCTCCAGCAAACAAAGCCATGCGGGGTTTTCCAGCAACAACCCATTTGACCATTCTGCAGTTTGGCTTGCATGAATGATTGACAAAACGAGCAATGCTACCTTTGGTACCATCGAGGATCATGTTTTGGTCGAATGACATGAGATAATAGCACTGAGTTATTAGCTTTGTTAAAAATCAATTACATTGAAACTTACCTCATTGTTTTTGTATTCGTGGTTCATTCGTCTATCGCATTCCTCCTCTGTAATGATTTCACCGGTGTACTCAACAATGATCTGATTAGCTTCGAAACAGCGATTACTGCGCACTCCATAGCCTCGATCAGCAGTCTTGAGGACCTCAACCCCAACTCTGTATTTTCCACCAGCCTTACGGCGCTCTTGAAGTTCGTCAAAAGCACGATTTCCACAAGCAGCTTTACCCACATTGCAATTGTTGTCGTCACACTCATAAAGCATAGTTCGATTTTGGCATCGCTCATCGCATCCGTCTTCTACATCACAGACACATTTTGAGATATCTTGCAGGTCCTTCTTGACCTTTCTCCAAGATAATGCTGCGTCACCGGCAAAGCGATCTAGATGTTCGTTAGCAGATACCAAAGTGAGAGGTTCTAATGTATTTACTGCTTGATGTCTTGCGCCACTCATCAGGTTTTGGCTGTCCGGGTGGTAGTGGGGAGCACACATCGAATGGTAGCTTGAAGTCTCTACCCAGATGCAACAAACGCTGACCAGCACCTTGTGGCAATGGCAGGATAGATCTACGCGTTGCTTTCATCTCAGCCGCTCCGTAATCTTCCTTGTGCGCAGTTCCTTTGGGCATATTCTTAAAGATATCTAAGTAGCCAGATTGTCCCGCATATATCCCCTTTGAGTGCCATATCTTTTCCTTCTTCACATTTACTTTTTTCTGTTCTGGTTTCGGCTCTTCAACTTGTGGTGGTTCTTCGGTCTTCTTCTTCTTCCTTGGCCGCTCTTCAACCACAAGTTTTCCATTACTCCAAACTTCGTGGATGATAGGTTCCGTCTCAATCTTCGCGAATTCCGGGGTATCCTGCAACTTCCTCAGCTCCCTCTTGATTTTCGTGGCTCCCGATGCAACATCCTCTTGTGAAGACAAAGCGCTTTTCTTTCCTGCTCCAAGTTTGTTCGTAAATTTTTGTACTGCGGATTTCGTGTAAAGTGACTTGCTACGTCGCAATGGCGATGGCTTGACGGACTTCTTTGCATTGCCTGCAAGACCTATCTGACTCTTGGATCTAGACAACTTTTTGACCGACCATTGCAAATCAAGCGCGTCTATTCCATCTTGGATAAGCCTATCGTTATTTTCGTCGAGTGAATCCGTAGAGGCATTAGCTGGCCCAGAAGCGCCAACGAGCATGTCATTAGATATAGTCTTGCGGCGCTCCTTCTTCTTGTATACAACTGGTGTGCCATCGGGGTTCTTGCAATACTTTTTCGGGGCATGAACTGCTGTGCCGGTCAGAACCTTGACATTGTAAGTAGTGACGCTTGTGCGCTCGCGACGGCTTCGAGCTCGAGGCTCAGCGGCAGGAGTTGCTGGAGCTGACGAGATTGCTTCTGTCTTGAGGATCGTAGAAGATATGCTGGCACCGTCGCCGATGCTAGTGGGAGGTGTAGAAGAGGAGGAAAGCGATTGAGGGTCTGAGGCGGCATCATTGTCGGCGGTTATATGGCTGGCTGTAGATATGGTAGGAGACGCACGCGTCGCCTCCGGGCGACTACTTGCTTTAGGATGCGCCCCGATCTTATCCATAAGTGTAGAGAGCATGGCTTGGTTGTAGAGAGCAAAGGTCGCGTGGCATGTGTTGTGTTGTAGACACGCGAGGTGCGAAGGGTGAGGTGATTGGGAACGTAGAAAGAACACCGGCGATTTGCTTCTTTCAGATTAGCTGCGGCGGATGGAGTGGAGCTACGAAGACGTCAAGTAATTTCTTGAGTCAATCGTCGAGCGACCCTCGTGCGAGAAAACACCTAACAGCAACAAGATAAATGAATTGGCAAGATATTCGCGAAGTTGTTGTTGTCATGCGGGGGAGTTCAGCAATTGGTTGTAGGAAGGAAGGGAGTGGCTGGGGCTGGCTACCAAAACATTTCATATTTGCTCGCTCTCCCACCTCGCCAATGAGAGACCACCAATTTGACAAACTACGTGCCATTAGGATGACTGTACCGTGATCTACCTTCCAACTAGTCTTAAGTGCTGATTTATTGCAGAGGTATATTGATAAGTTAAAGTCTTTACCTGCGGCTAGGGCAATTTGAGGAAAAGCATTATCTGGAGCTCTAACTGCTCTAATATCATTTCTACTTTTTCGACAAGAAACGTGATCTCGCCCTTATTAAGGTCTTGGAGTAGTATCGAATTAGGCTTTTTAGTCGGCTAACCTACTCCACGACACAATTGGTGGCGACATAGTAAGCAGCAGTCCGGCGGTTGTAGACCCAGAAGTAACATATGCGCCGCTAGACCTCTCTAGAAATGGATCGAAGGCTGTTGCTACTTGCCATCGAGGCCCGATACAGACATGAAACTTCCAGGTATGATGGTGAAGGTTTCGGAACACATGGACAGGGGCGAATGTTACGGCCCATCATCACCTGAAAGGAAATTATTGAATTCGTTAGCAAATAGAAGTTTGACGTAATTCGGGCTAATAGTAGCCATCAGAACTTTCCTTTGCATTACCAGTTCAGTCCATGTGGCAACAGTTGGCTGGCAAACGGGGAAGTGTTGGAATCCGAGAACATTATTCTTGATTGCGGCTAACCTTGAGTTGAAGGGTGCGGAGCAATGCGCCGCAGTGTACATCACAGCTCCTTAGCATAACTACAAGAATGCACATCACAGCGTACATATTAGATCTGCACAGGACTTTCCTATTTGTTGTATTTCAATATATAGAAGAGAAAGTTTTCTCTTGTTACTAACACCGTCGGCTGCAATATGGTCATCTGAACTCTCTGACCTCAGACACTTCAGCATATCTATACCAGTAGAGCATTTCAGAAGGTTTCCTTCGATCTATCTACCTCGCTATCATGATCAGAGTCATTTCGGCTCTACAGAAATCTACTGCACAGCTACTTGTTCTTAACTCAGCCGCGACCAAGGTCAAGGCGGAGTTTTAGTGAAAATTTGAAAGAGCAGTCAGCCTCTGGTAGCTGTATCCATGGCTTCATTCTTGTAACACCAGCCCCATATCATCAAACATGGAGAAGTGAATGTGAAGTGGTGTAGATGCGTGGAAAGTGCTTGAAAGAATCAAAAATGAATCCACGTCGTGCTAACCGAGATATTACCATTTTATGCTTGAACAACTATAAAATGCGTGAAAATGCTCAAAAATCACGAACCACGGTTAGTATCGGGAAGCAGGTTTGTTTCGAACAGTAAAGATATCGTGGAACAAAATTCTCTTTTTGGTGGGTTTTGGCCGGTAAGAGTGTCCTCGGCAAACACCCTAAGTTTTCAGCGCCGCCACGACAGCCCACCACTAAATGAGCAGAGACGGCAGCACTCCCGTTCAAGAGAGCTCGATTTTCAAGATTTTCTTCATTCATCAAGCTTGGTTAGTTTATCGAAACCAATAGTTTCTTTACGCAATTCAAGATCACGGTATCGACTCCTGACTTCTTCAACTACTCATAGTGACTAAACAGGCAATCGTGCCTGGATAAAGTCGAGGAAAGGTGTACTTGAAATCAAAAACCATTCTCCCAAGTTCATGTTGTTTGCAGCACGTCGTGGTACAGGATTAGTATTCTGAAATTGCTACTTCCGGATTTATCAGCTTTAATTAGTTGTTGCTGACATTGCAACATGACACGTCTCTACCCTCGACGGCTGGACTCAACGTCGGGTTAGTGTCAAGGAAACATTACCGAGTCAATACGCTTGAATTTATCTCTAGCGAGCTCTAAGCGTATATGTAGAAAGACCTTTAAAATCAATCGTCTTTTCCGTTTGCCGTGTCCAACAGCTAAATACCCCGAGAAGAGAGCGCACGTGGAATTCGATCGGTTTATAGACGCGTCACAGGCCACAAACTACATACGTACAGTAGATAACAGTATCTTTAGCACCTTAGAGCATGTTAGCAACCAATAAAGCTATCAGGAGCAGTGAGCATATGTGGCTATCAAAGGGATACAGCAATCCAAACGACGAGTATATCATCTTTGAGCATCGATTAAATGTAATCCAGCACACATTAAACGCGAGAGCACTCTGTTTTCTGACCTGAATCTTCGCTCGAGTCTAGGCATCAACGATTTTGAAAAACCCAAATTTGAAGATCCCAAATCTGGCTTCAATCGCCGGAAGTGGTCGCTTTCATAAGAAGCGATCATCTACATCCTCCATAGTCAAGTACACCTCCGGGCAAGAGCATCAATTAACATCAGCGATTTCAGCACAGGTTGTGTGAGCAGAAAGAGTCAGTACAAAACTTAGCTCACAAGAAGGGTATTTTATAAAACTTGTCGTTTGCATTACGTGAACAAGATTCTTTTTCACTCACACAACGTTACATCCTTGAAGACTTTGCAGAATCTCAGACTTGGCGTCAATTGATTTTGTCAACTATCAAGACACAGAAACTCTGAATTCTACATCATATAAAAAGGACTAGGTCCTCAAATCTTCTGTCGATCTAACCACCAGAAGACATCGTGTCATCTGCTTGGGAACCCAGAAAGGCAGGAAATGTACCTAAGATGAATTAGGTTAATCAAGAAGTGGGAAAACCAACCAGCAAAGCATCTCAGCCGAAATTCGTGAGTATGGATCCGTTAAACCTCAGTTTTGAGTTACGTAGACTCCGCTGATGCTCAGCGAAAATGGGCTACAGTTGCCCGCACTTTATCGAGCAATTCTAGGCATCGTCATGCGAGTGGCACATTTTTAAAGATGGATCGTAGAGTATTCAACTATTTGAAAACGCCTAGGGAGCCAAATAAAGAGAACAAGGCACTCACTTGGCAAAAAAGCAACTGGGAAATTCTTCAGTTTACCCCTACCATGTCACAGCTCTGATGTAGAGTAGACGATAATAAATAGCAATACCTCTCTTTCTGATTTGAACTTGAATTATAATAAAACTCGAACGTTATTTTGGCAATTAATAGTTGTTAGATAGTCAAATAGATCTCTTTTTTACTGAACGAATTATACACGAAATGCACAACAGCGTGCCGAATTAATCAAAATACGTCAAAACTGTCTTTGATACCGCCCACAGCGAGTCTGCAAACTTGTTGGTGTAATTGACATTATTCGTACGTAAATCTAGTCTACATATTGACTTGAAAGTTACATCACATCGAGAGAGATGAAGAACATGCTTCTAAAACAGCGGACCGAAGTGTTATTAGTGAACTTAGAGGTGAGCGTTGTAGGTCGGTAACCAGTTTGCTGTGCTATTCCCACAAACTCTCCCACTGGTTTGAACTTCAGAGTGATTACACCTGTATCGCTTGCGTTATGCTGATTGCCAAATACAAGAAGGAACGAGTCGTTCTTTTATTTTCATTTTGGAGCGTTGCGTAGCTTGTGTTCAAGGTAGCGTTATCAGCTAAATAGGTATCTATGATCAGAATATTGATTCATTAGCCACACGGAGTTGTACGCCCATCTCACAGAAGACGCAGGGCTAGCAAAAAGCCAGGAAAATATTAAAACTGAAACGATCACATAGCAATATGCCAGGGTATATCTAATTTCCGCCAGGCGCCATTTACAGACACTCCTTTAGCTCCATATATCCTACGCGTTCCAACTCCATAACAGTATATACCTTAACAACCCGTGACTGTACAAAAGCCGAGCCAGACAGCATCTTTCACAATGCTTCACACAATACCAAACAGTCTCCGCCTCTTAGCTCCATTACTTTCCACAGTCTTCGCTTGACTCGAATTTCGAGCCTTTTGCAACTCTCCCTCTACCGACCAATCGCCCAAAAAGTCTGCAAAGCTTCCTAAAGCATCATCCATATCAAAGCCTGCTGCCTGAACATCAGGTCGAACATCTCTCGACGGGGTGCCCTCCGAGTCATCCGACAGGTGAGAGGTATCGAGGGTAGCACTTTCACGACGAACAGCATTTACCATTGATGGACTAGTAGGCTTCAGGTGGCGAGCGCTCTTGGCAAGTTTTAGCCTACGCTCTTCTTCAATCGAAGTTTCTTGGTCGGCTGCTATGAAAGCTTCTGCCATGGCGCCAATCGAAGGGCTACCCATCGATACGGACTCATTTTGTGATAATCCTTTCGGCTCTTTGAAGACAGTAAAGTGCTTTGAGAATCTCGGAACCAGGTTAATGTCAGCCAGCTCGTCTGTATCCAGACCTTCAATGGGATTTGGAGGTGGCGGGGAATTTGCCAGTCGTCTTGTTTGATGCTCCTGGCTACTGCCTTCCGAAGTGTCGGACAGAACACCAAAAGATACCCTCTTGTTAGATTTTGATGACGCCTTGTTTGCCGCAGTGGAAGTCCACGGATTTTCAGTAACCACGTCAGCAGTCAGCCCGTCATCTGCAACTATCTGCTGAGATTTCACACTGCTGAACCTAGGTGGCGGGGATGGCGTCAATATATCGCTGAACATCTTGATATTAATATTCTCGGGACTACTCTCGTGGTTGGGGGAATGCCAACCGTCACCCACGGTTCGGTCGTACATGTTTCTCTGCCGGGACGAGTCCTGGGGTATAGGTGAAGTAATCGTTGAGGGTTTGGTGGTTGGATCCTTCTTTGGTAAAGGCGGTGCGTCCAACTTTGTCCATGGACTTTGCTCGCCCGGCCTAGTGATTTGAGAATGTACTTTTGGCGTATCTAGTCTGTTCTCAATGGAAACCGTAGAGCCAATCGATGTATCAGATATTGCTTCCTCGATATCCAAAGGTGACGTGCTTCCAGGGTCAGAGTCCGAAGACTGTCCACCGCGCCCATTTCTAACTGGACTCAATGGCTCCCGGGCACTTACATGTTGAGGAGAAGTGCTCATATTGGCCTCACTAAAGCGACTTGCGGTCCCTGACGACAATCGTAGGCCTGATGGTACCTCGTCTTCAGGATAACTGCTCTCCGTACTGCTAGCAGTCCCCGAATTGATTTCCATTGAAAGATGCGAGGGTCTGAACGGCGATTGCCGCGAAAGACTAATGCCAGATGATTTGGCGGGTGTGGTGTTGAAAGACTGGGTACTGGAGCCATCTGATCCTGCAGGCTCAACAGACTGAAGTCTTCTCGGTCCAGATGCTTTATATTGGCTTTGGGGATAACTGGCAGCTGTCCCGCAAGGAACGATTAGATTTTGAGAGCCGTGACTCGCACCAATAACGGGAAGCAAAGATGAGCCTTGCCGTGAACCATGCGACTCGTTCCTGAGCGCAAATTTGACAGTTTCAGCAAGATTGGCGGCACTGCGTGATGATAGATATGGAGTCTTGAGGTCTCCACTGTTCTGGGTACTTCCCAGCTCGTCGTCTTGGGAAGCGGCTTCTATCAACGAAGAGTTTTTCGTCGAGGTAGGCTTGTACCACTCGACATAAGGACCAGGCGCCAGTACCTCCTCGTTATCATCGTCTTCGTCGCCACTTTCAGACTTGATACCAGCTTGTGTGGTGCCACTACTCCTTACGCCAAGATGATTAGACTCCTGGGTTTTCATAACATTTTCAGCGTTATATTGGACAAACATATCTTTTGACACAGGCCTCGAAGATGCCGTTCGCCGAGAATCAGAGTTGCCATGCTTGGTATTCCCCGAAGCGGAAGCAGAAAAACTGCCCTTGATCCGTCGTTTCTTAAACTGAAACTCTTCAAGATTGCGTGAAGAGGGAGCGACTTCTGTGACAAAACTTACCTCGTCTCCTGGTGTATTTGGATCCTGTCGTTTCGCCAAACCCGAGGATCCGGGCAGTGCGGGCAATGTATTATTCACAGAATTAGAATATTGCATGTTAGAATACTCCGCTCCAGAATCGGGTGTATGCTTAGCCTGTAAAGCCAGATAAGACCCATCTTTCGAGCGTTCTCCTAAAGCAAGAGCAGATGGTGGTTGAAAATTCGGACTCGAGGAATTGAAGGATGGTTGTTGCGCATAATGCATATAATCCGACCGTGACCCGTGACTATTGGACATCGATGACAGTTGCTCTGAAGGTTGTACATGTTGAAAGACGCTACGAGATAGCTCAATAGTCCGATTTAGCCCACTGGTTTCCTGACTGTCAGTTGACGTCTTGGGCCTTGCTATATCTGGAAAGCTGCTCAAAGGCTTACTACTCAAAGGATCTAACCTGGGATCTTGAGCGCTGGCGGTCCCTTGAGCCTTCCATTGAAACCTCTGATTATATAGTTGCGGATTGGGAGTCGGTGTCTCTATATCTGCCTCGTGCCACCGCGCTCTTTTTGACACATATGACCCTTTCAGCCATTGTGAATCTGCAGCACGTTTTTGGCGTGTAGTTTCAATCCGCCTTTCTTCTCCAAGTCCATCTGAAGTGTTATGAGCAACAGCTGTCGCATGGCCGCTAGAAACCCCTTCTCGTGAGCTTTTATGTCCCGTAGCTCTGCCAATCTTCTCCTCCAGGTTCCGAGTCGTGGTCTCCCAATTCGATATCCGCGGTGAAGAATTTCTCCCGCGGCTCCCAGACGAAGTCGCAAAAGAGGGTACAGCGGTCGGCCGAGGACCCCTTATGCCATCGGATCCTTCTATCCCACTTCCTGCCAAAACTCTTCTAAATGGCCCGGGTTTGTCGTTTTTCGTCCTCCGGGCTGGGGGATGATATCGCCATGGATGTGACCACTCACTCCTGTCCTCCAAAGGACCTCTGAGCCTGGCAGACTGCAAAACAGGTAAACAACCCCTCATATACTTTTGCGCATGGTCTTCATATCGCAGGCGCTTAATGCGCAATTCATCGTCGGTCAGTTCGGTATCGCTTCCTTCGTAAACCATGTCGTCGGGGGAATAACTGGAGGCGTGGTAGAAAGGTTCTTCGTTCTGCGGGTATATATTCAGAGCCTTGCGGGTGTGAAAATCCATGGCTCTCGATCTCCCATGTGGAGATGTTCAACAAGATTTCACGATTTCATCGGTTTCTTCGGGTGGGGTTGAGGATGCGCTGGATGGGATGAGATGGATGCGTGAGGTACCGCGTTATTTTCCCGTAAAGTGGTGTCTAAACCCCTCCATTGCCTAGGTGATCGCGATTCCCGCTACTGCGATTACGCAGGACACCACCGGGCACTCCATTTACCCATCTTCATATATCTGAGGGTGTCTTCATTGTGGTCATGTTAAATAAAACAGCTTGCTAGTGATTCCCATCGGAAAATTCTACACTACTTTGATCGAAGTGGTTCATGTTTGCTGGAATGAAAATCTCTTGTAATGATGTGCTATTTTTGGTTCACACCAGCCATAGATGGAGATACTGTGATTGAATAGAACCCCAAAGTTTTTTACTCTCTTCAAATTGTTGTTGAGCGCTGATCCTGATACATGGACATCAGCTAGAACTATCATGTCCTCCTGTTTCAATTATGCCTGTCGCTACAAGCCTGAATACTGATTGCCTACTACCAAAACTAATAATGATGCTAGGTAAATAAGTTATAAGCCAGATTTGACACATATAGGATACACTTCAATAGGAGATATAAGATATTAGATTTATGTGAATTTCGCCATCACAGAAATTATAAAATACGTAAGATATTAAGGTTGTGTTTTTGCAATCGTTCAAGTTCCCCTGCTTTTTGCTCTGCATCTACCCCACGAACTGTTGCTGTGGAAACAGCGAAGCCCAATCGCGCTTGCAAGAGTTTGTTACACGAGCACGATGAAGCTCAACCACCGACGCGTAGTTACGTCTGAAGATACATCTATTGCGAAGTGAATTCCAGCATTATTTGAAAATACGTATTCCCGCACTCGACAACTATTATCGCGCCCAGGGAAAACGCCTTATCCCAATATCGCATCGCGCGACCAATATATCATTCATGACGACCCGCAAGTAATTCCAACGCAACACAACCGACTCAATGGACCAAGGCTGGCTGGACTCCTTATCGGAGGATTGGGAATCGCAACCAAGATCCGCCGGTTCACCTGTACCGTCGCTACCTTCTTTGACAGATTCAACGTCAGAGTCATCGAGCGCTGCGCTGCACGCAAGTCGAATACCAAAATACAACCCCGAGAAGAAAACATGGAGCGCGCAACCGGAGAAGAACAACAGCCCCCTAAGTGAGAGAAATCTAAATGACAACAATGTACCGCTATCAATACGATCAAAATCCCAATCAAAGTTACGGCAAGATATTTCAGCGAGCGTTCGGGGAGGCACCAGGCAGCGCAGGCGAACGTTGTCCGACTCGGCGACAAATTCGTCGCAATATGGGACCATACAGCGTAAAGCAGACCCGTTGAGTCAAGAGAAAGCATCCAGTGAAACGCCTGAGTGGAAGCGCAGGCTGTTGCAAGGAGATGTCGCATATGGCGAGCAACGAGATTTGTTTACAGCCGCCGGCTTGGAGGATATGTTTCGGCCACCACCTACGATGAACAGTACAGCACCAATCAACCTTACCACAAAACCAACCGACGAATCGAGTGTCGTGATGCCTTCGAGTCCCCCTCCATACAACATTAGAAGAACACATTCGGAAGAGGGGCACCTTAGTGAAACGCAGAAAGACTTGGATGGGCCGAGAGACAAACAGCCTCGGATTGTTAAGTACAGAATGATGGATGGTGATAACAGCGGGTTCTCCTCCAACGAGTTAAGTAGAAGCAGCAGTTTTCAACCACGGCCATCAGTGGTTCCTAACATTCGGGACGAAAGCTCATTCGACAGCACGCCTCAAAACCCCGGAATTGCACCTCCCCAGAACACATACCCAGTAGATGCTATGAGCCGTGTTGTTAGTGGCCAGAGCGATTTTCGGAACGAGGAGTTAAGTCCCATATTTATATCGAAGCAGAACACGGTCAGTGGTAGTCTTGACTTCGTGGCGAATCTAGCCACCAAGGATCTACAAGAAAGTCCAGATGATTCCCTGGAGGATACACAAAATCAAGTAGACGAGGACGCCGCCGAGTCTTCTCAGCTGGTTCTGGGCAATGCTTCAGCTGACACCGATGACTTCGCCCATAACGGTAAATTTGTGAATCTACGGAGGGGTGGGCGCTCAGAAGATGGCTCCTTTCAGCAGCGCATGTTAAGTCCGTCTTCACTTCCAGCCATAGACGAATCAGACCTCCTGCCGGAAGAATCCATGCAAGCGAGTACACCTAAAAACCTAGCATTCATCAAGAAAACGAGAACATCCAACAATAATCACAATCAACCTTCTAGTACAGCATTATCGCCTATACCTCAGACACCCGAAACAAGTCCTTCCAAAAAGAAGAAGAATGAGAACAGTTCAGGAAGTCCTTTGAAGCTATTTGGCACTTATGACACGTTTACCAACCAAACACTTTTGAGAAGACTAAGCCAGTTTGAAAAAGACGACGAAGAACAAAAGACCTCGAAGGTCAACTCTGACTCGAAAGGGTCGTCATCTGACGATGTATTTGCCACGAATAAATCTAATGGTTTCAAAAGAGGCCCTAGGAAAGTCAATAGTTTTGGCGCTGGCGAGTTAGATAGCTTCCAATTCAGCGAAGAGATGTCTTTCAACTCTGATGAGTCGAGAGGCCAGATTGCGGATGTCAATGACATCTCTCTTCCAATGTTAAAACCTGATGAACAGCCAAGCTTCAAGTTTCAACTACAGCCATCTCCAGCAATTGAAGACGGTGATGTAGCTCACCGCGCCGAACGTACGACACTGACAAAGTCTACCAAGCGACGTATCAGCATTCACACGACGCGCACAACTTCAAGTGTCAACAAAAATGAATCTTCACAGGTTGTCGAAATCTTGGAAACACCGAGGAAAAGAGTTGGAAACTCCGAGGGGAAACGGCTTCCACGATCTCCCTTTAAAGACCCCACACCGAAGCGTCGACGAACGTTACATAAGTCTGATCTTGAGGAATCAATTGAAGCCCACAATGAACCTGGAAATGATTCACTAAGGGAGACACACCACCAAATTCAATCGGTCATTGGAAAGAAGAGGAAAGACGCCAGGCACGGCGATGACCAGCAAGCCGCTACGCCGAAGGTACTCGCTATGCGCCAAATGTTGCGACCTCGATCGCCGACCCCAAATCAGAAATTGAATCAAGAATCGAAGCGATTGAACGAGGGCGGATCAGCTGTTGTCGACCGGGCTACCCTCTTGCAACAAGAAAAGATTGCGCGAATCCAAGCAGAGTTGGATTCAAATAGCCTTCAGAACATTCCATCCATTCTGGCTGCCAATCAACAGTTGCTGGACGGCAATCGAAAACCATCTCTTAACACACAAGACTTCTTGGACGAAGCTAAAATGATTATGGGATACATTCGTACCAAAGCACAGGCCCCGAGTGGCCTTGCGAGTGTAGAAGAATCTGAGTCTGAGGCTGGTCGAATACGTCCTGATGGTTTTGGTGATGATGACAGTTTTGAAGATTCCTACGAGTCAACAAGAGAGCCATTTTCACGACCACCGAGTCGTGATGGTGCCCCTGTTCAACGTTTACCACTGAAACAGGCAGATCCGGAACTTCTTAATCATCTACGAAAGTATCAAGAAAAAAGTGACATTGACGATATTATTGCTTCTTCTATTCGAACAATAGCACAAGCTAAGGCCTCAACTGAAAGTCTCAAGGAAGAAATGAGCCGACAGCTGAATGCGGCGAAAAACCTGCAGAGTGAGACGGCCAATAACCCTTTTATGGAGAATAGCGAATTTCTGCGAAAGAGAAAACACTCATCATCTGTAACTTCTAATCAGAACGTTGACGAGGTCGAGTATCCTTCGCATGGGTCTAACTCCTCTGGTCGGTCGACTGTCATGTCAATTCCCACCGGGTCATCTCGAGGTTCTGACTCGCGTCGAATCATTGAGCCACACACAGTTTCACATCTTATTCCCGAGCAGGTTGCGGGAATGATATTTGATCGTGAACGCAATATGTGGGTAAAGCGAAAGAGTGTTAGCCAGGAGAGCGAAAAACGGAACTTTCTTCCCTCGGATGATACCGACGAAGATCCTTTTGGTGGGATCCCAGATCTGTCTGTAGACGAGACTCAAGAAATGCAAAGATTGAAAGGCATCGCCGCCGAACTTCAGCATACTACAGAGCGGATTCGAGAGAATCATGCCAGAAACAGTCAAGCCGAGCCCAATACTGCCTCACCCTCGCCTACCATCCGAGAAACCAAGTCAGAGAATCCGGTATTGCCTACTATATTTGAACAAACATCTGCTTCGGAAGAGCGGGTATTTGCTACTGATAAAGCAATATCTCGAGATGAGAATGACTCAATCGCCGAACAACACGCAGCCGTTAAAGCGCCGCTGGAGAGTGTGGAAGTCATTGGGAAAGAGATCTCGATTGTTGGAGATTATGCTGAATATACTCCACATCCCAAGCGGAACGCTACTATTACCTTCTCATCACCTCTGGTCTCGGTTATCCCGCCAAATGTTGACTTTGACACTAGCTCTCAATCCGAAGCAGACCATCAGACTAGCGACGGGAGCCAAGAGGAAGGGGATAGTGTTATTGTCAGAAAAGTCTCGAGTAGACAAGTATCAACTTCGGTCAAAACTCGTTCTTCAAGCAGCCGGAAATCATCTCGCCACGACTCCATGGTCAGCCACAAGTTTTCGACCAGGCCTGTATCGAGGATTGATGAACGTGATGAGAGTGGAGAGGAAAGTGACCCTTCCTCACCAAAAAGAAGCGTCAGTGTCATGGTGGCGACGCCTCTGCGTTCGAAGCAAGCGAGTGGCATGATGGTCGTGACACCGCGGCCGTCCCATGACATTGGAACCTTGACGCTTACTCCAATGTCAGAGTTCACCATCCATCACGACGAGGAGGAGTTGGGTTTGAACGTTAGCTATGTTGCCAACAACAAGCGTCACTCACATGGAACAGACAAGCAGAAGACTTTATCACTCGTGATTAAAAACCTGGTAGAGAAGTTGACGGAAGTAGAACCTTATGAACCGTTCTGGGAACACATGAAAGAAATTGATCTGAGAGACAAGAAACTGTCCAACCTACATAAACTCGACGAGTTTTGTGAGAACCTGGAAGAGATAGATGCCTCAAACAACCAGATCAGCCAGCTAGACGGAGTTGCAAGATCTGTGAGACATCTACGAATCAGTTACAATTGTCTAACTGATCTCACTGCATGGGGTCATCTGAGTAATTTGCAGTATGTCGACGTCTCAAACAACGAACTTGAGTCACTGTCCGCGTTCAAGCACTTGTATCATCTTAGGGGTATTCGAGCTGATAACAACATGGTCACATCGATAGACGGGATTGGGAAGCTTAATGCACTTCTTAGCTTGCGGCTAAGGGGAAACCTGGTCGAGAAAGTTGATTTCAAGAACACCGAGCTACACAAACTAACGGATCTTGACCTTACGAACAACATGATCAACGCTGTTCTTAACTTAAATGAATTGAGCTCACTTTGTGATCTCAATTTAAGCGGGAATAAACTAGACGAATTTTGCCCTAACGGATCAAAAGCCACGACAGCAATGAAATACATCCGACTAGACGACAACAATTTGGAAGAGATCGACCTGAGCTTATACACGAACCTCCGTCTACTATCTGTCGACAGAAACCGACTGGGCAAAATCCGTGGCCTGCATAAGGCAACGCATCTTGATACTTTGTCATTACGCGAACAAGATGGAAAGGGGGCTCTTGACTTATCCTTCCTTTCAGAAGCCTACGAGGTCCGTAGGTTGTTTTTGTCTGGAAATTTTCTTGAAACCTTCAATCCCGTCATCAAATTTCTTAACCTCCAATATCTTGAACTTGCAAGCTGCGGATTACACGCATTGCCCGCGAATCTTGGCCAGATGATCTGCAACACCCGGGTTCTAAACCTGAATTACAATGCTCTATCGGGCATATCTTCACTTAGGGGGATTGTGAGGTTGAGGAAATTGCATATCGTTGGTAATCGACTGGACAACATCACAGCCGATGTTGAAACACTGTCAAAATGGCGCGATCTCATCTCGATTGACATGAGATGTAATCCATCCACCCTGGGCTTTTATCCTCCTGCCTCAGACGAGATAGTTAAAAGATCTGAAGACTGCGAGACGCTGTCGCTCTTCATTCTGGCCAAAGCGAACGTGGAAAGGGATACTAAATACACGAAATGCCTGGATATGAGAACCAAAATGGTCAGGAGAGCTTTCGAGCTGTTAGTAACAGCTAGTTGTAAGAGCGTCCGCACGCTTAATGGGTTGCATGTTGATCGAATTATTATAAGGAAAAGAGATGATGTATTCAAAGGCCTGGTCAAGATCGGAATCGTGGCCGATTCTGCTGATGGTGCGGATTCTGGAAGAGATGACGAGAACAGTACTCCAAGGTCTCAGAAGACCGCGGATCACAAGCAATCTAGGGATAGCGTCAAGTCTTCGCGGCAAGCAAGAGTTAGGCAGACGGATTCAGCTTCTAGGGACGCCTCTACGGTTCGAAAATCATCATCGCAAACCGAACGCTCAGAGTCTACTCAAACAACTCAGTCAAGTCCGTTTTCTCCTAGATCTGTTCGTGGTGGTAAAGCCAGCGCAAGTGCAGCCGGCATGTCGACGCAAAAGCCAAGAGAAAAATCAGCCATATGGGGTGCGGAGGATAGCTTTGCATAAGCCGGATTTTACCGTTTAAAGTATGATTTGTATTTATGCTTTCTGGGGTTTTTTGTATTATCGGACTGCATGGAGTTGGATGGGATGGGAGCATGGAGATTGGCGTCATGGTTATGGCATCTTGTTTTGGCGTACTAGGTGGTGTAAGAGAGAAGGATTACGACTTAATGATATCAGTGTGAGGGTTTTGGATCCTTGAAATTATACTGTTTGCTTGCATTGATCTTCTCATTGTGTTAGGTGATGTGATTTAGCAAATTAGTCTGCTCGGGCCCCGTGGTTGGAAAGCGAAAGAGAGATTAATGAGACTTCAATTCTCGTCGTATCTGCCACAGGAAATTAATTGGGTGATGTCAAATCTAAGTCAAGCACGATTATGTGGACTTGACAGAATAGGTGACCAAAGTATTTACCATTACCGACGTGCCCTTAGTTTGAGCCTTAGCTGAAGAAAGTTTGGTTCATCAATCGGACTAAAGACGCGTTCTCGTTTCCACTCGGACTATAAAACGTTCATCTATATATATTTAATAAAGCACATTTTCTATATCGTCATACCCTTCATATAGCCTTCTAGAATATGTATATTAAAGTATAGGAAATCTCGCATTGGATTATTGTATCAAACGTGATTCCATTTTTAACGTGGAAGGAAGTAAATCAATGAAGTCTTGAACGTTAGGGATGGTTCAGTGATACTATGAATAAGAAACGGGCTGCGGCGACTTTGTAAGGTGGAAAAGGACTGAGTTGACATTTGAGGGATGCTGGAAGTGATAGTCTGTTGTAGGTAATTTGTGTGATGATAGATTTGGTATTATGACTGGGCCTGTTCAATAATTATTTGTGCTGTCTGTGACTTAGTTATTCTCTTACCATGCCGAGACACAACCCCGACGTATGTGAGTTGGGAATGTGGGGTTTTACGTTTTCCGGGATGTTTGTCAAGATTTTATGACAAAATTTTACACTTTGCTTGTGCGATGTGTTCTGAATTGTCTTGTCGGCTATATAAAGGTCATGCCCGAGTTAACAGTCTCATTCATCTAAAACATATAAGCTTACAATTCCAACGCCATAACCCTGGCCATGCTCACAAATTGTCAAATACATACCCCAGCCACTTCTAAAGACCAAAAACATTCTACGCTCCAAAAAGACTCTATAAAACACGCTCCTCATTCATCTTACTTTTCCCATGCCCATTCCAATCCGGCACTACCCTCTTCAAATACTTCATAAACTTCGCCAATCCAACAGCAAACTCCACATTCCCTTCTGGATCCACGACTTTCTCAGGATACGCAATACCGGCTCCATACAACCCTTTGATCTTATTTCCTTCTAAATCGATAAACTCGGCGGTTTCATGGTCATACTGGACATGTTTGTCCATTTGAAGGCATCTATCTGTCGTTCCGGAGACTTTATCAGTTTTGGGCGCCATTAAGATGTAGCGGAAAGCCGTGTCGGCTTTGTAACCGACGGCTTGGATGATAGTCGAGCATTCTTCTAGCTCGCTTTTATACTTTTCTAGCTCTTCTCCTTCGGGATTTGAGACGGTGACGATCTTGGTGATGTGTTTCCCCACGGGTGAGGTGGGTAGTTGAGAATCCTCGAGGTTTTCTTTGGCCCACTTCGAAATTAGGATGTTAGCGGGTGTTTGCTATAGCGATTTCGACTAAAAAGCTAGAACACTGTCACAGCAATGGACAAGAACATGTCTTGGTGTGATATCATTCCAAAAGATAGGGTGGTTGCCAAAACAGAAATGGAAAATACTAACGTCAGCTGCATCCCCCTTGAGACCAGTGTTGTCTCGAAGTATCCATCCATCTTTTTCCTCGGCATAACGTAGAGGATGCCGTGTGAACCACTTGACATGAAGCCTGGGATGTGTAGTGCTAGCAAGTTGGTACAAATTTCGGAGCACAAGAACAGCACTGTGAGAAGCACCAATAACCCCAACAGTACTTTCCTGATCAACAGGGAGTTTGAGCTTGAGTTGTGATGGCTGAAGTGCGGTATCAAGATCAAACCTTTTTCTCCTATCGCTGACTGGTAAAGGCTTTACTGATGGTTGACTTCCAGTGCATAGTACTAAAATTTGCGCACCGTGATCTATGCCTTCTAAGCTTCGGACGTGCCAGCCGTTTCGCTGAGGTTGTTAGCACTTGAACAGAGTCTTGATGTGATTGGAAAATGTACTTGGGTCCACCTGGCACAGTGGATTTGCTGTCTGAACCAGTGCACATCATCGCGTTTTCTGAGACCTGCAGCAAGAAGATTGCATAGATCCGCTGCCTGAGATATCTCACAAGTCTTTTCCTGGTCCATGTCCTTCATCACAGTGTAAGCATTTGGTTGATTCGCTTGTTTCGTGATCTTCCTGAAGGGCTCCACGCCATCAGCGTAGTCTAGAAATCTCTTGACTTTGGTATTACTATTTATGTATTAGGGGTGGTACTCGTCAATGGTCTCATAATAACGGGATTCTCACCTTGGGACTTCACGATAGTAGGTATTCAGTCTTCCAGCGCCGGACCGGTTACCAAGCCACAAGATTGGTTTCACATTTTGCTCCAGGAGATTTCCGACCGTAGCAATACCAGCTGGGCCACCACCAACAACGATCGCTGCATAATAATTTTTCCATTCCCTGGGTTCCACAGAAAGCCTTCGTATTTTGAAAGCTCCATCCTCGGAATGGAATCTAGAGCACAGGATGTTTGGAGCGAATATCAGACCCCGTCTTACCCGTGTGCCAGCCCACGGATTAAACTTATTTATTAACATCTTTGAGTTATCGAAAATGCACAAACCGCCGACGCGAGCGAGGACGCCAAATAGCGAGGCAATATGTCGGGCTCAAAGCTGTTGAGAAAAATGTTTACAACATTTGACAAGGCACAGCCTAGGCTATAATAGTCCTGGTGCAGAGAGGGAACAGGCAAACACGGGTTTAACAAAATGAAGTTTTTATCAAAATGTAAAATAAATAGAATTGGTGGTCATGAATCAATCGCAATTTTGAGGAGTCCCTTCCGTATGAGGCTCCACTTTTACATTTTCGCACTACATCATTTTGGGACATCACGAGACTGCTGACTACCATACCTATTATAATTCTACTTCTTGTTGTCGGTCATATACTTTAGGTGGTAAATCCTAGAACACAATCAATCAGAAACTAATGAGAAGTTTCATCGCAGAACATTATAAGTTTGATTATGGCATTTGTTTGCCTTTGTCTAGTCTGTCTCACCTGCCTTTAATAGCATCTTCCGGCCGCGACGAAGCTCCAGACCAGCCTAAGATAAAATAACCACCCCATGAGGCAACTAAAAGAGTAGACATAACTAAAGGCGGCCAAGGAATGCCGGCAACTATCTTACTTAGCGTCTCGCTTTGAGATATCAGGAAATAAATCGTATCAGTTATTGTGACCAACATGGTCAAGAGGAAAGCCGTCAATTGTTTCGAGCCTCTTCTCGGTACTCCCGCCATATCAGTAATAATCTTATCAAGTCTCTCCGCCATCTTGATGTCGGAAAATTCACTCTTGACTCGTTGTTTTCCAGCTGCACCTATAGCGCTTCGCTCTTTTTCTGAGAGCTTATGTAGTACTTTATTCATCACCATCGTCCAGCTCTCAACGTCGTCCGGTGAGCAAAGCCATCCGGTCTTTTCGTGAACGACTGTTTCGAGCGGTCCACCTGTATTAGCCGCTAGGACTGGTACTTCAGCTAACATAGCTTCCAGAGGGACGATCCCAAAATGTTCGTTCGAGGGTGTATACACCAATAGACTTGCTGATGCTAAAAGCATATCTTTCAAGGTGTTTGGTACTGATAACAGGAATAGAACGTCAATATTGTCCGGCACATTTAGTGCTGTGACAATGGTCTTAGTCGTAGCAGTCTTGAGGCCCAAGGAGTCAGCCAATGCGACAAGCTCCTTATGGTATACAACGTTCTCCTGAACTCGAAAATCATATCCACCTGTCGAAAATTAGCAACTGAATCCAGTCTGAAGTTCGGGCACAAACCGGCAAGTACAAGTCTCGTTCCCTCCCTCCCATGGGCCCCAAGTCCGGCATATGCCTTGATAGCCAGCCCAATATCCTTCTTTCTCTCAAAGCGATTGATACTCAAGATTATTCCTCTATCTCTCCACGCAGCCACAGCCTCCTCCTTCTCCTCAAACGTCTTCTCCCTAACATCCACACAAGGATATACAATTTGTAATTGTTTCTCCCTGACAAGATCAGGCCAAACCCTTCCCACAACGCCCTTTGTAAACCCCGAATTCACCACAATCGAATCCGCAAAACTCATACTCCATTGTTCCAGAGTGTCAAACGGGATTCTATACGCGCGTTTCAACCACGAAGATCGTCCTTGCGCCAGCAACAAATCGGGGAAGTGGCAGTAAAACAGTATGCGCGTGTCTGGATAGAAGTACCGGAGCCATGGTAGACCTGCGCTGAGCTGGTCGACCACGAAAGCATCTGGTTTTAGGGATCGAAGCTCGGATGTGAAGTAGGTGGAGAGGATGAGGTGGAATTGGCGGAGGATCGCGCAGATGATTGAAAAGCGGGAGAGGAGGGAGGAGGGGATTAGCCAGTTCCCGCGGACGCGAACGTCGAGTGTGCCTATCAATGTATTAGAGTTTGAAGATGTTGGTAAGAGTAGGAAAAATACCATTTCGCGCTTCATCAAAGCAATGTTTTGGGTCGCAATGGCTGGTAAAGATCACCACTTTATGTCCTCGATTTTGCAGACCAACAGCCGCATCGATTATCAATCGCTCGGCACCTCCAATTCCTAGGTCTGGATGGAAGAAAAGTATCGTTCCCGGCTTTTTCGATTTGGTTGCGCTCATGGTGTTGTTACTGACACATTTCTTACTCCACGATGTTTCTGCAAAGCTCATGTGGGACCGTGACCCTTGAAATGTTACCCCACCAGGTATTATTCTTTTCTCTTCTTGTTCACATCTTCTATTAATTATGTTATATTTTGCGATTTGGCTACGAAATACAGCAATTAACAAGTCATCTAATAGAAGTATCCTAACAGTCAGGAACAAGATGAGTGATCAGGATCTTAATCACATCCATCCAAAGCCACAGCCTCATCAACCGAGGCCCGACGAGATGACCTCCAGCACATGAAGAGGAAGCTGTATCAAGCTCTTCTCAACATCAACACCTCTCATCATAATTCAATGCCACAATACCACACCCTCAAAACTATCACTAAGTTCAATTACTGAGGAACACACTTATTAATCTCCAAAATGACGACCGTCTTCACCCTCCCCATTTCCACCACAGGATCCATAACTTGCACCACACCCTCCCCCCTCGTCTACCTCCTAACCTTCACCTCACCCCCTGACAACAGACTCACAACCTCCTTCTGTCAGACTCTCCTCCTCGCCCTCGACATCCTCGAGTTCTCGCACCCCCCAGGCGTCATCGTAACCACGTCCTCGATCGTGAAATTCTATTCGAACGGGCTGGATCTGGAACATGCGACGAGCACTGAGGGGTTCTTCGGGGATAGTCTGTATGCTGTGTTCAAGCGGTTTTTAACGTACGTATTTGTAAAGGAGAGGGGAGAAGAGGGTTAATGGCTGATGGTAAATAGATATCCAATGCCCACCATCGCCCTCCTAAACGGCCACGCCTTCGCCGGCGGCTTCATGCTAGCCATGTACCACGACTACCGGGTCCTCAACCCGTCGAAAGGCTACCTCTGCGTCAACGAGCTCGAATTCGGCGTCCCGCTCACCGCGCCCATGTCCTCTATCTTCCGAGAAAAACTATCCCCGCAGGTCTACCGGAAGATGGTCTTAGAAGCGCACAGATGGGGCGGGAAGGAGGCGCTGGAGAATGGGATTGTGGATGGCCTGGGGGGGTTGGAGGAGGTGACAAAGTTTATTGGGGAGAAGAAGCTGACGGGGAAGGCGAAGAGTGGTGTGTATGGACTTTTGAAGAAAGAGATGTATCGGGAGTCGATGGGGTATTTGAGGGATGGGAAGGATGAGAAGTTGGGAGGTGGGAATGAGGAGGAGGAGGAGAGGAGGAGGGGTGGGGAGGAGAGGGTTAGGGAGTGGAAGAAGAGTAATAAGGGGGGTGCTAAGTTATAGATATGTGAGTAATGTTAATTTAGTTGTATTATTTTGGAAACTAGTGGTTTTGAGCTGGGTTTCGTTATTCTTTGGAACAACATGGTTGTCCATTTGAAGTTTCCTGGGATGTTTTAACTGACACATGATGGAAATCAAGAGCGCGAGTGTAAGTTGACTTTGAAATACGTACTTATAGCCTTTACTGATTTACTCCTAGCCCTACCATGTGCTTAATTCATTCCAACTTATGTTGCAGAGGAGAAAATAAGTAGCAGAGTCTATTGACTATTCTTAGATCGAAGTCCCATTTGAAGAGGCCAAGTACTTTTCATTTTCATTTCTTTTACAGAAACTAAAACATTTCTTTACTTACTAGATACAATAGACGCAAAGACGATATTTCGTCAACTTCAATAAAGCAACATCGTACTTCGACTACCGCTTACTTTATCCACCTCAAGTACAGTTTTATAAGTATTCAATCCCTACTCGCTCCAACCGTACACCCTCCATTTTCTCAATCCAACTCACAATCCCACCATCCCTCTAATCACTCGCCCATCTTATCCCCCTTCCCACCTCGGCTAACCAAACACCTCCTGCCCACCCTCTTAGTACACAAAAGTCTCCCTAATCTTACACTGAAAGTTAGAAGAATGGTGTTTATATATTTACGCTACCTATATTCCTATATAAATATACGACAATACGCATATCGTTTTAATACAATCTAGAAAGCCAAACCCTTAGGTGTCGAAACGACGCCACCTTTATCAACACTTACTCTATTAACACTACTATCAAGAACACACGATGTTTCAAACCCAACCAGACATCTAGATATAATTTCACAGCTATATCAACTTCCATCCTTTAACTCAGTATACTTTTATACTCAGCTCTACTATTGTCACTTACATTACGGTATCGATCTCGTTTCTCCTCCTAAGAAGAATAAATTAAACTGGATGAACATTAATCGGATGACAACTACAAATTTATCGCCGTGCCGGATTGTGCTATCTATTCTAAAAAGGAGAAGAAAGGCCAGACATCGGGGAATCTCCCAACCACTATACTCTACATGGATAAAGGTAGTGTGGCAGATCACAATTCAGAGTGCAAAACACATATCCTGGCAATGATATGCAAGAAGAATCCGACCGTGTCTGAACGAAATGAAGATACATATCTCAAGTTTGCAAAAGGTGGCGCCGCACGAGGGCGTGAAATCCTTAAGAAAGCAACAAATCAGGCAGAGCGTTCGGCTGGGTATGCCAGACATGGCACCAAAGGGAAGTTGCCTTACAAGGGGCCATGTACGGCCTACCACGTCCGTCAAGGGGTCCCGATAACTATTCACCTAGATAGAAATAAGGGTATATTAGCGATCCCGATACACTTTACCGCTATTACCGAAGATAACTTAACTAAGCTTAAAAATGGACAGAGTATAGAAGCCATATCTAGACTTCATCGCGAGATCGGTATACTATATACGATAAATTATATACGATAGATAGATAGGGGAAAATCCCTATAAAGTTTTAAGGGGCGATCTTTAACCCGGTTCATAGTGCTTGTCTTAGCATCCATTCGTGGGACAACCCCAGAGTTGTCCGCGAAGTGAAGAGAATCTTTGCTATAACGAAAGAGGAATGGCAAGGCTCTCTTGCCGGCTGGTACAGGAAGGCATCAGCCGCATATCGCGAAGTCTTTGCCGAAACTAAGCGTGTCGAAATTGAGACATACGGAAAAGACGCTAGGAAAGAAGGCTGTTTTTCTTACACAAAAATGTCCAGGTACCGAGACGGACAAGCTAATCATCGAAATCGATGATGGGTTGACAGAGGAAAACGATGAGTCTTTCAGGCCCAAAAACACCTCAAGCAGAGGCGGGTGCGTAACCTAATAATTCTAATATATGTATTTCCATTAGAATAGGAGTTATTAATAAATAGGGGTTTCAAGTCCTAGATAACACTTAATTGGGAGTTGTAGAGACTATCACTTCTACACTAAACAGCTCTACTTGCCTACTTAAACCACTACTACCTAGCCTTACTTTCTTAAACCTTAACCTCTAAAAATACGTAGTCTTTATAAATCTCGTGCACCTAATTCCACCCTTTATTTCATTCCCGTCAAATCCAGAAATTCTCTACAAGCTCTACGCGGACGGATTATTATCCTTTTACATCGCCGCGGTATACTCTATACAAAAACTATCGTTTTATATTTAGCTAAACTACTATTATCTACATTACCGTAACAATCTCGTTTCTTCTTCTAGAAAGAAGAAATAAAATTGAATTAACGTTAATTATCTAATAGACCTCGAAATTAATAAGTATTATTATTAAGTTTAACCTTATTTAGTCTTATTAGGCGTAGAAATTTAATATATTTTCGTAAAAACAATCCCTCTATTTTCAGCTTCGATCGTACTCTAACGTCCCATCCTACACAGGACTATCCTTTCTTGCGATCCTTAACACTAGTACCTAAGAAAGTAGGTTCTCGAGACCCGAGACCTGAAAAATACAACGGCTTTAGATCCAGAAACCCGGGTATTGCTGGAGCAGCTGTCGCGTGATGGAGCATGTCATTGTGCGCACCTTCAAGGACTTTGCTACAAGTTTCACAAACCAATTCAAACTGTCTACCCCTACAATTCCTTTAGACTTCCTTATAACTAGTGGATAACCTACCGCCACCTCTTCCAGTAGGCTGCGATTGGTGATCGTGTGAAGGTCCCTTTTGGGTGCAAATTTATTTGCCTTCAGATCTATCCTCGCAACTTCTCTGCCTTGTCCCTTGACAGATTCACAAACCACGAATGGCAGACCAGTCTTAGGCTATCGAGTTGGTCTATTGGAGCCCCATAAATGATTTTTATTTGAATGTTAATGTCCTTCTTGGCGCTGCAAGTCTTTAGTCCAGACACTACCGACAAGTCGTTTGCGTGGTTACAGCAGACCTGCATGTCATCATCAACTGCTATGATCCTCAAGAGGCCAATCCTTCGTTGTACTGGGAAGCACAGAGGGAAAATGACCCCTTGCCTAAAGCTTTCGATGATTGTTTTGAACGTAGTTGAAATATTATCGTAGTCACATTACTGGGTTGGGCAAAAGTTTTTGAGTTGTATATACGCGGGATCCCGGTGCCACCTACGCCTTAGTAAACCGTATAATCGACTTTTGACTTTGAAACAAGATGTCCTTAAATTGAATCTCGAGTCGATCTATCATCGTTTCTAGTGTTTCTTGAAGCGCCGTGGCTAGACGGGTTAGATCTAGAGCACCGCCGGCTTTCCCCTCCCCTCTTTTCACCAAATTGTTATAGTAGTAAGTATTTAGAGCGTGAATTCGTCCCACAACCCATCGGATTAGATTTTCTAGAGTTAAATCGTCTGGAATCTGGAAAGAGTCCCAATAATCGTCCCTCATCGTCGTCTATCTCTGACTTCTCAGGCTCCTTACTTGGGTTGCTGTTGATTTCGGGGCTGGCCGGTTCGATGGGGCTTGTCCCCTGATGGTGAAACACCGACACATGTAGGCACTTGCGATACCTTCCTAGGTAGGTACCTTATTAAATGAGAAACAAGAGCAATCTGCGGCCTTCGATTCGTCAAATGAAAATTTAACGAACGATCGCCATCAACAAAGAAAATCACAAAATCCGTTGTGTTTGCATGAGAAAATTATACATATCATTGAACCCTCCACCACCTCCAACCCCCAACTCGAAAAGCAAAATCATGGTAGACTAGGCTATGCAACGCTATGCTAAAATGCACGCAAGAAAGCGATTCAAAAAAGGAAAAAAACCAGTAACCAAAAAACCCGAAATTCCAGCTTGAGACGCGTGGTTCTAATAACAGAAGAAGTAAACAGGCCTCTGCAAGAGGTGTGGGGTATCTTCTCTTTGCTCTCTACCGTTCCGTTCCCATTACAAGTATGTAAGTATGTGTGGTGTTGTTAACAAAAGTGTATTGAATTATGCGGTGAAGAATTATTGTACGGTATATGGTAATTGCGAGTTTGTGGAAATACCAGTTGCGGTTCGGGAGCCTTGGTTGGAGGCGGGATAGGATACTTCGGGGTCAGGTACTTGAATATCCAGCTAGGAAGATAAATTAGTACGTGTTCGTAGATAGAATGAGGGTATATGTAGAACTTACATTCATGTATCCTGTCCTTCTCAGTGACACTATTCTTGGTGCACTTCCCGGTCCATCCTTGCTTTTCTTCTCCATTTCAGTATTCCATTCTTCCAGGAAATTCTCCACCTTTCGAAGTCGAGACTTGACTGCTGTTAACCCAAAATCATCCCATATCCATCCAGTAGCCAGGCCCATCAGAGCGTCAAAAACATTACGCACACCCCATGGGTTAAATGCTGGTATCAACTCAGCATTGACCTTCTCAATAATCGTCCTAAAATCTTGTTCTGTCACTCCAGCGGGGTCCAGAATTTCCGGATATAAATTCGAAAACGTAGGTGCTAGATCACCTTCAATCATCCAATCCCGCCGTATTCGTATTATGCGGGTGGTTTGATATAGAGGTGATGAAAGAGGCACATGTGAGTTCATGTGCGGAAAGCATGGATGCTGCGGTCCCCATTCGTCTTGAGCTCCTCCTCCCTCGGTTCCCACTATCGAGGAGCTTTCTGATTCCAAGGCTGGACCTATTCCACCGTCGAGAGATGCATTCGAAGCATTATTTGGTAACGTCGAGTTCCCGCCCGGGCTATACAATGCTGTATTGATTGCTCCGCGCTCGAGATCGGTAGACATGTCCGGATGATTCTGGACAAAGGAGAGTCCTGGAGAAAGAGGTTCGGGATGGGACGTATTCTGTTCTCGTTGTCGTAGTGTAGCGATTTTCCTATGTTCGGCTTGTGGCAAGGCTTCACTTCCAGCCTCTTCTGGCGAGACTACTCGCCCTTTTCCTTTATCAAGTTTCTTCTCTGGTGTCGTGGGTGAATCACCGCTCTTCCTTCGTGAGATGTCGATACTAACACTCCTCGGCAATGAAATCCTGTTTGATCCCGCAGAACTCCCACTCCTCTCAACCTGCAAACTCGCTCTTGTCGATCCTAAATGCAAGCTCTGTCTTTGCTCAGAAAGTGTTAACAATGGATAAGACCCTCCCGCTGCAGCTCCTTCTCTAGGTGACCCAATATCTGGATGCGACAATGGGATTGCGATGATAGCTGGGTTTTCTTCGCGGAGTCGTCGGTTGCTTCGTTTTCGTGCAGGAGCTCGTGGGGTGGAATTGGTCGGGTTCCAAAGTCGTGCAGCACTTGGCCGTCGAGCATGGAGAGGAACGCTAGTGTTGGTAGCGACCGTTCCTGAACGGCTTCGAAATGGCGAGGATTGATCGTAGTTTCCGCCGCCGATTAATGCGTTTCGCAGACTCCAGCGCGTTGGACTTGTCACTCTCACTTGTGGTTGTTCTCTGCCTCCTGTAGAACTCGTAGGTACTGGTGATGGACTTGGATATGGGGGCTGGAAAGTCGGAGATGGAATGCGAGGATTGGCCGTGTTTGAGGGACCGGCGGCATTGGAGGACAGAGATTGTGAGTTCGACGTCGAGCGGTTACGATGGTTTATGGAGGTTCTCCGGATTGGCGCGTCCAATGTTCCCCCCTGCGAAGCCGTCGGAACGATTGCGACTCGCGTCGTCGCTGTTCTCGAGGGTGAAAGGTAAGGCGGCAGTGAGGTGAGGGGTGCTCTTCAACCGAGTGGATTCTTGATGTCGCTGGATGGTCGAGATGGTGCAGTTCTGGGCGCAGAATAGGTTTGACTTCTCGAGAAGTCTTTTGCGAGGTTGGGAACGGCCTTCTCGAAGTGCCAATGCGACGTCGTGCCGAGGAAAGCGAGTGAGGCTCTTTAGCGAGTCGATCCAGGGGCTGAAGAGGGGAGACGAAGGAGGATTTCCACGATGTGAGGACTGCTTGGGAGCTTGAATTGGAACGGCAGATGTCCATCATGATCTCATCTTGGACATCAACCATCAAACATCAATAAAAGTCCACGCCACAACGATTCTCAATGTTGCAACAAAGTCAGAAAGGTAGGACGATCGCACCTCGCCGAAGCTCGAGGGGACTGTGCAATGATATATACGACGATAATATGACCAGCTCAGCAAGCGTACTCCGTACAGCCAACTCTCTGCGCAAATTTAATCACATTCAGGCCGCACCGCACAAGCAAATATACCTCCCTACGTATCAGCTTCAAGCCGACGAGGCCATCCACACAGACAGCATCATGCCCGTCGCGTCGCATCCTCCTACATCAATTTTCGCGTTTGCTCATTTCCCATGCCCACTTTGAAGCATCAAACGCATACATCAAGTACCTTTTCCCCTTTGCACATGCATGTTTAGCGGTCACTACCAACACAACTAACAGCCAAGTGCCATAGCCGCGAGGGGACATGCTCTTAATTGACCTCTCATGAAGCCAGGAGAGACATTCTCCGTCACCAACTGTGTCACCAGCCTCAGCTTGATGGACTGCCGCCGTCGCTTTGGGCTCGCGGCTCGGTGGGTACGCGTTCAGAAATGTTGGTGTTTGCTGCTTACGCTGCCCCGTCCGAGCGTTGATATTTATTTATTTTGATTTATGAGAGGTTCATGCGAGGAGACTCCTTGTGGTGTCATCGGTCATACCGTGAAGTGATATAACTTCTCAATGCTTCAAGATGCATCTGTGGGGAAATGACCATGGTGACTTGTCCCGGCAATCGGGCTGCAGGTGTCAAACGATATCTCTCCATACTCTCCCCCCCCCGGAATAGAGGTTATTC